TCTTCAACTGCAAATAATTGCTGGGATTTATTTCTACCATTTTGTGAAGATCACCTTCATTTGTACAGTTTTTCTTGATCTAGGCTGCACTTGATTGTTTTTATTTCTCATTCACCTTGAATGGCAAAACAGAAGGTAAAAACTATTAGCCAAGATGAAAACAAATGTAAAGCACACTTGATATCTGAATACACCAGCCAGTGCTATGGAGGTTTAATTATGAAAGTTTCTTTTTTTTTCTTCATGTGAAATTTGGGATCATTATATTATGTAACAATAACTTCTGCAAATTACAGCTAAACATTTCTAATTAAATTTTATTACCTTTTTTTTACTTTGGTGATACTGTTGTATTAAATTGTGTACGCAGAAACATAATTGAATTTAAAATACATGTTACCTTATTGAAAACTTTGTTTTCATGTATATATACACTTTATTTTTTTCTCCCTTTCTCTCTTTGACAAACAGTTACGGTTATGACACGATCTTTTCAATGGGGGAAAATTGTGAATTTTACAGATACTGTATTTTTAAGTCCTAATTTCTTAAAATAAGAGCAATCCTATTGAATGGTGGCAACAAAATTGAAAAGCAGACTTCCTTATAGTTCTATTCTATGCATTAAAAGCACCACAAATGCTATACAAAAATATAATTTTTATGGTTTTAAAATGATGTATCTGAAAGTTTGATAATTTTTGCCCAATGAAAAGATTGAGTCATTACCCTACCTGAAGTTATTTAAATGGTCACTCCTATTTCATCCTGTTTAATTTCTGCAATCCACAGCAAGTTCCCCAATATACAATAAAATCTATTTTTACTTCTCTTATCCATCTAGCATACATGCATAATGATAAAACTGTAAGCACAAAGAGTTCATGTATATAATTTCCACTTCAGGTTATGTTTGGAGCAAACAAGTGTGTATGAATATGAGACTAATGAGTGGGAGTTAATTGCTTTTCCAGATATATTTCACACCTCTCCCCCTCCCGCAGCACCTCTCTAACAGGTAATATTTATTATGTGGTATATAGGGCTGATGGGGCCAAGTTTTACTGCAAACAGGTATGAACAAAAAACAGGACCAGGCAGTCAGAATACCAGGAATCCCAATGTTTGTGGCATAGTTGGGCCTCTTTGTAATCCTAGAGATCTCACTATACCCCAGGCATCTGCAGCAATTAGAAAGTTCAAACACCTTGTTATTTCTTTCTAATAAATTCATTTTTTCTACATTTATCACTTTCAGTTACTTACAGAAACATACTCTCTGACATGAACAACCAGATGCTTAGATCTCTCTTGGTCCAGCATTACTATACCAATATCGTTTTAAAAATTTGTGTCTATAGTTCAAATGGGTTTTGTCTCGATAGTCTGAAGGTTCATTTGTCCAAAAAATGGGTTTTAATCAAGGGTTCATTGGTCCGAAGGTGCTATAGTGAACATTCGGACCAATAAACCTTCAGACTATTGAACCTTCGGACAATTGCTACGGGCCCCGTTCAAATTCAGTGAGCAATTACTTTATAACATTGGTAGTTTGATCTGGTTGCCTCATGAGAGAATTAAGACAATTAATACATTGTATAAAATGCTGTTCTTATAAAAATGTTTCAAGTTACATTTTCATTGCATCAATTCTAGTACACCTTTCAACTTCTACCAGACACAATTTACCTTTACCCAGTTTGTAAACTTAACACAGGTGTATAAAGATGTTGAACTATGATTTTGTTTTCTTCCACTTCCATCTACCTGAAGTTAATTGGAAGACCAATTGATACATTCTGTTTGAAAGATCATTTTTTTAAACTGATACTTTATTTTATTGTTTCTTCTGGTAATTTTGTAAGGTCACTGTGACTATCATGACTATATTCTACCAGAAGGCACCATACCAGTACAAAGTATTAGGTTTTAAAATGTCAACAAAAATATTTTCAGTCTAGCATAAAATAGTTGCTTTAGTACAGAGGGCTCATCAATGGAAGTGCATACCTTGGCAGTAGAAAGTAAGTGGCTGTGTAACGAGAAGGAATTTTTTTTTTAAGTCATCGAAAAAATTGTAATGTCACTTTCCTGTACTCCTACACTGTTTCAAATTTTAAATTGGCTGTCAAATGTCTGCATGACTCAGTATCCATACGTAACTTGTGTGCAACGTTGCCTTCACTACCCTGGGCAATGGTACTTTGAATAGTATTCATTGAGTAACACTTTTTTTAAATACAGGCTTTTGAATCTACAGCTCAGCTTGTTAGGATGCCATTTCAACCCCTTTTGAAACAGGTTCTTTTGTAATACTAGGCAGATCTTGAAGTCCATTTGAATATTATTCTGATTCAATTCTTCATTTTCAAAGCTTTCCAATGTATTTTTGTTGAAATTGCAGTGATTCTTATTGTTGCTTGCATTCTGTATTCCACTCACGGCACAGGTGGTTATTTCAGCCACAGGCTACCATAATGTAAATGCTTGTCTAGGTTTCACCATATTACCTTCAGTGTGCCATGGGTGGGCAACTCAAGTAAGTATATCTATGTGATGTATCATGCTTTCACCAGGTAATTTCATAAATTAGTCCCTTCTGTCTCCTGTTTATTCAGTAATTATGGGTTGGTTGAAATGGTACAGGTGAACTGTAATTCACTCACAAACAAGACACGCTTTCCAAAGACATGCTTACATAAATTGTGCCATTTTTCAAGGTATGTGAACAATACCCAGTTCACAGAGTAACACTTTGTGCCGAGGGGGACCTGCATGACACCCTTCACTCTTCTCAAAACCAGGACTAATTTGGGGCTCTTACCTTCTCAGAAAAAGGAATAAGCAAAAAAAAAAAAAGAAATATTTTATTTACTTCGTTTTTTTTTTTTTTTCAGTAGTGAAAAAGAGGGATAAGAACAGCCAAAAGATATATGTCCCCCCCTTCTCCCTTCATGAAAAGCTATTTAAAGCTTTTAAAAAGACTTCATAACAGCAGGATACAAATATACATACAGACATGTACTTTTGTGGTTTTGCTTGCACTTTAAATAATTCAGGTTTTGAGTTAACAATCTATCACTGCTGAGTAACCTCTTCTCATGACTAATCTTCTATGAATTAGTGTTGAAAAGCTTGAAAAAGTATACACAAATTAAGTCTCTTTGAAAACATTTTTTAATAATTTTGTTTTACTTTTTGTGAAGTTGAAAACTTTTTCTATAAATTTTGGTTGCTGTGTGCAGCACAATGTAAGTCGTCTCTAACACAATCACATCCTCACACAGTCAGTACATCCTACTACTGCAATAGGGCCATTTTTATCACTTTCACTTCATTGGTACAAATGATTCTACTCAAGGAGTATACATCAAGTTTTCCCTTAATTTTAGATGTGGAAATTTCAATAAATAGATTTTCCTGGTATCATAACAATTGCCTAATACCAAAGGATGAAAAATATATGAAGTAACAATCTCTTAAATTATTTTAAATTATTCATCACTTCCAACTTAGAGGGACAAAGGCCCCATTCAGAATAGGGGACTAACTAGTATGAGGGTCAAAAATGGCAACCCACTACAAAGCTTGCCATCTAATCTGCTAATAGACACTGAATAGAAATCCCGTGGGGAAATATTCAAGTGGGCCTGCCATATTTGACCCTTGGACTAGTTGGTCCCCTATTCTAAATGAGGCCAAAGTGTAAGATTTTAAACAAACACTAGGAACATAAACCACTTCTTGGTGAACTTATCTGAGGACAAGTAATACATTTTGATAATTTTTACCAGATAAATGGCATGAACTGATGTTGTCAAAATAATCTCAAAATTTTATCTCCTGACAATCCCCACCAACTGCATCTTGCCACAGTTTTGCGTCAAACAATCTGGAAGTCAGTGTGAGAATCAACTTCAAAGGAATGGTAGAATTTAAAAAACCTCATGTTAAAGCATGGATTAAGGAATTTATTTTCCTTGGTTATAATTGGTGAGTATCAGGAAAGGGGGATCCAAGGTTAATTAGTTGGAGCAAAGTGCCGATTACCCCAGTAAGATTAAGCATGTTTTTTTTTTTTTTTTTTTTTTTTTTTTTACTATATGAAAACATCAACATTATTTCATTTTGTATTGATAAATTAATATTCAAAAATAATAAAGAAAGAAATGGATATACAAAAAATGCAAAGGATTTATTTTACTTGTTCAGTTTATTCATTTTATAGAGCTGCGTATGTAGATAATGCATTAATAAAAGCTTTATTTGGTAAACCAACAAAATTCGTTTTGTTAATTAACTCACATGTTGTACAGATGTTACAACAATTAAAAAATAAAAATAAAAGTGAACTTCATTTATACATTTTTGCTTATCATTATTACTTGAGAAACCACAGTTACTTAAAAACAATTCAACACTTCATAATAACAAATATACAAATACACCAAATGTAGCCTAACTACTTGCGTCTTTTTAGTAACACTGAAAGCACCATTTTGAAACAATTTAACTTGTTCACTGAACTGATTTACAAGGGTTTTCTATCTGAATAATGAATGTCAATATTTCAACAATTTAGATAAACAGTGAACATAAAGTGAGAAATAAGGGCAAAACGAGGTATAAATTATAAAACATCCAATAATTGCCGACAATCTAAATTCATGATCTGCAGGTATTTTGTACATACATATGTATCAATATCACATAATGAGCAAATCTTCCCAAAGAAAAATATGGGAAAAAACATGGTAACATAACAGCTGTTCTGATCAAATACTGAAACTACATTGGCCGCGTAATGAAGCATACTTCTTCTTAGAGTAAAAATCATACAGATTTCCAGGACTGCAGAAGACTGTTTTTCACTTTTCTCCACTTAAATCAACTAACATCACTGTTCTCTTCATCCAGTGGAAACATGACATAAATGAAATATGGATAACACAGGTAAGGCTTAAAAGTCTCTTTACAGCAAAAATTACATCTGCATGCCCATGTTGAAAAGTTACAGTATACTCATTAAGTGAAAGATGGAAAGGTATTCTACAGGGGTTCATCTATTATCACAGAATTGACACATCATTTTTCAGATTTATATGCCCTAAAATTGATTAAAAAGATGAAGTCTCTAGCTCACTGTGCTAGTTCTGTTTGGATGCTGGCCTAACTTCATGCGCAGCCAGTTTGTAGGAGCAGAACATGTGACAGGGAAGGTGCGCGAAAAGGGACCCTGGTAGTGACCTTTACCCTAAAATTTTAACAAAATATCCTTTATATGTCATCCAATATTTATGCAGTGATGTACCCATATAGCAAATTAATTATGTTAAAAAATAATGCCTGGAAAAACATGCAACTAAGGGCTCATTCACAATGAAATGATTGTTCCACTTAGATAAATCCAACTCCGCAGGGACTCTTGCTGAATGCAATCAGATTAACATGCTTCCCTTTGTTTCAAGTGTACTTGTATTATCACCAACCTGTCTGTATTCTACTCAAAACCAAGAAAAAGCCTGTAAATCTGATTGCATTCAGCATGTCCCCACAGAATTTGATCAGTCTATGTAGAATGATAATTTCATTGGGAAAACGCCCTTAAAAGACAGATATAAGCAGCAGCATTTTGTGTAGGTGGGGCTCAACAGTCTGAAGACTCATTGGCCACATATGACTTTAAAACTTTACAAGTATGATTAATTGAGGGAAAAACAGGTTACAAGTTCATTGGGCCAAAAGTTTATTAGCCCAGAAGTTGATTTTTATATTATAATAACATCATAAAACTTCTCTCTTTTAAATATTATTTTGATGCAAAAACTACAATCTTCATCTGGTTATTCTGGGAAATAAATAGAGCCTAACAGGAAAAAAGCTCTTCTGAACATTGCCAAAATAGTGATATGTGTCATTTAACTCACCTGTCTGTCAAAATTGAAGTGTTTCTTGGCCCCTAGTGTCCACTTAATGGACTTTGTGGGTGAAGCTGTGAGACTCCGTAATGCTGGAGAAGGGGAGGGGTCTATTTGTGGGAAGCCAAAATCTTCTGTTTTTGATCTTTGTAGCTGAAGCTGCTGTACACTGTTAAAAGAGAACTATTTCATTAAGAAAGAAGATTATGAGAAAAATACACCTTTTGGCAACCCTAAAAAAATACTGAGTATGTTTATGCATTGAAAGATAAAACCCTCAAAGGTCTGGAATGAAAACCTAGCCATTGTTTTATACACTTTAACTTCTTCAGATCTTCACATAAAGACATTTAGGAAAATTAAAAGATAATTGTGCAAAATAAAAATAAATTATTCTCTTACCTATTTATCACCATCTGTGGTTCATCATACTTTGCTAAATGGACAAAGCGATCCTGATTTCCCAGTGTGTACTTAGAGTATGCAGGATGGCTGTAAACATGTCTAGAATCATAGGAGGTCTTTGGCATCTTCTTGGAGTAAACTTTTGAAGACTGGAGAATAAAGTTCCTTAAGCTAAAATAGAAATTGAAAAAACATGAGATAAAAGTATTCAATCAATATTGCATTGAAATTAATGCTAGCTAGAATACCTATTCAATACCCCCCTCCAAAAAAAAAGGGGGGGAGCTAGTAAATGCTAATATTTGTATGTGACCAAAAAAAAATCTGGATTTATCATGCTTAAAGTGAGGAAACTGCAAAATATTTATAATACACTCTTTATAAATATGTCACACTGATGGGCAAAGTAATACCTAAGCAATTGCATGAACATGATTTTGTCAAACATTGACAAAACTTGAAAGGACGATTTTGTCAAATGTATGATAATACCTGTAAATGTATGCCCTTGAATTTTGTACATGTACAAGCAGGTCATAACTATGCCTTAACCAAGTTGCTTATGGCCCATTTCTATTGAAACTATTGTTCAACATATATTGATCTAAATCAGCTGGGACTATTGCTTAATGCAATCAGATTGATAGATTAATATTACTTCTCTTATTTCCAATGTACCTTTATAACAACAAGCTTTTCTGTATTCCACTTGAAGCCAAGAGGAGGCATGTTAATCTATTAATCTTGTTGCATTCAACGAGAGTTACAGCAGAACTGGATCGATCTACATAGGACAATTGTTTCCTTGGGAATGAGCCTTTATACACGTTAGGTTCCACATCTCTCTACTAGCTACCTGTTATAGTCCACATCACAGTCACTCCACAATTTTAGTAAATTTTCTGAGCCATCTTGATCCCCGGCTGCAGCCCCCTGTCCCTCCTGTGGCACACTGGACGGCTGAGTCCTAGGGAGGCGATATGGTACAGGCTCCTCCCTGACTGCCCCTGTTGTCCCAGATGTATCCACCTGGTGGTGGCCTATGTCTGGTAGTCCTATCGGGCGGGGCCTATATTAAATAAGATACTTTAAGTTAGACATAAATCAAAATGCCTATAAATAGTATATATATATATATATATATATATATATATATATATATATATATATATATATATATATATATATATATATATATACATGAAATGCTAAATAAAATTCCTGGATTTCTAGGCTAAAAACATGTTGACAGTGTTCCTCAAGAGGTGACCCACTTCTGTAGAAAACCTGCTAAAATGTATTACGACTTCATGAAAGCTAAAGCCTTAAAATTAACTACTATACTCCCTATAATCATGCCATGCTAAAACAACATGAGCCAACACGTACAGCACCAAAAGCCACACTATAGCCACTTTTTATCAAAAACAAACCTCAGTTTTCCCCGAAACTGATTCATTTCACATACTGAGGGACATCGTTGTCCTAAACTGTGCTCTTGTCCCCAGTTCCTAAGGAAAACCAAGACCTTGCAGAACACAGAAATGTGATGAAAGATGCATTCACATGTTAATACTGCACCCCATTTGTTGTGGAGCACACAACAATGGCAGATAGAGTATTACAATAACTGTGCTCTTAAAACCACCTTGTGAACTGCAGCAGTAATTCAACACCCCCTTTTCAAATCGCACAATGAAACATCAATGCCCAATTCAAGCAAATGTATTTGAACTCTTTCTGTGGTGTGTTTACGTTGTTTCACTTTGGCGCAAACTGCCTTAGTTACAGAGGTTGACCTAGGAACACGTTTTCACAATTTACATGGCAGTTTCAATAGCTAACGTTGAATCACACTCCACAACTCAGCACGGCTCACTGAACTTAAATGAACATAATCAGATTTCGCCTTTCAAAATGTGTACAACCAGTAAAGTTTTCCTTCTCACAGTCATTAATAAGTAAGCTAATATGGGGTCAGCTTACAAATAAAAACAGTTCACATCACACCATACCACAATCAGGAACTTAATGTGGCAGCCAGAAGAAGAGGGCAATCTGGGGACCCTTGATACACTGTACATTAATGATCCATTGACTGGCATGTGTTACCATACAGCTTACTGCATGGTTACCTAGGTGGAGAAAAGATCGCTTCTAGACCTTTAAATCTATTCGGTATCAACTCTAAGAAATAAAAATACAATTTCTCAGCAGAAGTAATTTTGTGAACCTAAATAATACAAAAAGAAAACTGATCACTATTTGCCTTTTTTGGAATTATTTGTTCATGCAAATGTTTTGCATGTTGTTCCACAGAATATGTATCAATTTTACATCAATTTATAGCATTCACAAAATTAAGAAGTTAATTTTCCTATTCATTTGTCTTATACATTTTTCTTGTCTGCGTCTTTAATCAAAAGCCACAGCATGCATATGAAAACACATCTATTCTGAAGTTTCTGCAGAAAATTTACTTCACATTTAAAATAAAGCCTAAACACACAACCTGTCAAAAATACAATATTGCTCATGTGAAAAGAGACAGCACTCCAGCTGTTACTTCAATGAAGCTAGGTGGACTTTGAATATCATTACCTCCCAGCATTAAGAGCCAAATTCACCAAGGTATTGTGCTGATTTGTCCAGTTACATCCAGTTCAATGGTTCACCTTTTTCTGGAGTTGTTAAGGAAAAAAAACTAAACAAAAGTAATATTAAAATTTTGGCAAAAAGGCACAACAAATACTCACCTAACTTTAACATAATTGAAACTAAATGATGGAAACATCAGAACCAGTGTAGGCTAAACTGAAATTGCTGCAGATCCAACCCCTGCCTTCCACCTCACTCGGCCATTTTGTTGCTATACAATGGTGTCTGGGGTGATAGGTTAAGTAAACAGGTAACTGATTGCCAGAGTGCAATTAACCTACATGTTAGGCAGCAGTAAAAACATTTGTGATAACAGAGTACTGTGAGCAGACATGTGGCTACCAGTGATAAAAACAATAAATATTAATAATTAATATTAATCTCTTTATTTTTTATGTAGATAAGTTTTTCTTTATTTTTTGTTTTGTAACACAAATTCCTCAATCTGTACCTCTGGACAATATTTTTCCTAAATTTTGGACCCTATTAATCAAGCTTTTTTATTTCACTTTAATTGGCAGTATTTTCATTTAGTTGTCAGCAAAAAAAGCATCTGATCAGTTTCATTCTCAAATACTCTACCAGGTTCTTCAATTATCACAAGAGTTGACGCACATTTTTCAGAGTTATAGATTTTTTCAATAAATGTAACACTTAGTCTATAGTATTTGACTCTTTTTGTATGACACAAAACTTGTGGAAATTAAGAAGACAGCAGTAATTTTGGAACTTTCTGTAGCTTAGTATTACTCAATATTAAGTAACCATTTTTACTCTCACCAAAATTTCACAAAAAGACACTACAGCCTTTTACATCAGTTCTACAAAATGTGCAAAATTCTGGTTTTGTCAAAAATGTTTAAATATAACAATGATGACTCATATCTTTCCCTAAATCAGAAAGAAAGAAATATAGGAATAAAAACATCTGTTCAGATCTGTGCTTTTTGGTTTTACAACTCTTTTATCTGTCTGCAACTTTTTTCAATAATCCTTGTATTCATACAATTCATACCATGTTGAAATATTCCTTTATCAAGTTCAATCATTTGACAAGTTTTTTTCTCTAAAAATCTTTCAAGCACAGATATCATCACTTTTTTAAGAATCTGAGGCATCTTCCTGGAGCTCCTCCTGGTATTGTTTCTTCAGATTCTGTAAATACATTCTCAGTGTGTGTTCATCCAGCCTGGAGTTGTGTGCAGCCTGACTCAGTCTGGATGCTAGCTTATACACTGCCCTATGTTTTCTGGCCTCCAGGGAAGCTCCCTGTGTTTGCTGAAAGAAAATTATATTTAAACAATTAAACTGATCTGATATCTTCTTATATATTGCACGGAAAGGGAAAAACATTATCCCAAGGCATAATTATGTGGTAGCCCCCCTCCCCATTGTTCATATTATCACACAACCAACAAAGAATAAAAAAGATGTCATCTGAACTTAAAATGTCAACTTCATTATGAAAAATGTGTTTATTCAAAATGCATGGACACATATGTGTACCTCTTTCTGTTCTGCGATGGCCTTAGCCACAAGTTTTGCATCTTCCACAATAGAGGAAGGTAGAGTTGATACCTGGGCAAGTTCAATACCTTGGATATAAAAAAATTAGGAGTAGTTTAAAATACTGTCAATTTGACCTCAATCAAGGAAAACTAATCATCTTTTTCAAAATGCAATTTAAACTTGCAATTTATCTTTATTTGTGTTATATATATATATATATATATATATATATATATATATATATATATATATTTGTAAACATACCATAATGTTTTTCCTTGGAAATGCCTTTAGACAAAACATGGGTGTACTGCAATTTCTCATGATGGGTTTCCGCTGCATAAAGTCTTTGGACTTCAAAGTGATAACTAAAAGCATAATTAACAATTATAACTTCCTTTGTTATTACATTTGCAAATTTACAACAAAAAGTGATCAATACTTCATTACATGTTTTGAAAACCATGAAGTTTCTTCATTGTAAGACTAGGACTTACTTCTCCACATTTGGATAAAGGTTTCCCAAGTTGGTCAACTCACAGAAATGTGTGGCAAAGAATGTAAAAGCCTGCAAGTAACAATTTGAAATTTTTATTAGGGCCAGTGAATCCCGATTCGAACCAGTAGATTTTAAGAAAGTTCTGGTCTGAATGTCCAGTAATCTGAAAAGTTTATGGCACAGACTGGATTCACAACTTGATACCCTGGTTAGTACATAAGAGAGCCAACTTAACCAATCCTTTGTGCTTGACACAGCCAATTAATGAAAAACTGCAGAAGAACAACTTGAAAAAGAGAGTAAAAAACCCAGTATAGAATAAATACATGTAAAGACATGATAAGCATGCTGCTCGATGTGATAAAAAATTAATTACTTAAAACAACTGTAATTTTACATCTTGAAATAAAGTATGAAAATCATCAGCAGCTGAAACAGTACTCCAGAGACCTCATCTCAGGCCTTATCAACTAGGCATTGAAATGTCTACTGTCAAAATATATTGCCTGCTGCAGCTTACTTTGAGAGAAAGAAGATGTTCACAGACAGCCTGGGATATTCCAATTCCTTCATCAGCACTGGTGCCTGCAACAAAACAAACTGTAGCAATATTTTTTAACGATCAATCATACTAAAACATTTAATTGATTCAACGAACAAAAGTACACCTAGTTTATGAAATAACATCTCTGCTAAAATCAAAACCAACATTCACACTGGAATGTTTTTTTTTTATTTTTATTATTTTTTTTTTTACAATAATATAATTTTACAGTTAGGTGGACAAAGCTCATGTCTCAGACAAATAGTGTCTGTACATAAAAATGATTGACAGGTTTTAGTGTAGCTCATCATTTCTTATCGTAATAACTGTAAAAATAACTTTCAGATACACCCACAAAGCATGCTGAGCCTTACCTCTCCCCAGTTCATCAATGATGATTAGAGATGTTGCAGATGCATTCTGGATAATATAATTAATCTCTCTCATCTGTAAATGATAAAAACACCAAATTATAATTCTGTTTGGCTCAAATAATAGAACAAACATTTGTGTCACGTCCATCATGACTGAATTTTATGAACTTTTATGTGTTTATAATACAAGGACATCCAAGCACTATAAAATATACCCTAAAGCATGTTCACTTGTCACTACCTCTAGCATAAAGGTTGATGAGTTGGTCTCAATGTCATCATCACTACCAATTCTAGAGAAGATCTGGTCACAGACTCGAAACGAAGCAAAATCTGCAGGAACCCAAGACCCAATCTGAGCCATAATTTGGAGCAAGGCAATCTGGCGAAGGTATGTAGACTTTCCACTCTGATTAGAAAATAAATATTAAGTTACAAAAAAGTATCAATATTGTGTCAAACAAGTCAAGATCTGCCCTTTGTTTTTAGTTTTCTGACAGCCAAAAATATTCCAGTTTCTAAGTTATTTTTTTAAATTTTAACTTTATGTAATGAGTGTAAAAACAAGGTAAATATAAAAATTATCTTCCCCATGTTTTATCCACTATTTGTTTAAAATATTTGAAAATTTGTTCTTTCCTCACCATATTTGGCCCTGTTATGATGAGAAAGTTGCTTTCATCTGATGCATACTGAAAATGAAAAACAACTCAACTGTTAAAAAAACTGAGGTTGTCCCAGGACCCATAAAAATATCACTTGACAACTAAGTTTAAGACTTTGCTAAGTCCCCCATGTTCACTACTCATGGTCAGATTTCACTTGCCGTGTTTCTGAGATTGTCTTTTAACTATCAACCTCGAACAAAAAAAATTATCCACCAGTGCATACATACCACATTGTTAGGTACAGGTGTCTCCACTGATATTTTATCCAAGATGGGATGTCTTCCTTGCTTCACAGCCAGTGTATCTGTAAATTCTGGGCGAACTGCACAGATAATTCTTCTTCTTTAGCAATTATTTCAGGAATGTGTATGAAACAATTTACATTTGACTATAAATATGTCGACTGATCAGTTTTGATTTCACTACCAAAAATACTACCAAAAGTACCAAACTTACATTTACACTTTATACAAATACAGATCGAAGCACATCTGCACTTGAAAAGGCCAGAGAAGTTTGTCAATGTCAGATTACATTATTAGGTGCATGTTCGAATGGAATGAGGTCATAACATAAAGTAGAATGATCTTACCATACTCAGACAGCGAGCATGCATGAGCCAGAGAGACAAGCAGGTCTAGGGAAGCCACACACTCCGTCAACTTGTACAGACATCCAATCTGACTCCGAATGTCAGTCAGCAGTTCACTCACAACACTGAAATACAGTGCTCAAAATTAAACAACATAATCACATTTTCTATATTTCTAACAAGTCTTTACCTAAAAGACAGAAGATGCAGATTACACTACATGTGTTCCTTGGGAAATCTGCTTGTGCAAACTGTAAATACTTTGTTTTACAATAACTGAAATAATAACCAAAAAGGTAAAATAAATTAAATTAATTAATAAAATGAAGGTAAACAATAACAAAGATAAAATATTATTATTATTATTTTATTATTATTATTATTTTTTTTTTTTTTTTTTTTTTGAGAAAAAAGTGTCTTTTATATAGAGAAAGGTCCATAAACATCTGACCAAACAACTATGACATAAATGCACTTACACATTAGATATCAGGCAGATTTCCTGTAGGGATTCCCTTATTCGATCTGTAAAATAGTTACATATGTAATAGTGTCTTGTTCAAAGAATGTGCCATTCAAAGGATTTTAACTTAAATAACATTATAACATTCTCTTAGCAACCCCCATTTTTTTGCCTAAAATCAATTACTAAATTTGCATTCTTTGCACTTTAATCAGAGTTGGGTAGTAATTCCATTATTCAAAGAATGAATATGCCATTCATTCATAGGAACAGGCCATTTTAATACAAAATAAGATGATTCCAGGCAAGAAAAACTCCAAGGACAGCACTTTAATGACATGTTTTTTGATTGAAATGTGATAGCTTCTGGACAAAATGACACAAAAATACTTCACGCTTATTTATTTCTTTATCAAAATATAAGATTATAAAAAGAATTCTTTTCATCGTTGTTTACTTTATTAATATGAAAAAATTCCAGTACTAATCAAAACAGGTGATGATCATGCAGGAACCACCTAAAAAAACATGCCACGATAAGTTTTGAAAACTATCAAGTTAAGCTGACATATTTTTTCCTGATCTTTTCAAATTACAGCCTTGAATTACCATTCATCTTTATCTGCAAGAAAAAAAAACAGTGATTAGCATCATGTGCTTACAAATCTTGTGTTTAATTTTGCTGATAACACATGTACTGTATACATAACTTTCAGATTAACACCACCATGTGTAAGAACAAAGTAAGTCTTAGTTATAAATGTCCAATAAGACTAAAAAAAGTTTTTTTCTGTTGGTACATTTTGACCTGACATTTTACAAAACTTTCCAAATCTTTCATAAAAAATCCTAAGCCAAAACACTTAAAAGTATATATTATACGTATGCATATAATTTTACATATAGACAAGCTAGTTCCACACAGTACATCTTACCAAATCTGTGGTGGTAAAACTAATGGTATTCTTAAACTTGTTCACTTTAATGAAGATTCCAGGCAGTTCTGCAGCAGATGGACCACCGTCTTTCCCCCCACAGGTCATGTGTATGTAAAAGCCTCGAGTGACACTGTACCCAGTCTTCAATGGCAGCATATGCTCTGTGCTCAGTTGTTTTATAAGTTCTAAAAAATGAAATGTCTCTAAAGTTAATTGTATCTAATATACAGAGTGTCTTCAGACTAAAAATATTTCTAAAATATGAACAAAACTGACATGTGGTAACCACAAAAACATGAATAACACCAACTGATAGCTAGAAATGTGTACAGGCCGGTAAGCAACTACCGGTATTTGCACTATTTTTAAGTTCCACTCATGACATTGGGCAATCAGAAGAAAAGGCATGGAAGTCTTCCTTTTATAGCTAACATATATAATATTATTTACATACAGTGTGTGTATGTGGGGGGAGGGGGGGCGGGGAGGGCGCACATGCATGCTCATTTGTGTTTGTGTCAAAGCCATACCTGATATGTCATCAACAATTTCTGTGTATGTTCTTCTGGCCACATCCAGTAATCCTGTGGTGAAAATAATTGTTTATATAATAATAATAATAATAATAATAATAATAATAATAATAATAATAATAATAATAATGTTTATTGAGCACTTAATGTGTACATGGTTTGATATTTGCTGGCTCACTAAAATAAGAGTAGTATATATATACATGTATACAATAAGTATCATAATGAATATCATAACATGACATATTGATAACCACATACATTTCAGAGATTTAAAATTTTTCAGAGATTAAAAATTTTAGAAATAATCATAACAAGGCATTTTTAATTTGTGCATGCAGGTATGAATAACTGATAACAAGAAACATGTTAATTCAAATGTTATTCAAAAATTATAATTATAAGAATTAATTAAGTATTAATGTTATAATTATTTTAATTTCATTTTAAATATCATGTTATTAGTTTTTAAAAATATATCAAAACAATCAAAATTACAACTGGCAGATCATGGAACATTATCTGCTTTTGCAGAAGAAGCATCACATGACAATAAAATAGAATGCAACAATTTCAACAAGAACCCCATAACATAGAATCCATTTTCAAAACAACACATTCAAAACAGGTTTCCATAAATATAATTTATTTTTAATATATGAGTACTCACCATTAATATTAGGCTTACCGTACAAATAGAATCATATTACAAATCAAATCTATCATCAGATATGTTAGAAATCACTTTGAAATTCACTTTCATGCACAAGATTCAAATCAATATTATGAGAATCATGATAATTTCATTTTCAGATTTAAAAAACATACATCCTGATATATTGGTTTGGGAGTGTTTACCATCTGATTAAGAAATCCATAAAGCAACATTTATTGACAGCTGTTAAGTTATCTGTACAAAATGGGTTCCAACATGACAAATATTAAATTAGCAATTCCAGACATTGAGGTAATGATAAATATACTTTAAAGCAATAAACAAGATTTCAAAAACTAATACACTTCTGGATTAAACTACATTTCACCAAACCAACACTTAAAGGAAATCAGGTAAACTACACGCAAAAAAAGTTTTGTGATCACTTTTTTAAAAATGAATTAAACAGTCCACGATTCAAACTCACTTCCTTGCAATCAAAATCCAATTTGAGTGGATTAAAACTCACAAATAATTCCCTAGCACTACTATTAAATAATTACAATGATAGGCCTTGCAAAGCCCATTCCTAAGACTTTAAACGAATTCCTAGCTCTACATTCTAGGAATCACAATAATGTGCATAAATGCCCTGGCCAATTCTGAAGGCTTACCTTGACAGCAAAGCACTTCTGTGTCCTCATGTTGAGACTGCCCTTCTGGAATCTGGTGTCCTCATGGATGACGCTGTGAACTTTTTCTCTGATCACATCAAACCTTGAATCACCAAGGGTCTGGAAAGTGTGAGTGTTACATGTTGATGCTTATCTGCTCCAATAAGACCAAATGATGTGTAAAATTATACAATAAATATAAAATTCAAGGCACTGTATGTATTTTTATCTTAAATTTAAATCTTCGTTATAGGTTGGGGTAAGTTTACACCCTTTTAAATATTAATATCATATATTAATTTAATGCCCATTCTTAAACAAGTGCGATTTTTCTCATCAAGTTAAACTGTAAAAGACTGTTTTGACTATAAAGCATGGAACAGATTTGATATTTATTATGTTTATTTAAAGGGATTTTCCTGTGATTGGAATGAGATGCTGACCATTTGATAATACTGTACATTTAAATGACATCTCCCAATGGCTTTCTCTCGCCAATTTTGAAACGAGGAGAAATGTGAAGATAAAACAAAGCCGGAAATGTACATACACCAAAAAAATTACTTTTTGTAAAAATAATCATAAGGTGATTTTCAAAAGGAACCTGCCTAATTAACATAATACAAGACACCACTCTACAAATTTTAAGTAAAACAAAAGTGAAGTTTAGCAGTTATGGGGGCAAAAAATCTGTGACTCTTGTAAGATAAATTGATCATGATTTAAAAAAAAAAAAAAACTTTTTTCACAAAAAATGCTATTAAGTAAATTCAAAGTACATCAAAAATATGCTTTGGCAATTATGGGGACAAATGCTTTGGATGGCAATAGCGACGATATGAACAGACACAGTGATCATAATATATACAAACATATTCAGTGTCTGTGTATAGAAAAAAATTCTGCCCCTATCCAAGTTGTGACACACTATTAATTATTTATACTGCATACATCATGGTATGCCTTGAAGAGAGAGTTTGTGGAGTCCTTTAGAGCCTCTTTCAAAGGTTCCACCAGTTCCAGAGTGTGCTTCAGGTAGATCACATTGGTTATCTTGTTCTCTGCTGTCTTTAGGGTCTCCTGCTTGGGCAGCTGGACACACAGGGACAGGAGGTGGTCAATGTCCATGAATCTGGACAACACAGACTGCAAGTTGTAGAAAAGTTCTTCATTCTCTGTTAACTCCTGGACAGCATCAAGTCTGGTGGTTATCGTCTCCAGGTCTGTATATAGAATAATGAAGTTTTACACTGGGACCAGCCTGAAAATTGTTCTTAGTGTATCTTAATTATTTATCTGTTCACATCAAAAAGCACTTTTTTCTTAGACCGCATTCACAACAATTTGAACCAGGCTTTACAAATCCTGAGACTAAATATGGCGGACGTACATGAAAGGAAAACCGCCTAATCTTTTAATAATAATAATAATAATAATAATTATAATAATAATAATATTTATTTATAGTCTAAAATCCAACATGTGTTCAGTAGACTTTACAAATATTATAAAATTCAAATTAAAAGAAAAATATTGCTAATGGTTATAAGATGAAAAAAAAGGAAAATGATTAACTAAAACTATGACTAAGAACAGTTTTTCTTAAGAAGTGTTTTTTCAAGAAATAGTCTCTCCGCCTCTCACACGCCTCCCCACACGTCGTCCCTGCGGGGTACAGTCATTAAATCTCGGCTCCATTTGCCATGTGGAAGCTACCTGAGAAAAAGTAATGAATTGGCCCGTAGAGCAGCTATGAATCAGGATCAAAATCGTGAAAACACCCCCCCTTCCAGTTCGATCAGGCGTAGGGAACAAGGCAAACATCAGCATCAGAACGAACTGCGCCCTCTGACGAGACTGCATACACAAAAATTCTGCCCTCCTCCTCCTCCGTCTACTGGGGCTGGGTATCTCAGTGAATATCTCTGGTGACATTATCTCCATAGATAGCCGATTCATTGCTGCTCTACGGGCCAATTAATTTCTTTTTCGTCTCTGTTTTGAGAGATAATAGAACAGAAGAGCTTTTTTCCTTCGATCGCCTCCAGCCGCCATGCTTTCTTCACCTCGAGTTTATTAATTGATGAGCATGCGCACTTAATATTTCTCAGGTAGCTTCCGCATGGCGAACGGAGTGGAGATTTAATGACTGTACCCCGCAGGGACGACGTGTGGGGAGCCGTGTGATAGGCGGAGAGACTTTTAAAAGATTAGGCGGTTTTCCTTTCATGTACGTCTGCCATATTTAGTCTCAGGATTTGTAAAGCCTGGCTCAAATCGTTGTGATTGCGGTCTTTTTTCATCATGTATAGTCGTCCCATACATATACAATTGATGTATTCAGTATATGACAGAATATGCTGGTTTAAAAGTTCTTTTTCCATGGTGCTGGGAATAATAGAAATAACACTGAATCTGAATACAGTGGATTGACATATATGAACCATTATGTCTGTGCTGTGTTAATTTTACAGAAACGAGATTAAATTATCAAGTCTGGTTCATAATGCAAGTCAGAGTTATAAATACAGCAGATGACATCCTACTGCAAAACACACATATATTAACTTGCACATAAAATAGAAAATTTTTTCTACAGCAACTGGTAAGTTTGTGAAGAAAAGAGAGGCATTTTGAAAACTTCTCACTAAATGGCATTATTTTTTCTTCTTCTTAATAACAAGCCCTATAAGTCGTAGATTAAACTTTCTTAGTCTTCCAACTTTTCACAAATGAGAAATTTTTGTTGCAGATTTTATGTAGACCTTTTTTTTTTTTAATGGGCATTATCAATTCCACACATGATTTAAGCATACTTCAGTTCAACTGCAAAAAAAAAAAATCCCTTGATTTGAATTCTTACCACATGGAGGCTGCAGTATGTTGGACCGCAGCAACCTGGCTCCTCCAGTTGTCTTAGTGAAATTAAGCATGCCAAACAGAGTATGTTCGCTCTTAGGGTCTTGGAGATTCTGAAGCAGTTCAAGACTTCCAGCTGTAGTTGAATCTGTAAAGTAATAAATATATAATAAATGAAAGAGTGTACATGTTACTGGTGTGTGCCATACCGATTTTGATTATCACTGGTATATTCATATAATGTAATTATATCTTTTATGTGACTATTATGAGAACAATTTGGTAAAATTTCAGTCACTGGATCTGACGTGATTTTGATTTAGCAAACTTTTAGATGAGTAGAAAAACTCACCAATCATTGTGGTCATTTCACTCCCTTTGAAGATCACCTTAAGAGAGCTTGGTGCATATACAACATTCTGAATAAATTCAACATACTTCAGTAGGGCAGCAGTAGTGGCAAGGCAGTAATACCTAAGGTGTAATAATGTTAATCTTTATCACATTTCACTATATAATCTATTACAAATATAAAAGAATACTGAATATAGAATGCCAATGTGTCATAATACAGTCTGAAGTAAAAAAAACCATGCAAAGATACTGAAAAAAATATAATGTACATGTTATAGAAATAATAATAATTATAATAACAGTATGTTCTAGGTATTTCTCAGTGGTATATTGATAACTTGAACAGTACAACCAGATCACAATGCTTTATGTTTGGAATATACTGTAGGTCCATCTAATCTCTGCAGCAACCCGTTTTGTTGAAATTGCAGAATATGATACATTTCCCTTATGGCGATATTGTTATTGTATGGAAAAATATGGTATTGTTTTACTTTGTATCTTTCGCAGGAAGACATCAAAACAATAAACTGGGATGTTACTCATGTACTAAAACAAAGTACAACCTATGTAAATATGCCAGAGGGGCATTTTACAGTATTATTTGCATATTTATCATGTGATACAGTGTTTCTATTTTCTGAGGGGTTCTAGGCATACCTCCATGGGAATTAAGTCCCATTTAAAAAAATTGTGACATTCAATGATTTGCAGTTTTTTATGGCATCCAAAAAGACCCTATTTTTCTGCTGAGATCCAAAATGACCCAAACTTTTAAATTTTATGAAAACCCTTAAGCAACTTGATGTTATAAAACAAATTTATGTTGAGGTACCCCAATGCTGAAGCTCATGAAGAATGAAATGACAACATATGCATAGTGAAGATTAGTTTCGGAGCAGTACGTCAATTTTCCCTAAGCATATCTGTCACATCTGCATATTCAACAATTTCATGGCTTAATTTTCTCTTCACATTTTCTATCACGTATTAATTTCATCTAAAATTTGTTTTTTTTTACCTTTGCCAAACTTATTTTACACAGCCAACTATGATATGCCACATCTTTGAGATTTTAGAATAAAGCAAAACATGCAGAAAAAATTACTCTCATCTGAACCTACTTTCCAGCCAGCTCCATTTCCACTGTTGTACACTCTGGCAAACTCAGTTGCTTGATGTACTGTAAACCTACAAGTAAACAAATAGTTAAAGACAAGAAAGGGAAAAACTATAAGATACTCAATCATCGTCTTTAAATCAAAGGCCTATACCTCCATGGCCTTAAACACAGTCAAAACATTGGACCCCATTCCCATACCCACCATCGGTCGACATAGAACAATCCAACTCTGCAGGGACTCTCACAGAGTGCAACCAGCTTAATTGAATGACACGTCGCCACCCCCCCCCCCTTTTGTCTCCAACATACTTGTATAATCACCTACTTTTCTGTATTCTACTCAACGCCAGTAGGCAGCATGTCATTCAGTTACAATGAATACACTCAGCGAGGGTCCTCGCAAAGCTGGGTCAATCTACATAGAGCGATGGTGTCTATGGATATAGCGTCTTAATTATGCCTCTTTTTATCAGAAAAATGAAAACCATCTCAGGTTATCAGTTAATTTGCACTTTTTTTATTAATTGATGAACAATCAATGACAGTACTTTTTCTTANATTTCCTGTATTTGGTCTGTACATTTGACAGCTTTGCTGCCTTGTTTTTATATCGTGTTTACAGTGTGGAATATATGCTGAAAAGTGAAAAAACAGCATAACTACTAAAATAATGGCCCAATCATGCTGATTTTCAAACTTGACCTGTATTTTAGTAATATTGATTGCTCTTGTGAGTTTCATGACAACAGGCCCATCGGTTTTCCTTGAAATGTGTTTACAGTGTTGCATATATGCTGAAAAGTGAAAAAACAGCATAACTTTTACAATAATGGCCCGATAATGCTGATTTTCGAACTTGACCTGCGTTTTATGAATATTCATCAGCTCTGTAAATATACAGCCAAAAAGTAAAACTGTCTTCCACTTATCATGTTTACGCTGAAAGTGCACGGCGACGACGGCAACACCGGCGACGACGACGACGGCGACGGCAACGACAGATGCAGGTGATGGCAAATTAATTGGCCCGTAGAGCAGCTATGAATCGGGATGAAAATCGTGAAATAACCCCCCCCCCCCTTTCCAGTTAGATCAGGCGTAGGGAACAAGGCAAACATCAGCATCAGAACGAACTGCGCCCTCTGACGAGACTGCATACGCAAAAAATTCTGCCCTCCTCCTCGTCTACTGGGGCTGGGTATCTCCATGAATATCTCTGGTGACATTATCTCCGTAGATAGCCGATTCATTGCTGCTCTACGGGCCAATTCATTTCTTTTTCGTCTCTGTTTTGAGAGATAATAGAACAGAAGAGCTTTTTTCCTTCGATCGCCTCCAGCCGCCATGCTTTCTTCACCTCGAGTTTAATTGATGAGCATGCGCACTTAATATTTCTCAGGTAGCTTCCGCATGGCGAACGGAGTCGAGATTTAATGACTGTACCCTGCAGGGACGACGTGTGGGGAGGCGTGTGAGAGGCAGAGAGACTTTTAAAAGATTAGGCGGTTTTCCTTTCATGTACGTCCGCCATATTTAGTCTCAGGATTTGTAAAGCCTGGCTCAAATCGTTGTGAATGTGGTCTTATTTCATCATGTATAGTCGTCCCATACATATACTATTGATGTATTCAGTATATGACAGAATATGCTGGTTTAGAAGTTCTTTTTTCATGGTGCTGGGAATAATAGAAATAACACTGAATATGAATACAGTGGATTGACATATATGAACCACTATGTCTGTGCTGTGTTAATTTTACAAAAACGAGATTAAATTATCAAGTCTGGTTCATAATGCAAGTCAGAGTTATACATACAGCAGATGACATCCTATTGCAAAACACGCATATATTAAATTGCACATAAAATAGAAATTTTTTTCTACAGCAACTGGTAAGTTTGTGAAGAAAAGAGAGGCATTTTGAAAACTTCTCACTAAATGGCATTATTTTTTCTTCTTCTTAATAACAAGCCCTATAAGTCATAGATTAAACTTTCTTAGTCTTCCAACTTTTCACAAATGAGAAATTTTTGTTGCAGATTTTATGTAGACCTTTTTTTTTAGTTTAATGGGCATTATCAATCCCACACTTGATTTAAGCATACTTCAGTTCAACTGCAAAAAAAAAAAAAATCCCTTGATTTGAATTCTTACCACATGGAGGCTGCAGTATGTTGGACCGCAGCAACCTGGCTCCTCCAGTTGTCTTGGTGAAATTAAGCATGCCAAACAGAGTATGTTCACTCTTAGGGTCTTGGAGATTCTGAAGCAGTTCAAGACTTCCAGCTGTAGTTGAATCTGTAAAGTAATAAATATATAATAAACGAAAGAGTGTACATGTTACTGGTGTGTGCCATACCGATTTTGATTATCACTGTAATTATATCTTTTATGTGACTATTATGAGAACAATTTGGTAAAATTTCAGTCACTGGATCTGACGTGATTTTGATTTAGCAAACTTTTAGATGAGTAGAAAAACTCACCAATCATTGTGGTCATTTCACTCCCTTTGAAGATCACCTTAAGAGAGCTTGGTGCATATACAACATTCTGAATAAATTCAACATACTTCAGTAGGGCAGCAGTAGTGGCAAGGCAGTAATACCTAAGGTGTAATTATGTTAATCTTTATCACATATCACTAAATAATCTATTACAAATATATAAAGAATACTGTATATAGAATGACAATGTGTCATAATACAGTCTGAAGTAAAAAAAAACATGTAAAGATACTAAAAAAAATATAATGTACATGTTATAGAAATAATAATAATAATAACAGTATGACCTAGGTATTTCTCAGTGGTATATTGATTACTTGAACAGTACAACCAGATCACAATGCTTTATGTTTGGAATATACTGTAGGTCCATCTAATCTCTGCAGCAACCTGTTTTGTTGAAATTGCAGAATATGATACATTTCCCTTATGGCGATATTGTTATTGTATGGAAAAATATGGTATTGTTTTACTTTGTATCTTTCACAGAAAGACATCAAAACAATAAACTGGGATGTTACTCATGTACTAAAACAAAGTACAACCTATGTAAATATGCCAGAGGGGCATTTTTACAGTATTATTTGCATATTTATCATGTGATACAGTGTTTCTATTTTCTGAGGGGTTCTAGGCATACTTCCATGGGAATCAAGTCCCATTTAAAAAAATTGTGACATTCAATGATTTGCAGTTTTTTTTTGGGCATCCAAAAATACCCAATTTTTTCTGCTGAGATCCAAAATGACCCAAACTTTTAAATTTTATGAAAACCCTTAAGCAACTTGATGTTATAAAACAAATTTATTACCCCAATGTTGAAGCTCATGAAGAATGAAATGACAACATATGCATAGTGAAGAGTAGTTTCGGAGCAGTATGTCAATTTTCCCTAAGCATATCTGTCACATCTGCATATTCAACAATTTCATTGCTTAATTTTCTCTTCACATTTTCTATCACATATTAATTTAATCTAAAATTTGTTTTTTACCTTTGCCAAACTTATTTTACACAGCCAACTATGATATGACTCATCTTTGAGATTTTAGAATAGAGCAAAACATGCAGAAAAAATGACTCTCATCTGAACCTACTTTCCAGCCAGCTCCATTTCCACTGTTGTACACTCTGGCAAACTCAGTTGCTTGATGTACTGTAAACCTACAAGTAAACAAATAGCTAAAGACACGAAAGGGAAAAACTATAAGATACTCAATCATCGTCTCTGCAGGGACTCTCACAGAGTGCAACCAGCTTAATTGAATGACACGCCCCCCCCCCCCCCCCAGTATTAATATCCTATTTCTATCCGAATACCCTTACATAATGGAAAGAACAATATATACCTTTTGTCTCATTAAAATATTTCCTTTGAACAGTAGCAATATTTGCATTTTGAAAAGTATTGCTTATTTGCTTGAACAATGTAGTCATATTGCCACTTTCACACACTGTGTTGGGCATGATGATCTGAAAAATAATTCATGGTCACTTACATTTTTTTGAAATAAAGATAAGTAACCCCTTATACTGGAAACACTATTCATAATTATTAATAACTGGTAAACAATCTTTAACTTTAGTTTTAATAAACTGGAAAATATTAATAAAATTAATAAAATCTATGTTTTCACACAATGTTCTATTAAATTTCAAATTTGCTTCAATGTAAAATTGTGATTATATAAAACTGAAAATATTTCATTCTAAGCTGGTGGAAATGTGTTAATTTGGCACTTTCAATAACATAAGTGACATTTAATAAACTATAAATCAACAAATCATTATTTATCAAATAGCTTCTGATACATATTTGTATGTAAATGCTACTCAATGTACCTCCGCAGGCTGCAGGATCTGGAGCTTTGTCATTACTTTGATGTATGTCTGGCTGTCTGAGAACTGGGACACAACCAGCACAGGGCTCTTCAGGTCAATACAGGCCATTCCAATTTCTCCACGTGCTAATCCTCGGCCTTCCACCAAAGCTGAATTTTATACTTTTTTTTTAAACATACCACTATATTTTCCATAATAATGACCTAATAGGAACTAAGTCAATATCATAAAGTCAGAAAAAGAACATTTTGCACTTTGCTGCGACAGTTTCAATAACACAAGTTAGGTTCATTACAAAACTTCATTACAATTCATCTTCATTATTATCATTTCTATATAATTATCATTATAATTTTTTTTATTATTATTATCATCCTCATCATCGTCATCATCATTATTATTACTATTATCATTATTATTATTACTGACATACCGGAAAAGTGCCCTCAACTGTACTCAGTAGCTAGGAAGTGATATCTTGCAACTTCAACACAGAAATCATGAGTGAACTTATTTTATAAATGTAAAACTGAACCATACCAACAACATAGGCAGTGTTTGGATTCCTTGGGGTGGCACTGTAGGATCCATGGGGTGTTCTGTGAACCCTACGTGACCCTGGGGTAACACACCTGGGTATGGTAGAGGAAGAGAGGGTGTGGTCAGTTGTATTTACTGACCCTGTCTGATTGCTTTGGGTAGTTCTAGTCGTTCTACTGAGGGTGGAACTGCAATATGAACATTAAAATATAAAGTAGACTATTTCTTAGTATACTTTTATAATAAACATCTATTATAGCTAACATCCTACAGCAAATTGGGTTGTAAGTTTGTCTGTAAAAAATTCCTCTCCATACATCTCTTTGTCTAATAGTAGTATTTTTTTTTTTTTTACCATTCTTTTCCCATCAACCAAGTTCAACAGTTTTACTGATAGATGCATTGACCTCTTTCCCTTCTTTTATTATTTGAAATGAAGTTTTAAAAAACACTAAGTTGAGGAAAAAGTTTTATGTGATTTACCTTAAAGGCATTTTCTAGTCTGTAAATCTATATAATTAATTGAGGTCCCATTTGCATTTTTATATACATGTGCAATCACTCTTAACGGAAACTGGTATAAAACCAAGAGCCTGAAAGCTTTTATACTTTTATGCACAAGTGTGGTAAAGTATCATTCCATCTTTAATACTAATATTGCATATTTTTAAAGATATTCTCATTTCAAATTAATATTGAATTTGGCACTTCAAAATTTGTGTAGTATGAGAGAATTGTCAAAAAATAAAAGAAAAAAGAAAAAACTCTCAAACCACAGCAAAATGATATTTTAGTCCACTAAAAGAGCTTTAAAACTTTACCTGGATGATCTAACACTGTGTGTATGGCTCCCATCACCTATTCTCACATTTGAAGGAGGGGCAATGAAGGAGCTAGAGGAGGAACTTGGTCTTCTGGCAGTACCACTGGAGAGTGGATCCACAGATGTCACACTGCTAATTGGTGTCTCCAACAAGTCAAAACCTAATCATATATACAATGCAATTCGATCATAAACTAAATGGTATTCTTGCCAGTATGTCAACTGGTCAATAATTACAGGATAGTGTGTGTCCCGACAGCTTAATATTCTCTTAGTATTATTATGGTATCAAATGGCGCAAAAATAAATCTGATGCATTATTTGGTATGTTCACTGAAATAGTTGTGCCAAGGACAGAAGTATAAACTATTTATCTATTAGTATTAAGGTTTGGAGGCAGTGCCCATAATACGGTTTTCTTCAATTTTGATGCAATATTACATAATGCTTAACAGCATAATGAACACCATTATTTGATAATGCACTGTAGGTAACATGGATATTTTTTAAAAAATAAGACTAGTAAAAGTCTTCAGGCCCATGAAATTTCTATTATCAAGCCCTCAAAATGCCAATTTGTACACAAGAGACAACTGTACTGAAATGCATTTTTTCCATTTCAACACTTTTTTTACATAAAACAAAATGATCAATTTACTGTCATTTTTATATGATCAACTAAGAAAATTGTTCACATAGGAATAATATCAATAGAACAATTTTAAAAGTCCAATTTGCTCCATTCCGAGATTCTGGGCATAGTGAATGATTGAATCTGACAAACTGAATGATATGAGTTTATTTCCACTTTTTACACTTAATTACACAATACATCATAACTGATTTTCAAACTATATTGTATTTTAGTAAGATTGATCACTCCTGTGAAATACAAGACAATTGGTTTTCCTTGAAATGTGTTATCAGTGTTCCATGTATGCTGAAAAAAAGAAAAAAAAACAGCATAACTTTAGAAAAAAATGGTTCGATCATGCTGATTTTCGAACTTGTCCTGTGTACTATGTTAGATCCAAGCCAAAAGGTAAAACGGTTTTTCAATCATCGGTGTTACATACTTAATATAATTAAATATAAAATTTTATCTAATGGTTTATGATATGGTTTTTCCAACAAACCTATGATTCCAATAAAATTATGGAATTTTTTTCTTTTCACCGAGGTTATTTATTTCAGCTCAATTCAGGTCACTTTTTTCCATCAACTCAGACCAGCCTTGCCTTCGATCTGATACGTCTTACGGGGTCTTAGGACGCACCAACAACTCATATAAATAATTTCTAAAGTATTTTCGGGAATATATACTGTTACAGAATGCCCCCTATTCATGAACAGTATTTGATTTAGGCGGAAATGAGAATTTTGTTTTCAAAGTATCATTGTCCACTACTTGGTGACTACTACTACTACTTTTAGCTTCTGCCTTCTGTCAGTAGTTTGGTCTAGTAGTGAAAAACTCTGATACTTGCTATACTTAGCCTGCTTCTGCTGATCTCCAGACATATCACATTTATATACGATTTTACGGAAAGTTGTAAATGCATCAAATGTGCCTCATTCAATTATTTTGTAATGCTTCAGCCAGACAATTTGCTACTTTCGGAATCTGTGATGTCTGCCACCTGACAGAGACGTATTCCCCACCAAACGACCCCTAACACGCGGTAAGGTAAAACGCGCGCCTACAGGTTGCTTTCTACGTCCTCGTGATTGTTCCCAGATGAAGACAATTAGGGGATTAAAGTTTTAGGGAGCTCTTAAATCTTTTTTTTTTTTTTTTTTTTTGGTTCTGCTCGTTGAAGGTATTTCATTTGAATTTAGTCTTTATCTGATAATGCCAATTTAGCAAAGCAACCACCTTTGGGTAGGGGGTAACGTAGGCCTAGTAGGCCTACTGGCCGTATTAACGGCCTACTGGTGGTAGGCCTACTACGAATCTGAACCAAATTGAACAAGCACCGATCGATGCCTAGAATATTATTCTAGTTCAAATTCCAAACCTGCCAGAAGGAATACCTTGCTGCTATCGAGCCCTCGTAGTACCCAGATAAGGCCAGACGCACCACTAACTGTTACTGATAGGCCCTACTAGCCACTGATATGAATGTCCTTTGTGGAGCGTTTAACATTTTCACAGCTGACAATTCGGAAAATATGGAGATTGAAATACGCTTATAATGGTCGTTTTTGACTAAGAATCAGCCATTTATTTTTGTTTGCTTAATGAGGTGAATTCAATTTAAGAACTGACGTCACAATAACACTGAAAAGATTATTAAAAATTATTTAAACAAGATTCAAATCCTTGATTTCACTTCAAGTCGGAAAAGTAGGAGAGAAAGGAAATGATTTAGAAAAAATATTTCATATTTAATGTCAAGTCTGTACTTTTAGAAAAATTACTCATTTCCCAAAAGCATATCCCAAACAAAGAAATATAAAACGCGAAAGAAAATGATGGGAAAATGTGCCTTTGTATGTGTATGAGAAAAGGAGAATGCTTTTTAAGGCAGAAATTTTGGTTAATTTGGTCATTAGTGGACTGGAAAAAAAACCTTCTTTTCTTGTATTCCTGGAAATTTTTCTAGACCTACATCTAAATTTATTACGATTTTGATTATCGTTTTATTAATCATCATCCAAAATTATCGTGACCATCAATTTTTAAGTGCTGATAAAGCGCTATATTTCAAAAAGTCCGTTTTAGGTACAAGAAGAAGATTTCTATCAATGAAAACAAGCGCAATTTGTCGCCTCGTTAACAAGCCGTTAATATTTTTGTAAGGCATCAAATTCAGGTTAAACCCTAAAATGGCAATTCGTTCCGCAAGGTCTCGTGAACAAGTTAGCTGAAGTTACCCTTCCTACAGCACCTGAAGTTGTAACAGCATACAAATAATGATATGGGCTTTGGAAAAAAATTAATGCCATTAGTCTCCTTGTCAGCATCCTGATGATTCACTTACTTAGAGGGTCCCATCGGTGAAAGGGGAGGGTAGTGACCACAGTTCACAGGAAATGGAATCATCAAATGTCAGTTAACAAATAAAACTTTATCCATATCTAATTGAGTCGGACGAGTTGTAAATCACGAATCGCCAATATTATGAATTCGTTTCACGAAGGACGAGAAATAAAAAGACGCATTCACGAGTAATTACGGCATGGGGTGCTTCACGGATATCACTAAATAATATGAACGTTTTACGCATCTTGGGAAATAGAAAATAACTTTCACGGATAATGAAAATACCCATTGGGACCCTCTACTCAGTCTACTCTACTCAGAAATGAATTTTAATCACGCCTCCAAAAAATTTGTATAAAGACAGCTTACAACATTTTTCGAACATAATGGGAAATCCGTTAGCTAAAAGTGTGTCACATGTGACAAGGAAAAGCTATTAGAATTGGAAACAGGGAAGTTTACGATAGTAAGATCGCATGAATGACTTTCATATTTTGTTAATTTTCCCGAAAAACCAAAATTAACCCCATTTGTCTGATCCATTTGCAACAACGACTGCGTTTTCAATTTTGAAATTCGATCGAGCAACCGAGATCGTTAATCACCTCTCTCCTTCAAAAGCTTCAATTGTTTATGGCTTCGTATTTCTTATCTCACCTTATTTTGTTTCAATACTTTGATATGGTGTAACTAAGTAATAAAATACTTATTAATCAGATCAATTACATAACTCGGTATATATATATATATATATATATATATATATATATATATATATATATATATATATATATATATATATATATATATCCTTCATTCACTAGTTAAACACTTCGATGAAAGCAAAGATTTATCAGATCACGTCCCACCCCATCAGACAAGAAAACATTTGCCCACCCCCTTCACCCGACCCCACCCATTGACCCTCTCAAAAGTCAGCATTCGTTTTTCAGCAGCAATTTCTAATTCTTATACCTTTTTTCGTGTAGTTTTAAATGATTCATTACTTTGGTCGTTTATTTATTCTCTTTTTTAAATTTATTTTGAGGGTGTGCTTGCAACGTGCTTAGACAACCTCGAAAAAAATCAACATTCACTTCTCCTCCAGGACATGCTCCTATGGAAAATCTAGACAAGAGAGCTATTTGGATTTTTAAGAACATGAGACTTATTAGCTGAGGTGCTTGATCTGTCGAACTGGTCTGGAAAACGAACCATCTCAAATCAGTTCATTTTTAGTTTTAACATATATATAAATTGAAGATGACCTTACCTTGGGTCAAAGTGAAGCAGTCTGTGTAATTAATTAGCACACGGCAGACGCAAACTTAATCAATGGCAACAAAGAGAGATGTTTTTTCTCGTGGCAATCGATTAATCTTAGGATATAAGCTAGACATTAGCACACAGCTGCCATTTTTAAACCTTAAACCCATGTTTAACCAAGAAAAAACGTTACACAGTAGCCCCTGATCTGCATTTTGTGTCTTTTGTTTCATCGCGAGCTACCCTTTACCACTTTCACTAGGTATTCACAAATATGTCTCGTGTTAGAGAAAAGTGCACATAATTAATCTGCGGTCCTGATAGAGATAACCACGAACCAGGATGCATGTAACTCCACAACACATACACCCCATTTCCATAGATTAGATCGACCTACTTTAGATCGACCTAACTCCCTGGGGGTTCACGCTAAATAGCTGTCAGCCGGGCGGACACGAAAGTTAATTAAACCCTTACAGCTTGTAGTAGGCGGGACGGACATTTAAGTCGGATTATCTGAAAGTAATCTAGTGAGACTCCCCGCAGGGATAGATCGACTTAGGCTCTATTCACATAGATTTTAGATCGATCTATCCCCGCGGGGAGTCTCACTAGATTACTTTCAGATAATCCGACTTAAATGTCTGTCCCGCCTCCTACAAGCTGTAAGGGGATAATTAACTTTCGTGTCCGCCCGGCTGACAGCTATTTAGCGTGAACCCCCAGGGAGTTAGGTCGATCTAAAGTAGGTCGATCTAATCTATGGAAATGGGGTGATAAACTGAATAAAACAACGTAATAGGCGGAACACCCACAATGTTGGCTGACAATCATTCGTGTGTATTTACCGAACTCAGTTTCCGTTTACAAGCTCTGTCCTTGTGGAGTGTAAAAATATAAACTATCAAACAGAAATAATTAGGTTAGTGATACATTATATGCCAGACACATCACCATTGCTGGGAACCCTTCAGCACATGGGTTGCAATTTCTGCGCAGTGCCCTTCTTGCCTTCAAGGATCACAAAGTGACGCATATTTCGCTTTTGCTTCTTGGACTGTCACGTGAAAGTAGACTGAAAATAGACTGCCTCAGATCTACATGCCACTAGGTCTCACGAAACTGAGTCCTCGCTGAGACTCATCTACGTAACGCTACTAAAAAAACAGTCACCAGGAAACCAAACGCCTGAAACGCGTGATATACAGTCGCTGAGCCGACTGAGGCCAAGTGTTTTCATAGTATTTGCCAACCTCGATAAGTATTTTAAGCAGCATTCTAATCAACGCACTTTCCAGTCGACTTTCCCAATGCATTGTAGGCTTACTTTTACTTCGAGGTGCATTTGCTGTTCTGGAGACACACGTGAGCTAGTTAACAGGATTTGTGTATACCGAAATGAGTTCATAGGGTAAGTATAAGCCGAAGTATGGAGTTTAGAAGTGTTTTATTTTTACATGTAGTAAGGGGCCTAGATCGTGTCGCACAACAAGAGTGCCACGATCCTGACCATCTGTAGTCTGTGATTTTATTCGTGTCGTTTACTTGACAAATAGCCATTCGATGCATATTGCACATGCCATGGTCTCAGATCATCGTTAAATATTTGTTGAGATCAAAATCCGAAGTATACCAAAGACGGCGAGTTTGAGTGATCTGCTTTGAGTTATGGAGCAATGCACCGTTAAGTACATTTGTGACGTTAATCACTATTAAGACCATAAAATGATGATCATGAGATGTTTTGGAGTCCCAGTAAATGTTTTCCCACGTGGTGGTGCGGTGCAGTAGAAGCGTCGGGTGATGCATAGGTAGTATTATATAGCTCCCTGTGTGGTGTGTCATAGAATACTATTTTATTATAGAGGTCTATCCTTGAGGTATCGGACACTCCTGGAGCATAACCTCTAAAACTTAAATCTTTCCTTATTCAGACTTTATAATTTATGAAATACCTCAAATAGATGCACTTGGTGTCTTAAATCACCTTCTAAAAGGTCAGTAAGACTATTGCGATCTAAACAGTTTAAATGAATAGTATGGTTCGTTTAGAATGAAATTGTTTAAATAGAAATGACATAAAACATCCAATCCAAATGCAATCCGAGCAATAATTCATGAGTAGGATAAAACTGTTTTTTCTCTTAAGAAAAATACATATGGAGGGGAAAATCCGCATAGCTAGGATACCTTTAGTGTGATTTCTTTCAATACTTGGTATTTTCACTTGGGGATAATATAATAGTCTAATAGTGATTTTGGCTGCATGTGAAACTGTTATCAATATTTCATGATATTTAGAGAAAAATTACAGCAAGCTTGTGTGAGTATCTGCAGAAGGAGGCAGTCCGTATCACTTTCTGCCGTGTGAATGGTGACACCCCACTGACACCTGTCGAATACTATCTATGCTAACCACCTTGGATTCACTGTGGATTTGAGAAATTTGATGTCGAATTTCCGGTTCACAGTAAAGCCCCCCCCNCCTTTAAACCCATGTTTAACCAAGAAAAAACGTTACACAGTAGCCCCTGATCTGCATTTTGTGTCTTTTGTTTCATCGCGAGCTACCCTTTACCAGGGCCACAGATTGATTTTTCACTAGATATTCACAAATATGTCTCGTGTTAGAGAAAAGTGCACATAACTAATCTGCGGTCCTGATAGAGATAACCACGAAAACCAGGATGCATGTAACTCCTCAACACATAAACTGAATAAAACAACGTAATAGGCGGAACGCCCACAATGTTGGCTGACAATCATTCGTGTGTATTTACCGAACTCAGTTTCCGTTAACAAGCTCTGTCCTTGTGGAGTGTAAAAATATAAACTATCAAACAGAAATAATTAGGTTAGTGATACATTATATGCCAGACACATCACCATTGCTGGGAACCCTTCAGCACATGGGTTGCAAATTCTGCGCAGTGCCCTTCTTGCCTTCAAGGATCACAAAGTGACGCTTAACAAACGCATATTTCGCTTTTGCTTCTTGGACTGTCACGTGAAAGTAGACTGAAAATAGACTGCCTCAGATCAACATGCCACTAGGTCTCACGAAACTGTGAGTCCTCGCTGAGACTCATCTACGTAAAACTACTAAAAAAACAGTCACCAGGAAACCAAACGCCTGAAACGCGTGATATACAGTCACTGAGCCGACTGAGGCTAAGTGTTTTCATAGTATTTGCCAACCTCGATAAGTATTTTAAGCAGCATTCTAATCAACGCACTTTCCAGTCGACTTTTCCAATGCATTGTAGGCTTACTTTTACTTCGAGGTGCATTTGCTGTTCTGGAGACACACGTGAGCTTGTTAACAGGATTTGTGTATACCGAAATGAGTTCATAGGGTAAGTATAAGCCGAAGTATGGAGTTTAGAAGTGTTTTATTTTCACATGTAGTAAGGGGCCTAGATCGTGTCGCACAACAAGGTGTGCTACGATCCTGACCATCTGTAGTCTGTGATTTTATTCGTGTCGTTTACTTTACAAATAGCCATTCGATGCATATTGCACATGCCATGGTCTTAGATCATCGTTAAATATTGGTTGAGATCAAAACCCGAAGTATACCAGAGACGGCGGGTTTGAGTGATCTGCTTTGAGTTATGGAGCAATGCACCGTTAAGTACATTTGTGACGTTAAGCACTATTAAGACCATAAAATGATGATCATGAGATGTTTTGGAGTCCCAGTAAATGTTTTCCCACGTGGTGGTGCGGTGCAGTAGAAGCGTCGGGTGATGCGTAGGTAGTATAATATAGCTCCCTGTGTGGTGTGTCATAGAATACTACTTTATTATAGAGGTCTACCCTTGAGGTATCGGAGACTACTGGAGCATAACCTCTAAAACTTAAATCTTTCCTTATTCAGACTTTATAATTTATGAAATACCTCAAATAGATGCACTTGGTGTCTTAAATTACCTTCTTAAAGGTCAGTAAGACTATTGCGATCTAAACAGTCTAAATGAATAGTATGGTTCGTTTAGAATGAAATTGTTTAAATAGAAATGACATAAAGCATCCAATCCAAATGCAATCCGAGCAATAATTCATGTGTAGGATAAAACTGTTTTTTCTCTTTTAAAAGAAAAATACATAAGGAGGGGAAAATCCGCATAGCTAGATTACCTTTAATGTGATTTCATTCAATACTTGGTATTTTCACTTGGGGATAATATAATAGTCTAAATAGTGGTTTTGGCTGCATGTGAATCTGTTATCAATATTCCATGATATTCAGAGAAAAATTACAGCAAGCTTGTGTAAGTATCTGCAGAAGGAGGCAGTCCGTATCACTTTCTGCCGTGTGAATGGTGACCACCCACTGACACCTGTCGAATACTATCTATGCTAACCACCTTGGATTCACTGTGAATTTGAAAAATTTGATGTCGAATTTCCGGTTCACAGAAAAGCCCCCCCCCTCCCCCCCCCCCCCCTTACTACCCGTTCTGGTAAGGGTACGTGATTGAAGGGAGGGTTTGTTTGCTTGTTTTTTCTTACTCACAAATTCGTTAATAAGTTTTTTCTTTCTTTAAGTTTAGCGTTTAGCTTTTCACACCTGCCACTCCAGAGGTAAGTGAAGCCTTTGTCTAGACGTACTGAACGGGTATCGAAGGGAGATTTTTTACAGTGGTACCCGGAACTCATGTGGCATGTACAAGGCTATATAGTACCAATGCGGGAATGATAGTAAATATTTGATTCATTTCAAATCAATTCGATTCAAATTACTCCTGTACAGATGAATACATTTAATGACATTATACATTGTAATATAGTTAAATTGTTACATCTCATCAGTATTAGGGGAGAATTATTAAGGGAGAAAATGGGTCCAAGGCTGAGGTAGGTTTTCTACTGAATTCTACAGACACATTTTGCTACACATAAGCATGTATACGGTCTAATCTATACGATATGTAGGGCAAAGAGGAGCGAACGTCTCACTGTGTTTACGTAACAATCGTTTAGACTAGTTGGACCGATAGTGGAGTAAGGATGCAAAGTCAGGAACTCGGGCTACATTTTCATTGCCATTGTTCTCGGTGGGTCTTACAAAATTATCAAAAACCATACGTGTAACATAAACAGTGGCTGATTTATGGGGGGGGGGGGGGGGGTCAGAGGGAGTCCTGACATTCTTTCGGTTTCTAAAAAATATATCACACCAATATTTCCCTCTTGAAATTAGAATTTTGACTGACTGAATCATAGTTCTAAACCGCACCAAAGGGCACCGTTTGCCCTCCAAAACACAAACAAATTTCTGGGCCCTTGGACAGGCCCCGAACCCCACGTCAAGGAGGGGGGGGAATGGCCGGCTTAGCATCAGAGGCCTGTCTCCCCTTCAAATAATCCTGGATCCGCCCCTGATAAATATATTGAGATAAGAATGCTTCAAATGTATAACTTATAAGTGTGTAAACTGAGTAAAGACAAAAACGCTTTATCAATAAGAAAAAATGTTATATTATTCTATAACGAATTGAAAATTGAGCTTTAAATTTCTTTACTACTTGACTGTTTGTTAAATCTTTAGAATTTGAGGATTTTTGCATTTCTAATAGCAGTTTTTGTAAGGGCTTTTGGGTATGGAATTTAATGTTTTGTCCCTTTTTCTGCTCTCTTTCCATTGCGAATATTTCATAATAAAGTTGTCATAAGTTGTATTTTGCATAATTTTATCAGGTTTAGTTTATAAACCATGCCGTAACAGGTAATCAAGCTGAAAGATAGTATCAACAAAAAGAGAGTTTTTGAAATATTTTGCCATCGCGCTGTCGAGATCGTAAATTGACGATGTTGACGATCGAGGTGGCAACAAAATCTACTACCTTTTACCAATGCAAAACGAGGAATTGTATATTCTACAAAGACCTAAATTGAGACCTGTGAGAGCATTAATTACTTATTCTCTGGGTTGGTCTATTTTAAGTTTTTCTTTTGATTTAATTATAGTGTAATTTTATAATGATGTTACATTATATCTCTTTTTGATTATAGCAGTTTTTTAATTATATCCACTTGTGCGTTTTCCATTTTTTTTAATTTGAATTTCGTAATTTACTGACTTTATTTATACTTATTGTTTGCAAATTTAGACCTGCTGTGCCTTTGACCTGGAATACGATTTCATATCAGCGATATGATATTATCGCAGTGCAGATTAAACAATGTACATTAACGTCACCATGACCCATCCTGCTGGTTATCGCATAGGATGAGGTCTGGCTATAGTACGAGAGTTGGCCAGTTCTACGAAGACACTATATGGTTTTGCAGCACGTGAGCTGCCGCAAGACTGCAATTAAATTAACTGTGGTTTATTTGACTTTTCAATGGTAAGGATGGTACTGTTTGTCTTTGAGGTTAATGTATGTTTTAAGGTAGGTTTTAATGGTCTTCGTATCGTCTATAAGTTACGTATTATAAATTCCGTTTATTCCTGTGCTTTGTTTGCCTTTCAGACGAAGTACATGGCTGGGTTCAGGTACACTTACTTTATGCGGAGGATACGATTTGCGTCCTGTTGTGTTATAATGTATAATGTAGTCCACCGATGAGACAATAATAGAACACCGAAAGAACTGACTTTAAAAGTGAAGGCAGCAGACTACTGGATATTATTTTACATGTGGACGTGCAATGAAACTGTAGAAAAGAAAAAAACATTACTTATGGCGTAAACCATGGCTCCGACGAGCAGTAATATAGTTACAGGAGGCAGGGGGAAAGACTGGATACGGTGGACGGTGTCTGTTTTACTTGGGTGCTGCATAGGAATATTGTTCTTCTACACCACAGGGCAAATGTCATCATACGAGACTTCATACCCTAGGGCTTTCCATCCGCCTGCTCCCGTCAAGAATAGTACAGCTAACGGCGAAACCAACTCAATGCAATCTTCATTATACAAAGGCAGTTTGGAGTTTTTTAACAAGCTACCCAAAGTTCGAGTGCCATCCATTAACTGCGCAGCGCTGTTTGAAGGCATTGAGAAGGAGGTCCAAAATGCAAAATCTTTGATGAAATCATCGCCAAAGAAAATCATTCCTGACAAAGACATTTTAAATGATGCTTCTAACTGTGATAAATTTGTCCGTGATCGACAATACATTATGTCCACCCTTTCCAGAGAAGAGGAAGAATACCCTATCGCTTATTCCATGGTGGTTTTTAAAGAGGTAGAACAAGTGGAAAGGTTACTTCGTGCTATTTATCGACCACAAAACTTATACTGTTTTCACGTGGATAAAAAGTCGCCTGAAAACTTCTACATTGCTGTCAGGCAAATCTCCAACTGTTTTGAAAACGTCTTCATTGCCTCCAAACGAATTGACGTCCAGTGGGGGCAATACAGTGTTCTGGAGGCGGATCTAATATGCATGGAAGAGCTCTTAAAGAAGTCAAGGAAATGGAAGTATTTTATTAACCTCACTGGACAAGAGTTTCCCCTTAAAACCAATCTTGAACTTGTAAAAATTTTGAAAACTTACAATGGGGCTAACGATATTGAAGGGACTGTTAAAAGGTAACACAAGTTATACCCTCAAAGAAAGATCATTGATTTAACGAAGAAATTGTAGAATATAGTTGTCACCTCATAAAATGTGTTAGTTGAAGCGATTTTTATGCAAAACATGAGATGTTTTTATGTGCAGCTATTTACGCTTGCCTGATTTTATATAGTTATAGGCATTAGCACTCATTGCGTTCTCATAAAGTCGAGGATTATCTAATAACAGACTCGCTCAACTAAAAACAAAAAAAAAACTACTTTTAACAGTCATTCTGCAAATACCGCTTGATTTTTATTTTAGTTGCACTAATTTCGGAATTAGGAATTTTCCATAACCCAAAATATACGATAAAAAAATGTCATTTTCTTTCATTTCAGACGTAATATGAATCGCTTTAAAGATTTGCCCACGCCGCCATATAATATAACTCCTATGAAAGGTTCAGTCCACATCGTGGCTTCCAGACCATTCGTCGACTTTGTCCTTAATGACCCAAAAGCCAAAGAATTCCATGAGTGGGACAAGAAAGCAGGCATACCTGACGAGTCTTTCTTTACTACACTGAACCACAATCCTCAGTTAGGTGCTCCAGGGGCGTTTACAGGTGTATATCTCTCGTCGATACAGTCATCGTTTAATGGGATTATAGCTATTTATATATAGTTACATTTGCTTATTGTTTATAAGACAATTTCATGTTCATTCAGATAATGTTAATACGAAAAATTAAAATTCAAATAGACTCGATGAATTTAAGATATCAACTGAAAAGCTCTTGAAAACAATTGGGAGTTTTACGTTTACGATTCAGGATGGGTTTTAACTGGTCTTTATAACGAAATAGTCGTTAAATACTATTTTTTATTTCTGGCTGAACCATTTAAACTTATGCTTTGAGTACCTTACATGTTTCTTGTCAAAGGAAAGATTTGTTATAATGCTTGATTGTGTGTCTGACTGTGGTCCTGTATATTTAGACTTAAGTAGATGAAAATTACTTATCTTGTTTTCAGGTAAAGATCCCGAGACCCACCCAGAAAAGAAACCCTTCAACACGCGTTTTAAAAACTGGGGAGATTGGCCTTTTGATTATCCCTGTCACGGGAAGCGTGTTAGAATGGTGTGTATATTTGGGATTGGGGACCTCCCTCTTCTTATGCAAAGGAAAGAGTTTTTCTCAAACAAATTCTACTTGGATTACGAACCACTAGCCTACGACTGTATGGAGGAGTTACATTATAACCGCACCATGGCAGCATATATGTTACCCTTTGATAATTCTTACTACAAGAACCTATCTTATGTGCGCAACCATGTAAAGGTTAAGTGGTAGGCGGTTTATCTCAGACTGAAACATAAAAGTTGACAGACAGTTGCTAGTATGAAGTACGTTTACAGGACTACAGTGTGACAAATCCAGTGAGACGAAGGATCTTTAGTCACACAGTAAAATCAAAGGAACTGATAAGGCTTATCGGTCGGTAATTAATTGTTTCGTATTCGGTTCTGCATTTGTGCCATATTGACGACGTTTGAGTGCTCCATTAAAATACAATCAAATGTGATCAAGATTTTTCTTAATCGTTAATGACAGAAGGTTTTATTTTACAGAAAAGTGCCATTTTGAATTATTCCTAATGTGTTCCAGTATCATTTTTAAACATATTGATCGTGACAATCACGCTTCATGTCGATATTGGTATGTCAATATTAATGTGAGAGAAGAAAAATTGGCTTCGTCTTTGTCTCGATGTTTCTTAGATTGGAGCTATAATTTATTAATAATTTATTAAATTATTTTGTACGTTGTTTTTGTGGCCGACGTCGGCGATTGTGACCAATAATGAAAGTTGGTTTTTGCTGTTGTTGTTCACATTTTCGTGTCTTTGGTTATTTTCTTGTTACGTTTTTAATATTTAGCAATGTGCAATAAAATAAATAACATGTTGACACATTAAAAATTATGTATTTACTCTGGCAGATCTGGGTCGTCAAGTGGCAAATGATGCTCTGTTTAAACTGTATGTACAGTGTTGCAAACAGTTAAGACTTATGGGCCGGGATCTTATCGCTGGTGTAAGCCCAAATTGCCCGTTTCCTTCACATAACATTTTGTGTCCGCTACCGATTTCCCATCGATGACTTGTGCGATCAACATGTAACACTATCCTAAAACCATTTATTCAACCTTCTATTTAGAGCTTACTCACCTTAATAAGTCACATCGTTTCACTGAAGTAAAAATGGAATGTTCATTAAACCACGAACATCTAGACATTAAATTTGTCTAATGACAATAGATAACCAAGGACCTTTCAAAAGAATCGCTCAAAATTAGTTTTGGTGGGATCTGAGTTAAGATTGTACACATACACATACGGCGCGTAGCTTATATTAGGTCCGATCTAAGGCAAACTTAAATTAATTGCAACCGGGAAAGGCTTTAAAGAAAATTTGTCAATCGAATTCAAACAAAACACAGAAATCAGCGAGAAGATTACATGTGTGGCCGATAGGTGCGTTATGGTTGTTTGTCTGGTTAAAAAGAACGCCTCTTTAATCATTCATAAGACGCCAATAACCACACAGCCAACATTCTAATGAAAATTGATAGCCGGGAGAACCCCCCTTAACTTCATTATTGAAAAGTCACCTATTGATATCATGTAAAGCTTATCGCTCGACAGAAGCTTTTTTAATATTAACAATCCAAGTTCACAAGCTTACAGCAAATATATCAAAACATGCCTATTCAACGTTGTGATGAGTGTTAAAAAATAAAATTACAAAATAATATCCGATCGTTTCAGTTTGTAAAAAAGAAACAGAAGCATTTACTGAAGCTCATTAGAGGAAGAAACAAAATTTTTAGGCAATTTAGATTATTTTCAGATTCCATAATACGTTTCATTTACCATTATAATATTAGCAGGTGTAGAACCATGTAGTGCACTTGACATGACATGAAAAAAATAATAATAAAATGAAAAACAAAAGGCCCAAAGATATTTTAATGCCCCGTATAAAATTCGTAATTTTGTCCACGAATAATTAAATAGATCACAATCCCCTATTCAAATGATCACGGCGAGTTCCGTCTGCATGGTTCACGAGGTTCGCGTATTATTGGTAAACGTAACAAGGTTGTCAAAAGCCAAAACGAAAACAAAAATTGGTCAAGTAAAAGAGTTAAAGGACCTCTTTAAAACACCCTTTCCACTTGGTGATATAAAAGATAGACCTATCTGAAAATCATATTTGAAAAAAAAATAATAGACAGTAAGAGAAAAAGGGGCATGCTGACTTCTCCCAAATGATTGACCCAAGAGAAAGTCTTCCCCCCCCCCCCCCCCCCCCCCTAGAATGGCCATGTCTGTTACTTCAAAGATTGATTAATGCACAGCCATTTCGCCATTTCACCTGAATTGGACCTAAAAAAAAACTTTTAAAATTACTTTCACCTAAAAAAAAACAAATCTGGCAACTACGTATGCTGCAAGGCTGATCAATTCTGTCAGACAAGTCCACTAAAATATATACAAAAAACAAAAATCACTTTTTACTATCTTCAAATTAAAATGAATGCCTAAATGTATTTCAGATAGAATATATGGACTGTCCAAGTGAAAAAAAAACTCTCCTAGTAGTTAAGCCCAATCATTTCAGTGCAAATTGAAACGTTTTGCAAATGTTTACCATGAATGCCTGGTGCAAAAGTTACCACAGACACCAAGATTAGCATACAATGCCAACATTTACTGGCATTGGACTCTTTCATCATGCATGAAATAGAAAAATAACCTGTTCCTTTTGTACTTAGCCAGCTTTTAACATTTCAACATTCAATACATTTTTTCTTCCCAGTATGGGTTAAGAATTGTAAAGAAAAACACCATCGGTAAGATTACATGCAGGGAAGATTGTTTTTAGTTTATTCTTGTTACTGATGAATATTCCATGACATTCAAATTCTGAATAGTTAATACTTTTGTATCCAAATGAAAAACACATAATAATAATAGACTTGACCACACAAAATCTTGCCACCCTTGGGTAAAAACCTACCCAAGCATGGCACTCATTCACTCCTTTAGTACTAGCCAAATAATCAAGAAAAAATGAAACAACTGGTGTTTGAATAGCCCTTAAAAGGATACAAAGAGAAATTACTAAAAAGTCATTTCATGCCACAGCAGAAGTTCATATTTCAAAAATAAATCATCAAATACTCTTTGTAATAACAGAGATTAAATACACAGTTTGAATTAGATGATAAGGACAGGAGTAAAGAGTGATTACCAAATTCCATTTACATATAAAACATACAATTCTGCAGACCCATTGCACTTAAGTCACCATGCAGCAGAGTAAAATATAATTTACAATCCCGGGTAAAATGGGTACTTCTACTGGGGTATAACTTTATACGGCATAAAATTCAAATAATTGCTTACAATAATTCAAATGGCAATAAATCAAAGGCTAAACACCTTTAAGATTCTGATATTAGTGTTTTACATGGGTCATAAGTTAACGAACTGTTAACTGGCATCGGAGTCTCAGAGTCCATTTTCCCCATTTCTCTGTATTAATAATCATCTGATGAGAATCTTTCACTCCTGATTGAGATGTTGAGATATGCCAACACTTGAATACACCAGTGCTTCAAGCATACTGTATGTACATGTAGGCATCTACATGTAAATGTACTTACAAATGATTAAAATAAATCATCTAAACCTATCAGATTTCACATCCCAATTTATTTACATCCCTCTGCACGTCAAACAACATTAATATTACTTATATCTGTGTCTGACTGGTTCCTTAAATATTGTCTGCCAAGGAGCAGATAGTCCTGTAGACGAGAAGGTAGAGGCAACTTTGGAATCACATTGGGTATGTACCCAGTGCCTAAAGACTTTCTAACAGCATATCTACATAGCTCTTGTAAAGGTCTTGGTTTTTCACAGTATTCTAACATCAATTCCCTCAGTTTGTTATCCCCTTCCACTATCCTGGGTAGGTTTCCCTGTGGATCTCTGAGGTCAATCTTTCCTGATGCTTTGAGCAGTAGGTCAAGACACTGGTCATACACATGTGTGTCTAGCCCACTAGCCTGCATGGCAGCACAACGTAATATGGGAGTCCGGCCACTGAAGTTGACTGTATCCACATCAGCATTGTATTCCAGTAATATAGCAAGAGCCTCATAGTTCCCCTTCATGGCAGCCCAGCTGAGAGGGGTGTCATTGTTATAGTCTACAGCATTAACACGAGCCCCACGCTGCAGCAAGGCCTCCAGACACTGTACTTGGTTTTTGAATGCTGCCCAGTGGAGAGGTGTGTCTTGATTGTTGTCAGGAATGTCAGGGTGTGCATTGTGGTCCAATAAAATCTCTGTGCATGTTATATCCCTCTCAACTGCATAGTGAAGAGCTGCCCGACCATACCCATCAATACTATTCACCTGCAAATAGAAAACTTTTTAAAAATCACTTACAGGTAGGATGAACCCCTAGATCCACAAAGGCAGTAAGGGTCTGTTTTTATCTGGTTACCAGGAGATGCAGTTTATACCAATTACTCATCTTAGGGTCAGTTTTACAATGTAGCACGCTCAAAGAAAAAAAATTGACATTTTAACAAACAAATAAAATTTTACGGAATGCTCCAAACATTTATTAGACAAAAAAGAAAAGATAGCTAAGATTTATATTCAAGTAGAATTGTAGTTGCAAACTTTTTAAATCAAAATGAAAGCAATGCTTTTGTCATTTGTAACTTTACGACAATATCATATTAAATTCACTGCACTGACATGATGACAAGTATTTCATTTCATTTCATGATGACAAGTCTATATCCAATAAAATCCACACCTGTGCCCCATGCTGCAGCAATAACTCCACAACATAGCTGTCACTAACCATACAGGCACAATGTAGAGGTAAGAGAGTACCATGGGGCTTGTTCACATCTGCACCTTCATGGATTAACTGTTCAACACTGTCACTAGATGGAGCTAGTGTAGCCCAGTCACTGATTGCACGCACAAGGCGCTCAGATAGCTGGTAGTTTCTTTGTACACTGTCCATGATATACCACATGGTCTGAAATATAGAATTTCTTCTTTAAAATGTATCACAGCATATATATATATATATATATATATATATATATATTAGAACAAACCTCTTGTTGTTTTAACACTAACATTAAATTTAAAAATCCTCACTTATCTACATATTAAGCAAGTTCATTGTACCCAAACTACTGCTGCTTAACTTAACCAAATGCCACCACAGTTTTAAAGAGTGCAAATAAACTGCCACACAATTTCATCTGCTCACCCCCCCCCCCAAATAAAAAACAAATAATAATAATAATAATAAAAGAAATTTGAATAATGCATTGGCAGAAATTATGACTACATAAAATGTGACACTTATTCCCATGGAGACCTATTTTACCAAGCTAATTCTTATCAATTTTGGAAACAACATCACATAGGCAATACAATTTACTCCCAGGTCATTTAACAGAATTATGGACGAGAAAAATGAAAGAGCATTGAGGGGAAACGTTTTATTCATTAGATTGATTTTATGCATTTGCCATACATCCATGCACAATGGGCCTAAGTAGGTACAATTAAGTAGTTGGTTAAACTTGCAATATTTTTTTTTCTTTTATATACCAAGTTCTTGGAGATCCTGATCTTGGAGACCCTTAGCAAACAACAGTAGATTCAAATGAAACTATTTTGTTACTTGTATACCTAATCACTGATGTTCAAGCAAACTACTGTTTTTATTAAAATAATTTTGCATCAAATTACCTAAATATGCATTCCATGTACTAAAAATGCAAAATTTATGACTGTCATGAATTTTGTATAGACCTCCAGCATAACAGAAAGATACCATTAATGCCAATCTAAATGCAAGAAAAATCCCATAATATCCTATAAGAAATAAAATGTACACATCAGAGGTTTGTTATTGGGATGACCTATGCTTTATTTATATGCATATATGTAAATTGTTTCCACATGAAAGGGACAATGTATAAGATTTCATGTATATCAAATCCTCCTATTTGCTTAACAGACAGCCCAAACTTACTCCAAACGGTACTTGCATTATCTAAAAATAATAAATTGGAAAATATCTTTTTCAAAATTGCCTTTAAATACTATGTGAATATTCAAAGTTTAGGCAGACCAGAAAAAAATTTGTGGTTATGGGAAGTAGTAACAGACAGCTGTAAAGAATGCCAGATAATTTGATAAATGTACTTTTTTTTAGCATCAACTGTAAAGTGTCATATAAAAAACAACACTGATGTGGCTCCAGAATAGAATGCTCTTCTCTAGTGTTCTCTAACATGACACAGACACATGTATGTGGGTGATAATTATATATATATATATACAGTATATATATATATATATATATATATATATATATTCTTCTTTGTCGTGAAATAAAATAGCTTGATAAATTATATGTGCAATTTTCCTACTCTTTAGATGAATCCAATTTCATGAATAAAATTTGCAGTATGGTCCCTCCAGTTTTCCTTTTTGGATTTCTGACAGGTTTCAGTTAGTTAAATTTTGGATCCAGTAAACAAGTGTGATGCGTACTAGGTTAAAACAACATCAAGTGTAGAGGGTAGGGCAGTTTTGTATTGGTTCTATCATGCTGAGCATGAATGTTCATGTGTTAACATTGCTTTTTATAATCTCTGATATATCAGACAGGTACAAGTTGGAAATACATGAATATGTAAGTAGCCTGTAGTCGTAGGAGTGCTAATGCAACTTCGTGCTCTATGACGTTATGTAGACAGATACGGTTACTTTAACATGTGCCATACAGATCTATCAGAAAGTTGACTTAAGTGTGCTTACCTGGTATTATGTAGTTCACTTTTAAAATAAAAAATGCATTAATGTTTAAAAACATAAAAATACTTTGACAAGACGAAACCGGAAAGACACACAGACAGATGTAAACATTGGATTTGCAATGTTAAACACGGAACCATTGGCTAATTATAACAAACAGGTCAAATTTTAGCCAATTACATTTTACATTTCAGAGACCTTTAATTTCAAGATGGCGCTTCCCATAAATGCTTAGGTCGATGCATGGATGGAAAATATTTAGCTGAAAACTGTGCTAAATTAACCTAAGATGAGGTTTTTGTTTCAAAATCAGCAAGCTTGCAGGTTGTTAAGGTTAGTATGGTGCTAACTGCCATATGCATGACCTTGGTATTGTTTTTGGAAAAACTAAAATTGCCTCGTCATGTTACGACGTTTGGTCCTATTTCTCATTTCTTAGGAGGTCGGGTTTAAGTGCATCTTTGCATTTAATCATAGAATCAATCATTTTGTGTGTTCGTGGCTTTTCAAGGTTCATTCATATCATGTGAGACCCACACCGGTGTGACCGTGTCATAAGTTTTTTTTTTTTTTTTTTTTTTTTTTTTTTTTTTTTTTTTTTTTTTTTTTTTACCGCTTTGAACCTGTGCAATGTGCAGGATTTGCAATTTAGTCAGACCTTAGGCCCAAATCTTTCTATCTGAAACTATGTTGGTAAATTTCCTTTGAGAGAGTCAGGTTGACCTCTGTATATCATCCTTACATTGAGATTAACGTCAACTGACATTTTGTTTAATACTAATAATATTACACTTACAATTTTTTCTTTTAGACCTTATTTACAGTTGCCTAAAAGATACCAGACATCAAGTGTCATCCAAGACTCACTTTCTCTAAAAACAGGAGATAATATTCATGGATATTTAGTGCAAAAGGTAATAGTAGAATCCAGGGATGGGCCTAAGTAAGTAAGTAATAGCAGAGACTTGGATATTTGCTTTAATTATCACCCAGAGTCCTAAAGGCTATGAAATTATTGTACCACCAGCGTTAGCGCTGGCGGTACACATGGTTTCGGTCCCGTCTGGATCGTTCCGCCGGCTCCGCCGGCTCCGCCGGCTCCGTTGGCTCCGCCGGCTCCGCCGGACGGCTACCGTTACCGCTTCTCCTCCAAGACGGTAAGGGCCCCCGTACCCATCTCATGGATTTAGGTCACCTATAATCTCAACTCGTTCCACATAAAATTTGGGCTTTGTCGGTATTGGGGTCTGGGTGTNTTTTTTTTTTTTTTTTTTTTTTTTTTTTTTTTTTTTTTTTTTTTTTTTTTTTTTTTTACCGCTTTGAACCTGTGCAATGTGCAGGATTTGCAATTTAGTCAGACCTTAGGCCCAAATCTTTCTATCTGAAACTATGTTGGTAAATTTCCTTTGAGAGAGTCAGGTTGACCTCTGTATATCATCCTTACATTGAGATTAACGTCAACTGACATTTTGTTTAATACTATAATATTACACTTACAATTTTTTCTTTTAGACCTTATTTACAGTTGCCTAAAAGATACCAGACATCAAGTGTCATCCAAGACTCACTTTCTCTAAAAACAGGAGATAATATTCATGGATATTTAGTGCAAAAGGTAATAGTAGAATTCAGGGATGGGCCTAAGTAAGTAAGTAATAGCAGAGACTTGGATATTTGCTTTAATTATCACCCAGAGTCCTAAAGGCTATGAAATTATTGAAGTCAGTTTTGGAGAAGGGGAAGGCGAGCGAAAAAGGGGAAATGAAAATATATTTACCTTTATCTAGGTGGTGCCAGTACAAGAACTGCAGTGTGTTGCTGTGCAACTTCAGCATGAGCAGACTGGAGCAGAGCACTTACACATAGCTCGGGATGATCAGAATAACATGTTTGGGTAGATTTTCTTTTTACAATAATGAAACAGATTGTCTTTTTTATGTGTTGCACAATCTTTCTTTAACCAATATAATTTTTTAACCAATAAAATATATGCTTTCTTATAAATTTTTTCTCTATCAAATCTTGATTCTTATTTACTCAAGTTTGACAGTGGATATTTTATTTAAATTAGGTTTGTTAGATTTTAAGCTAAGGTTGCCTTTTATCCCATTGATAGAGCTAGCTTATACATAATTACAGCAAAGATAAATACCCAGGTCTTGGTTTTTATAGCGTAATGCTGCGCACCACCCCCATGGACAGCACAGGTGTACCTCATATTTTGGAGCACACTGCGCTCTGTGGATCTAAGAAATTTCCAGTGAGGGATCCTTTCTTTAAGATGTTAACTCGATCGCTGTCAACATTTATGAATGCTTTTACTGGTAGGTTGAATGGCAGTTAAATATAAATCACACTGTGTGAAATGTTGATTTATCAGTAGGATTTTAAAATATGGCATCTTTTTTTTCTTAATTATTAGTATTATAATTTTTGACAGAATTTATACAGAAAGATACTGTGCCAGTGCTACAAACAATACGTATCATTTGCATTTTCAGCATCTGATTGGACAATGTACCCATTCACCACTCAGAATCGCAAAGACTATGAAAATCTGTTGTCAGTCTATCTGGATGCTGTATTTCACCCCAACCTAAGACAGGCTGACTTTAGGTAAACGCATTGAATATCGAAATTATATGAACTCCAAAATGAGTTTTTAGTCCATTTACAGTTACTTTTCAAGGAATTCATATATTCATTTCATGGATAGTGAATTCAGGCAGATTAACTTTTACCTTTTCTGTTTTATCTGATTGTAGCCAAGAAGGATGGCGCTTGGAGCACGAGAACCCAGAGGACAATACATCTCCAATTACATTTAAAGGAGTGGTTTTTAATGAAATGAAAGGAGTTTTTGTAAGTCTTTTCATATCCCAAACTGTTTCTCTTGTGTTTTCGCTTTGTTTGTTTAAAGATTAAGTTACTAATTATGTGATCAAATTGTATCATATCACTATCATTTTGAACTAAATCTTTTCTTGGCAAAATTATTCAGAGTGAATAATTTCCAAAGTATGAAAGTGAAGATTTAACTTCAGCAAATGTAAAGTCTGATAAAGGTGTAAACTTTTTTTATTGTTAAATTTCTAGTCCTCATCCCAGAGCTTGTTCCTAAGTAAGTTGCAGAGAATGTTACTACCTAACCATACCTATGGAGTAGAGAGTGGAGGAGATCCCATCTGTATACCTGATCTCACCTGGGAGCAGCTGAAGTCCTTCCATGCCTCACATTATCACCCTAGTAACTCTAGGTAGGATAATAGCTGATGGTATAGAACAAATAAATAGTATTATATTATTTATAATGTATAATTAGTATTATAATATTAGCCTGGAGCAATGTGATTTATATAAACACTTGAATTTTAACAAAGAATCTACACTACTATGAAATATTCACTGTAATTCATTTTTACACATTTAAAAGTTTAGAGTGAATGTCGTAAGTATATTTATTCTTCATTGTTCTTAGCTTTGATATATTCAACTTATTTAACAAAAAAGAATGTTACAGCAGCAAATGTAAGAACTGATCCTACTCTAGTAATGATACAGGTCATTTTTTTTTTCTTTAAAGGTTTTTCACTTATGGTGATTTCCCCCTTGAAATGCACCTTAAACTTATCGCTGAAGAGCTGAAAGATTTTAAAAAGATAAACCCGAACACAGAAGTTCCTCTAGAGCAGCAGTGGGAAACTCCAGTAAGGCAAAAAGTCATTTCTTACATCAGTTTTATTGTCTTTATATATCCCAAGAAAGATCACTTAGCAATGTCATTTAACAAGAATTAACTAACAGCATTTTTCCACGTTGTGGTTGTTAAATTTGCCAAATATAAAGAAGTTACTCTTGTAAAAATAGGGTGAGGTCATAAAAGCTATATACTTATGTATAAATGCACAACATTTTTTGGAGTTTTGGGTAAAGTAACTATTGAAAAAAGATACCTACCTTGCATAGTTAAACTGATAACAGAGTTTCATTGAAATGGAATGATGATCATTTTCTTCAGAGGGAATGCACTATAACATGTAAGCCAGATCCGATGGCAGCAGACCCTGAGAAGCAGACCACACTAGCTGTAAGCTTCATGCTGGGAGAGTAAGTAGCACTGATAAAAAAGAAACATCTTCTCCTTTGATATAATTGAGAAAAGAGCTGAATTATTAAAGGATTTAGAACTACTTTTGGTTTTTCATTTTTATTCAACTATAAAGTGCCTAATTGTTCCTTAAAGACTAAGAGAAAAGTGGCTTATAATTAGGTTTTGCCAGGTATTATTTACTGTCATACCACAGAAGTAATTAGTTACCCAGGCATATAACATTAAGTCAGTGATATATTCATTTCAATTTTCTTAAAGAAGAACCTTTACTGTGAGTGTATTGATAAAGTTTGACACAGTTAATAAATCTTACTGAGTTTTCCATCTCCTTTGTAGCATCACAGATAGGTTTGAGGCAGATACACAGAGTTTCATTGGCTCTCTGCTTGTGGATGGAGAAACTTGTCCTTTCTACCAAGCTCTTATTGAGCCAAACATAGGTTCAGATTATTCACCTGGGACTGGGTAAGAGTTAATTATCATTATATTAAATGGTTTATCTTTCCCCTTTGTTATATTTAAAATCCTAGATAATTGTTGAATAGGGTTCCACTTTATTATATGAAATAATACAGTTGAGATTAAAGGAAACTTTTTGAACTTGATAATATTTAAAGTTGCATTTGATGTTAAGATTGAATTTTTAAAAAAATCTGATTTACAGATGTTCAAACTACACCAGGAATGGTTACTTCTCGGTGGGTCTCCAAAACATTAGAAGTGAAGATATAGAGAGAGTAAAGAACCTTATTGAAGACACCATTGATAGAGTTATCAAGTGAGCTATAAATATTTCAAGTATACCGACTTGTTCATATATTTGAAGCATAAATTCAGTCTGTAAGTGTAATCTCTTACAAGCACATTATAAACTAAATGTTTGTTGAAACTAGTTCACACCATGTTGAAGGTCCTGGATTTGGTTGTTATCCTTGTACAGGTGGACCAAAACTGAATGAAACATCTAGCCTATGTCTTTTCCAAAAATAGACTCTGAATACTTTTCTAACTTGCATAATAAACTTGTGATTAGAAGTGCTGCAATCATAAGAGAAGGATGCACGGAAACTTTTTTCTACCATTCTTAACTTTAAATTCCCATTCAGAAGTAAATTTGCTTTGTTTTTATTTTCAGAGATGGTTTTGACAGCAAAAATGTTGAAGCATTGCTGCATAAAATTGAGTTGAGCCTGAAGCATCAGACGGACAACTTTGGCCTCCACTTGGCAGTGGTATGCTACATTGTATAACTTGATAATTGCAGTTGATGAAACACGTTTAAAGAGATGTGAAATATATTCAGGTGCTATTTATCTATATATGAGGTGAGGTGTGTAACTTTTAAGTTATGCTTTACAGTCAACATCAAGTAAATTAAAACTTTTAAATTACTATGATTTATTTTAAATAATGGATTAACACAATTCTTTCTTTATATGTTGAATATTTTTCAGTCTCTAAGCTGCCTTTGGAATCATGGTGGCAGTCCTTCAGAAGCTCTTCAGATCAATGCCTTTATGGACAGATTAAAGCAATGCATGAAGGAAAATCCACGCTTTTTGCAAGACAAGGTCAAACAGTATTTTAAGGTAAACTAGTCATGAGTAGGTAAAATACAACCATTATGCATTATTGGTCTTGCCTATATATGAATGTTAAACACATTCTCATCCTGTTATTGTGCCAGTAGAAAAAAATCTCATTTGAATATAAAGCTTTTCAGATGAAATAGAAATTTTAGGATAATATCAAGTGTTATATCTGATTGTGTCAGTTATGTTGTTATTGTTTCTATATAAATGAAAATTAGATATTCATTTTATTCAGGACAATCCACACAGGCTGACCCTCATTATGCAGCCAGATGAGAAGTATGACGAGCAGATAAAGATGCAAGAAAGACAAAAACTGGAAGACAAGTTGGCAAATTTAACTGAACAGGATAAAAAGGATATATATGAAAATGGTAGGAAGTTATAAAGAGTGGGAAATATATTTTAATTTGATGATTTCAATCGTGTTTCTGTCTTTGCATTTTTAATATGGGAACCATGCTGATGTAAGGTTTGTGGAGTGATTTTAAAACTGATTTCTTGTTTTCTTTCCTTTTTGAAAAATAGGAAAATTTACAGTTAATTTGATATTGTTCTACTGTAATCCCTATGATTATGTTTTACCTTATTCTCATGCATGTAGGCGTTTTTTATGCTTCTGCTGGTGGCACAAATTTTCATTTTACAAACATATTTTGGCATGATACTTAAAATGTACAATCATAAGCAGTTATTTTAAAGTTAATCCAATCAATGTAGGTCTGAAGTTGAAAGCAGAACAGATGAAAGCAGTGGATGCATCGTGCCTTCCCACTCTACAGATCTCTGATATCGAAGAAGACCTTAAACGTTATGCTGTTAATGAAGTTTATCAAAGTAAGCAACTTTTTCTAACCACACATTATTTGAAAAGTTTCTTTTACAAGTTTTTCATCAAGTTTCTTTTGGCATGTCATGTTATTATAGAGACTACCCATGAATCTTGAGCTAATTGGTATAAATCCCAGTCTGATTTTACAACATTGTTCTTCAACTGTCAATCTCAGATTATTTTTTTATAGAATTATGTTTTTTTTTAGGATTTTTATTAATGATATAAATATTTCTTAGGTGAGGTACCAGTCCAGTATTGTGAGCAGCCCACCAATGGTGTGACCTACTTTCGTGCTGTATCCAACATGGCCCATCTATCAGAGGAATTGAAGCCTTATGTACCTCTCTTTTGTAATATTGTTACAAGGTAGATCACCATTAGAAGGTTTGATTTCAAATCAGTACATATGCATGGAAATCCTTAAAATTAGTTGTACTCTAAGTAAGGCAAGATTGAAAGAGAGAGGCGAAAGAATAAATTAAAATGAAGAACTGCTAATAGAGATAGTCTTTCTTTTATTGTGTTCTTCAGCTTCATGTGGAAAACATATTGAAATTTTAAATTTCTTCTTAGGATGGGTGCTGGTGCAATGGATTACATGGAGCTCTCTCAGCAAATGAGTCTGAAGACTGGGGGTATGGACGCCTGCAGTCATGTGACAGGTGACCCAAGTGACATCTACACTTATGAGCAGGTCAGTCTCTTATGTGATCCATCATGTCATGTATGATCCAGTGTCATATTGGACCATATCTGTGAAAAATTGCTTAAACTTTTTATTACCGAGACCATTGCTTAGTACATGAAATGCTAAAATTGGTAATATTTGTATAGATAAGTCATGGTTAAACAGTGCTATATGTATGTAAGTCAACCAGTCATATATTACACAATATATTTTTTTTATATGAAATACTGGACATAAAATTTTGTCAAGTTGACATGGAACTTGGGACAGGGTAATTAACATCTTCTCCAAAGATTACATAGCAGGACTGAAATAGTTTATTTGTATTTGCCAGAGACACAGCATTGTCAGCTAGACAAAATTGTAATTCCAGTATAAGATTCATGGTTAAATCGGTTTTATTCTTATTTTTGAATACTTAAGATATTAATAGGTGACAAAATTGAATTAAAATTTTCTGCTTTATCAATATCTTACAGGGCATTCTATTTTCCTCCTATTGCTTGGACAAGAACACTGAAAGCATGTATGAGTTGTGGACTGAAATATTCAACAGGTAAACTAAGATCTTTTTGTAGTATTATGTTTTGTAACATTATTTATATCCTTTATACAGTTAATTACAAAAAAGGCAAAGAATCTAAACATCTTTAATCAGTTGCCTGAATAATGTTGCTGTTCAATGGAACAAAAAGGGAGATTTATTTAGCAATGAAGTTGGTCCACACTTGGTAATAAATATTTTAAACTGAGTGAATGCCCTGTTTTATGACTCCTTATTCTTCCACAACCATAATCAAGGAAGCATGCTACCTTCAGAAAAACTTAGCGTGATATGTAAGTTATTGTTTAACATTAAAGGTATACTTTCTGCATTTGAAATGTCCCAAGGCCATATTTTCCACGTCTACATATCTATTACTTATTTTTCCCAACTCAGACCTTAAAAATGGAAATAAAAGTATTTGAAGTTGATGATAACTCCTGATATGTACAACAAGTCATGGTGGTCAAAATGAGGTGGAAAACATTTAGAGCTATATTATTTGATTGATAAAATGGTATAAAATATGGAATTCAAGTGCAGGGTTTGGGTCAAACAATAAATTGTGAATAAAGAAAAAAAAATTAAGGTAAATTCCATTAGGTGTGAAAATTGAAGATACTTTTAAGAAAACTAAAATTGTATATGTGTGTATTTGTATATAGCTTCATTGAACAATATCCAAGAATTGTTTATCCCTTGGAGCATACAGTCTCAACTTGGTTATTCTTGGTGCATCTTGGTTTTAAAGGCTTTGGAGCTCTGGGAACAAAATGATATGCTAGAATATTGAATGGAAAAGATAGATCCAATACTTCTTTTAATATAGAAAATACATTATAAATAAACAGCTAAAGAGTCCCTGTAGAAAACTGATAAGCAGGTGTGTGTATATATGTTTTGACAAAGCTTCATGCAAAATAAAACAAGGTATTGTTCATTATATCAGATAGAGTTATCCCTTGAAGCATAAAATGTTAACTTGGTAACTCGTGATAAACATAGGACTTAGCTCTAAAGGCCTTGAAGTTTAGATTACAAAAATTAATTACAGAATGAAAAAAGTCTGCTCGGTGCACAATTCATTCTTTCTCTTTTGTCCATTTTTAAAGTTTTTTGTGAATGAACCTTTATATTTATTGACTGTATCGTGTGTGTATATATATATATATATTTTCATTGGAATATTAGTGCCCACTGCTCTTACGACTTGTCTTAATATTAAAATTGATTGGGTGGAAACTTGTAGCTGTGCTTGGGTTTCAAATTATGGTTGCTATCACTACGTATGTTGAGCTGGAGGATCAGAATAGAGCAGATAACCTCCAAATGTAGAATAACTGCTGTGAAGGGCCTGAGCACCAATTGAGCTCCGTATCAGCTTCACATACACCACATCCCCTTCACTCAACCTCTGAAGCATCGTATTGCTGGCTGTGAAGTGTTCCATTTCATCACGCCCGTCAGCCCACAACCAAGCCACAGGACGTCCGTTTACAGCAATATTGGCATGAACTATGTACTCTCGCAATGACAACAGGTGACAGTGGAAGACGTATATCCCAGGATGCTTGCATGTGAAAACCCCTGTATCTTTGTCGTAGTTTTGTCCCTCATTTACATGAACTCTGTCAAACTTGACCACAACATCTGCATTGTCAAACCTTTGAATGAGAGGCAGAGAGAGCACTGAAAAGAAGGCAGACTTTGGAGTGGCTTGGATGCTATAGAGGGCACTACTGTCGCCCAGAAGACTTGACTCGCCCTTTTCTCCTTTTATGCCTGGCAATCCTCTGGGACCAGGTGGACCTGTGTTTATAATAGAAAATGGTCATTGTTGTTGTAGAAGGCAAATCTGGTCAAGAAAAGTAAATGGGCCCATTTATACAAGTCGCAAAACATATATGCCACATTTAACCTTTCAGTTAACCATGAAATTCTGATGTCATGATGATGATACTTTAATAGATGTTTCATTTGTTTCTTTTGTACTTGAAGTTGAATACTGAGGAAATGATCATTTTTAAAAAATATTAATGTATAAAAATTATGAATTGGCAAACTTGTTGCATTTTGTAAACATTGTGCCACTTTTGAAATAACTCTGACTCTTGTCACACTTGGACATATGTACTTATTTTATGTTAGTAAAAAAATCAAGAGATTCTGTTTTATCCATATCATGGGTATTATATTACTGTTGAAGAGATTTGGGTTTCTTTTATCACAATGTTAGACATTCCTGATAAAAAGAAAAGAACCCATCTTTTGAAAAAATGTACATTCATTCTTAAAAACAAGCATGGGGAAAAAGCATTAAGGAAATGAAAATTGCTTGTGGATGAACAGGAATGTGAAATCTTGGCCAAAAATGTTGCAAAATTGTAAACATGCTATCAATCTCTGAAACTAATACACGAACACGGTTCCCCCACAGCTATTGCATACTATTAGATGCAATTAGGAGTGGAATTTGCTGTTCCTGTATCTCGTGAATTGTGCCACTGAACTACACAGTAGAATTATACTATAATAGTTACCCGTCATTCCAGTATGTCCAGGATATCCAGGTGACCCTTGTAAACCCATGTCCCCCTTCACTCCTGGCATTCCCCTGGGTCCATAGTCTCCTTTAGGCCCTGGTTCTCCTGAAAAGCCTTTTTCTCCTTTAGGTCCTTGGATACCTGCAGTGAAGTCGAATAGATAACATAGATGGCATACTGTATGTGGTCTTTTTTTTTTTTTTTCAGTTTCCAAAATTGCCTTAAGGTCTAAAATCGGAGCTCATTTCTTTTATTTACACTAAATTAAAATCAGTTGAATTTCCAATGTAATTGGTCATTTTATTAAAATATGGCAAATATATTTGGTTAATATATTTTGTTTTGGAATGTTTCCATAAACAACCTAATTCAACAAGAACAGAATGTAACAGAGACCATCCTAAAACATAATAATAAAATAAAAAAAAAACTATTAGAAGTGAGTAGAGGCAAGATGCAATTTTAAAAAAATCTAATGTACATTTTGATTCTGTCCTTTGTGTGCAGGGGCCTATGGATGTAAAGATTAAACCTTGTGTTAATAGATAAATATTATGCACCCTTGTGTTGTGAAAATGGGTTTTAAGTAGATCATATTGGAAAAGTGCATGTTTTTTCTTTACTTTTCAATGTTTTTTTTTTTTTTTTTTTTTTTTTGAGAAAATCAGTGAATCAGTGTATACATATAATAAGATGTAACATTGTTTCTTTTGTGATGTATGAATTATAGAAAACAGATCTATTTCCACATGGTTACAAATTTAAGTGAAAAAGCATGATTCTCTTTTTGATTTTCTGGAGTTGTGAAAAACATACAGTAACTGCACTTACCTTGGAGGTTTAGTATGGGTGAATATTCCAATGCTGAGTTGTGAAAGTATTCCCTCTTTTTGGTGTTAGAACAGAATATCTTGCATTGCATTTCATCTTTTCCCACAGCAGGCCTCAGCATATTTGAGTTAAAGGTAATAAAAAGTATCAGTGAAAGAAACATTTTCTCAGATCTATGTCTCTAGAACAGAGCTTGCGTTCTCTGCACTCAGTAATATATGTCCTAGTAACTGTAAACACAGGAGCCAGATTGCTTTCAAAATAGTTATACCAACTGGCTATTAATGGGTAATATAAACAGCAATGAAGAATGCCAAATTGTTCAAAAATGTATTAAGTAAAGGTGTTAAGTTAGTTCTTTAATTCGAAACTTTCATTGAACCTGACACGATAGAGACTATTTTATGTAGTAGAAGGAACTACTTTGATAGATTTGATGTAAAAATAGGCTTTCTGGTATATTGGAAAATGTGTTTTCATGGCTTACACTCTTGCTAGAGCTGCGAATATTGAATCTGCGTGAAGCTCACAAATAGCGCCAATTAAGCCCAGCATGAAGTTTTCTTCTCAATCTGCCAAAGCTTAAAGGTTGCTGTATGTTAGACAACTTTTTCTATCTGTACCTTTTCTGTATTAAAAGTTTACCACTATGCTGGTTACCTCAGCACTCAGTGGGTGTTAATATTGAAACATGTTAATTCTGATGATAATTTTCGGGTGGTTCATATAAATTTTTTATCAGTCGTAAAGTTCAAGGTCGTTTTTAATTCATCAGTCAATCTGACCTCTACACTGACAGTATTTTATTTAAGGAATGTGTTTGTGTATTTTGTGTGATTTTATAGTATACACTCATTTGGTTGTAAAATTTTTATCCTTTAGAATCATTTTCATAGGAAAAGCGATGTTTTGATGTTTATGTCTAAGTGAGATTAAATCGCATTCATTATCTAATGCGCATTTCCTTTTTTGAAAGGTCAGTCATTATGAAGGCATAATTGAAAGTAAACATGATCCTTGCTTTGTTTGTTAATGTCTTGTTTTCTGTATACTTTGTTGGGTTGTTTGACAAGTCTCTAATACCAAGGAAAAGGGCACCAAGATGGCAGTTTAAGAATGAAACACTGATGTCATAACAAATTTTATATATTGGAAAAGAATATGTACATGTTCAATACAAACAGACTAATAATTCTTCAAACAAGGAGGTGAATGGGATGGAGGAGTATAGTTATAATTTGTTATTATTGTTTAAATAGAGAGGAAGACTCATTTTGCACATTTTCAACATTTCATTACATAAGGTGTTTTATGGGGCTACTTTCTGTTGTCATTATATTTATAAATCAGTTGAAGTAGGTGCATTTTAAATGAGAATGGTGTTGACAGAGGGCAATAAGAGTACTTACACAGTTCAAGGATGAGTGAAATACCAAAGCCAATTAATTTAATAGGTCTCAAATCAATCCAGAAATCTGTAATAAATCATTGACAATTATTTTTGGGAGGTATAATGTGTGTTGGATGTGGTCTCACACCAAAGGGGAATATGTTTGTTTGTCTGGAAAACAGCTTTGTATAGAAAGTAATGATGCTATTAAGATTGTGACCGGGGCCCATGAGTACTTTCAAGTTTTTAATCAAAGCATTGCACTTTCACCATAAGCTAAAAAGACAGATCAACATTTCAAGTTTATTTTTTATGGTCAAAAATTGTACAAATTCTAATGAACCTTCAGTTAAGAATTGCTCAAATCCTTTTTTTTTTTGTTATCAGCAATTTAGCATGTTCCTTATTTTCATAGTTACAGCCGTAACTGTAATACATTTTATGCTTTTTTTATGCTTTTTTTTTTTTTTTTGAAATTTTAATGCATCACTTATTTGAATGAAAATGCCATAATTCATGTTGCAGATTGAACTTGCAAGACACCAACCATCTGATTACACTTATCCGTATGGAGGCAGCTAACATGGCCAATGGTTTGGTCCATTCTGGTCATTCCTATGCCATGCAGCATGCCAGCAGTTCTCTGTTGCCTTCCACCAGACTCACAGAGACTTTGTCAGGAATAACACAGGTGAGTCTGCATTTTTGTTTTTCTGATTAATATTTTGCTGTGTGTGTGTGTGTGTGTGTGTGTGTGTGTGTGTGTGTGTGTGTGTGTGTGTGTGTGTGTGTGTGTGTGTGTGTGTGAGAGAGAGAGAGAGAGAGAGAGAGAGAGAGAGAGATAAAACACATTTCCTGTTGTGTAAACTAATGTCCAGTGAACACAATTTCCTTGGGTTCATGTGTTTTTGTGTTTGAAGACTGTAGCTGTTTTACCACATTTAGATCATCATTAAGTCCAGTGAGAGCACCTCTAGCACATCCTTCTTCTTTGAACCAGTAACACATCTAGCACACTTATTTATATTATTGTGGCCCAAAGCAAGGCTTAATTTTATGAGATTGTCAATAGTTAAATATGGTATAGCCTTATTAACTGACAGTTTCAATTCATCAGTTGTCTGTTGAGTAAATTTGAAATATTTTAATTTTGATTAAAATGCATATAATGAACTATTTTTACCAATGAACATTTTAAGAAGTTATGAAAGGTAAACTTGTAGAAAAATATGAACATTTTAAGGCTAGGTGAGCCACTTCATATTTGATGTTGGCATATGAATTTTATTGCTTTTGATTTAAGAAATAAAAATCATAAGATAGAAGATTTTCAAATCTTTGTTCATCAGGTATCTATGATGAAGAGACTGGCTGAGCTTGAAGATATGGATCATGTTGTTGACAATCTGAACAGAATAGCAAATCATGTATTAGACAAAAACAACCTTAGGTAAGTAACATGCATAAGTTTCCATTGTTATCATTCTTAGTCATAGATTACTTGTCAGTATATATTATTTTAATTTTTGTCAAAGCATTCTGCTCAAGGATTCTTTAACCATCTGTCAGTTGCTATCATGACTAAATCTTCTTGGATAAATATTGATGTGTATGTTTATGTATGCTTTACTTTGTTTATGATGTCTACTTATTTCACCCTCTAGAGTTGCTGTCAATGTAAGCCCAGAGTCCAGTGCCCAGGTAATGATGTCAACAGAATCTTTCCTCACATCTTTACCTGTGCTCAGTAAGACAAGGGACAATGACATTCTTGTTAAGGTGGGCATGCATAGAAGTCTCTGCATAGAAATACATATATACAGTGTATATTTTCTGATATTTATTTTAAAGATATTATACGAAGACTCTTATAATGGACATCCTGCAATGAAGCAAAATTAGCTTTAGGCCAAACATTAGTGTACTATTACTTTGATATCATAATTCTTTTGATTGCGTTAGTTTTAAGGTTGAGAAAGTTTAATTTCCCGTCTCCATTACCTCATACAAAGATATCCTTCAATGCTTTTTACTTAAAAAGGTTATATTTTTAGAATAAGAAAAGGTTAATACTAGGACTTGTATTTAATATATACCTTATTACAATATTGTCACAGGACACAATATTCAGTGCCAAGCCTGACAAGAACCACTTTGAACTGCCATTCTCTGTGAATTTTGCTGCGCAGAGTGTCCCTACTGTGCCTTTCAATCACCCTGATTTTGCCAAGTAAGACATATGTTGTTGCACATTGTACATTTTTATTGCTTCACACATACTACAGTAGATATTTTCAACATTTTGCTGCACAACACTTTGCTGCATTGCCATGATTATAATACCTTATTACTTTTGAGATTTTTAGAATTATACATAGATCTTATACAGTTATTAGTGCATATGATTTTCTGATGATATTTCAAAGTCTATGATTAAAAAAATTATAGTCACTAATTATTTAGAACAAAATAATGTTGAACTGAAGGGGGGGGGAGGTGTGTGGCTCAAATGTCTTCTGTCAAATATCATTCCCATTTTAAGACAATGTTTAACCTGAGGGCATACTTGAGAGACTTAGAAATGATTAAAGGAACAAATACATCCATCACTTATCTATAGAGTGCCATGTTTTCCTCTCTTTCAGATTACAGGTACTTGCCAAATTAATGTCCAGCAAATATTTGCACAGGGAAATCAGGTGAGGATGATAAGGCCCACTTTGGTGGTGTGGAATTAATTGCTCGTTAATCTGCATTAGTTCATTTTCTTTCATTCTCACCTAACAGAAGTGGTGGAAGTGATTTATTTTTTTATAAGAGACAGTTGGTTGGCAAAAGTTTTGGAAACTGTGGTATCCCGAGAAGAGGAACACAACTGGGTAATTATGGTTCATTTAGGGTGTTATCAGTTATGTCATTCATTTATTTATTTTCAGAGAGAAAGGTGGAGCTTATGGAGGGGGAGCAACAAGTAACACACCTGGGGTGTTCCAGTTTTTTTCTTACAGGTAAGTTTTGGTAAAATATGAAATGCAGTTTCATGCATGTGTGTGATTTTTTTTTTAGAATAAATATTTCAACACAAAATTATCAATATACAGCATTTTGTCTAAGATTTCATACGTATATGTTCATTCGGTGTAAATGTTTTAGTTGATCTCTCTTTTATCAATTTTCTGTCAGTGCCTCTGCATGGTGTTTGCAGTTCTCTTACAGAACTTTTGAAACCAGAACATCACTCCTTGATGATATTAACAGTATTCAATACAGTTATTGAGGTGAGAAATGCAAAAAAAAAAAATCATTTATATTATTTTCAGAGATCCAAGATCTTTGGAAACTTTGGAGGTGTTTGATCAGAGCATGTCATGGGCTAAAGCTGGAGAGTACAGTCAACAGGATGTAGAAGAATCTATACTGGGAGTGTTCCAACAGGTAAAAAGTCATTGGCTCTTTGAAATTTGAAATGAATTCCTATCTGTAAAACAGGGGCAGAAATCTCAGAAGTAGATTTTCCTTTCAGCATTCACTGCTCTGCATCAAGGGAATGACTTATTTTGAGTCTTAAAATCTGAAATGGTAAACACAAATTAAAGAGTTAAATGAAACGGGTCATCTGTGGTCTTTCAGGTTGACAAGCCTGTTGCCCCAGGGAAGCGAGGATTGCCATTATTTCTTGGACACTTGACAGATGATATGAGGAAGGAACACAGAGACCAGTTAAAGAAGTGTACAAAAGACCAGATGGTGGAGGTGGCAAACAGGTGGGTCATATAGGAGTTGTGGTAATAGTCCATCAAGTAATGAGTCTTGTGAAGACTAGTAGATTACCTAAAATTTTTTAGAAAATAATGACCAGCCATTCCAATTAGTGTGATGCGATGGATAGACAGAAAATTTTCAAAATTGAAAAGTCAGATTTTTTAATATCATTAGAATTGATATATTTTAATGATGCTCTCAAGGAAATCCATAGGAAGAGATTTTCAAGTATGAACATGTATGGATCATTCTTACTTGTGTAGGTGAAAAAAATGCTCATTGAATTGTATATATTATCGTATAGTAAATCATTGTATGTTTTGTATTGTAGGTATTTTCAGTCAAGTGGTGACACCTCAGTTACTCTCTTAGGGCCACATAATCCTGCTGTGGAGGAGGATTCCTCATGGAAAGTCAGGAAGGAAACTTCTCAATAAAGGTTCTGATGTGGTTTCCCTAATATACCGAACAGTTTAAAAGAAGCCAGTTGACATTTTCACATTCAACAGTGACCTATGTATTCTAATGTGTTCAGTAGGTGCTTTATAGTAGCACTCTCTCAGAACCTCCATTTCCATACCTCTAATATTTCGACAACTTCAAATGCTGAAATACACACAATTGTCATTGTAAATAAGAAAAAGATTAAGAGCTGATCATAGTGGTGCAGAGAGTAATGAAAATCATACTCTATAAATATTGATTTGTGAAATAGATGTTTTGTGTATACCCATTGGGTAAAGTAATGCAATAAATTTTTTGTGGATGTTTTCTACAGTTTCTGTCTGAATTCCATTTGTTTCAGTGTTAACAATACAACTTTATTCAGTTGAATAGGCTATTGATTCCAAGTTGAGCTCTGAACAGAAAGAAGCTGTTCAGTATAAAATAAAGATAAAACAATTTGAGTTATATCTAGAGCTGGGGCTCTAGAGCGATGAAATTTACTTAAGTAGTTGATTTTAACAAAATTTTATTTCCCAAATATTTGTTGCACATCATTAGTAGCTATCTTTGCTAGATATTAGTTTTTTAGCACAACATACCATAAAACGGGATAAATTGAGACAAATTGGAAGGGATCAATGTATTCTTCTTAACCGTATGAAAATTATCATAATCTGTACTCTGAAATGGCGGTCGCCTTTTGCCCACAATGAAATAATTTATTTGATTTTTTAATTAACAAAAGTACTGCATAACGTTCTTGTTAAACTGAATGCCTGACGTAAAGGAGACGGTCTAACGTTATTCATTTTCAAGAAAAGGTTTCTTCAAATAGTTTGTATTGAGAGCTGCAACTAATATTTAACAAATGAAGTAACATGTTGGTTCTGTCGTAATTCGTGTCCTTTCCAAAAAGAAGGTCTCTCCCGTTTGCAGTAGAGTTTAAATCGAGAAATCACAGCTATGAAAGTCAAAAGTTACAAGTCCTTAACTCGCAATGGTTTGACAAATGGTGTGTGTATTGTGTCCATTTTCTTTGTGTCGATTGCATTACGTAGGAATTAGTTTTCTTCTTTGGGAGGCGGTGAAGTTTTTATCTCCTCTCTCCGAATGCACTTCTTTCTATCGAGGGTGTAGTAATCCGCTGGGCATTTCTGCACACAGGTACCATAACTGAATTGGACAAATAAAAACTTAATGATATTCCAGTAAAAGATGGTTTAAAAATGAATAACTGAATGAAAAGTAAAAATGGACTCAATATCGGTTGTATATAAGCATTGGTATATTGAAAGTAATGCCTGCATTTCTAAGGAACTTTTAGGGACAACAAAAGGTACTACGGAGCGAAAATGCACAAAATTTTCATCGTATTCGACAAATTCATAGCATACTAAACAACCATCGATAATCGCGTTCAATTCTAAAAAAAGTATTCCCTAAATATAACTTTAATATCACATTTACTCGGTTTAAGCCGATTTAGAACAGTTATCTGGATTGTGTGCCGTTTCACTTTGTATGTAACCTAATGCACGCACTGGGCAGGAAGGTACATGTAGTCATTCCACGACTGAAAGTCCTTTTGAACATTGACTCAGTCACATATACCCTCTCTTAAATAAGGAAACAAGTCACATAAGGAGCAGGAATGGCGAATCTCTCGTTTGTTTTTAGTTTGCAAGTTAGCGTTGCCGCACGGTGGCGTGACTGTATCCTTATTTCATACTCTGCGAATTCAGACGCTCCCAAATAATAAGAGATTTCCATCGTCAGGCATGTGTGAGTATTTTGCTCTATCTCTTGCAAACTTTGTCACTCCTTTTAAAAACACAGAAAACGTCCAATGCGTGCCTTTAAATCTAGTTGTTTGAACAATCGCTTGCTTTTCTAATCTTAAAATTACGCGAACTATCGATAATTTTGTGCAATATGTTTTCGCACATTAAAGGACTATATTTTGCTACTTAAAGAATTATTTTTAGATCTGGTAATTTTATGTTCCGTTCCAGAAAAAAAAATATGCAAAAATTCCAATACTTGCAGAGTAGGCAGTAAGAATTAAAAGCTATTGAAGAGCCAATAATGTTTCAAAATAGCTCAAGAAAAATCTTACCTTTCCAGCAGTTTGTCCTCCGTCTCATAGTCTCTGAACAAAATGTATCCAGGTTTGCAACGAGTGCAGCCCCTCTCAAAGTGACAAAACCGCTGTAAGCAGTTCTCCGGGCACGCTAAAACGGTGAATGAAATGAAATGTTAGCTTGAGCGAAACAAAGATGCGTTTCACAAAATCTTCCACAGCCGTCCACGGGAGTCTTGGAGTTTGTCAATCTCCATTTCAATGCACAGGCCCACCACTGAACTATTCCATGGTTTTAATGGTAATGTTAATTATAATTATAATTTATAATTCCAGTTTGGATATCGGACCACCCTATCGAAACTAATTGTCGTTGAGACGATTGCATAATTCCACATTATTCCGTTATTTTTACAACAAAGTCAGTTAAAATGCATAAATATGATCTGATCAAGTTAAAATTTCGATTACAAAAGCAACCCCCTTATTCGTTAAAAATCTAACATATAGATTTGGATGTGCTGAACGTTTTTTATCAACAAGGACTCCTTTCACCAGTACAAGAGTTCTAAACCATATATGCGTCTCGTGTTCGTTTTTCGAAATTGACGGACCATGTTTATTCGCATGCTAGAAAGCAGTAGGGAAGTATTTATGAAATAAATTTTGACAGTCCTCTAATTTTCTGCTCTATATTGCTTCACAGTTAACAGGATGTGGCTTCTTTCCACTAGCTTAATCTATTTGTCAAGATACAAACTTTGATAAAACTGATAAAACTTAGTTCATTATTAAACATATAATCAAAATTTACGATCCATAATGTTGTGGTAATACTTACACCCATAGAAATCTGCCGCCTCGGCAAAAACCAGAGCAGCAACCGCTACGAACAGTAGAACCAACTTCATGGTAGCAGCTGGCGTGTTATGGGGACGCAGACTTGTATGTCGATGTTTAAACGCAGTTTTCCTTGCTATCTGCCGCGCCTTTGTCACAATTTGGAGATAAACGGCTTCGTGATTGATTAATTATCGTAAGCAGTCGCTATGTTTGGAAACTTTTCAAAACGAACATACAACGATTTCACTTATCTTTCTATTCCCGACACACGTAACGTCCTTCGAGATTTCGTGTAACTAGGAACCGTACTCCTTTCCTGCTATCTCAGCTACTCTTTTTGACCTTTTCAGATCACAGAGATTACAGTAATTATTGTTTGATACGCCTTTCGTGTGACTTCAGTTATCTTCAATAAATAACAAAAACAAAAGAAGTTCAACAGATAGTGAATGAATAAGATTGGGAGCGTTTTCGAATCACTTTCAAACGGCAAAAAATTCGTTTTAAGGGGCAGACGTAACTCAAAAGCCCCACATTCAGTTGGCCATCCTGACCTACACATCACCTTATGTGGCATCATGATGAATGAACGTCTTTTTTTCTTTCGGCGTCTACTTAGTCATTACATTGCGTTGGAGAGAGAATTAACGAAATATCCTAATAGTCTCCGTGTGACATAAATGTTTCAGTAGAGAGGCGGTGGTGTTACACCTAAAAAGGTGAGCATATAATGCCTAGGCGAATTGCCACCTTTATTTATACTGTATCAATATTTAACCCTCTTGAGAATAAAGATGTTTTAAAAAAACCTAAAAAGGGTTCTCCAACATACATGTGGGATAATGGAACTCATCTTTAACTTTAGAATACCTAACTAACATCTGGGAGACAAATTGCTCGTGATGTGTTTATCCGTCTTTTTCAATTCATGTTAACGCCCTTTTGATAAAGTAGGCCTACTACATATCCGCACACATTACATTTTTTTTCGCTTAAACTTTACTTAGTATTTGTCAGAAAATAGAATAATTCTCGTTTGGTACTTGACTATTTTCCCCTGTTCTGTAATATACAATTGGAAATGTGGAAATGTTAACACGTCCTGAAATGACGTCTGGTTACTTAACTTTTGCGAACTTTAAAATTTACAAACACAGCAACCAATTTTCAATTTATTCTTGAGTGCATTTGCATTGCCCTTTGGTAACTAATAAAGTAAGACACAACAACTGCCAATTTCTTGAAAATATATTGTTTCTAAATATTTAAGAACATGTTGATCAATTTTTCTCTTTAAAACCATAAAGCAATGCATTACAGTGCAATTCTTAGAATAATGTTCATCCCTCCTGTTGGCAAGCACTCTCTCCCAAAGCAATCACATATTTGATTGCGGGGTTGGAAGCCGTCCATTGCCCTCTCAAGAACCGTGCCAGCCATTTGGTGCACTGCAGACATATTTTTATTTTTCAGTTCTACATGCCTTTGATTGCTGAAAAAGATTCATGTTGAGTATTTAATTCAGTAAGCCATTCATTCCATCCCATAATGTATATAAATTGGAGCTCTTCATGAACTCCTCCATATCTCCATTTGGTACTTTGGTATCATAAAAAGTACTGGAGTATGTTCAACTTCCTCTCTGATATCGATATCTATTAACAACAACTGCTCTCATATCTTTGGGCACATTGAAAAAGTCTCTTTCCATATGAGCCAGAAGCATATTTAAAAAAATAGAAAATAAAAAAATAAATTGACACCAAAGCTGGCAAACATATAGGACCACATGTGGACATCAAACAGCAAAAAAAGTAATGCAAAATTTAATACAAAAAAAAAGTCTGGAAAATTTTTTTCAAAAGGTGCCTGTTTTATCACCACACTAATTCGGTTGCAAAGTAACTCAGCAAATTTGAAATAAAACAAAAATATGTTTTTGCACTTCGTCGCCTAAATAAATGCAAAAACAAACAACCTTTTGACATGAATCTTTTTCGACAGACAATGGAAGTATATAGTCTGGATACTTCCATGGTCAGACATACATAAAGTCGCCCAAAAGTAATGACCAATTTAATTGTTTTATTTGTCGACGGTCGCTAACTACATGATCTACGTGAAGTCTCAAACTCCTGGACCATCTCCCATGACTCGCGACCGTCTTCTTAGCTCTCCCAAGCGGTCTCTCTCAATCTCTGTTCTCCCAATTATTACTTCTGTACGTCTTATATCCCAATTTCTTATCTCAGGTGGATTCAATGTTGCACTATTGCGTGGTGCATACAAAGTTTAATTACTAAAATTGCACACTAAGGCAATAAAACGAGTCGCGTGCACAAGCAAACGACTCCATTAAATTAATTAAAAAGTCTGGGGATAATATTTGTGAACTGAACACTTGGTAAAATAAGACTGATCGAGCTGAGTTTCACAAAGGGCCGTTCTTAATCAAACAATGCTACTCAGTTCTTAACCTAAAAATCTAAACAAGTAAAATCATCTAAACTTTATTTAAAAAACTAAACAAGTATTATCAAAATAAAGGATTGCTCCCGGATCATGTGTCAATTCTGAGATCTATTGGTACTGGTACACGTGGCACAAAAGGCATCCATAATGAAATGCGTATCTCTTTTCCTCCTGGTTTATTTTTTAGGCTTGGCGCATGTAAGTATCTTGCTTGATTTCTATGGATTTGTTGAAATGCATATTTAAGTTGATAATCATGTAGACCACAAGGCCTCCAGACGAATTTTACTTTAATTACAAGTATCATCTCCCTCTAATATTGACAAATCCAACAGTTGCAGTTTTTTCTTTATAATTTTTAAGAATTACAAGTCTCTGACTCACATATTGTGTTATTTCAACTAAATAAATCACTTTTAAGAACTTAAAAGTTCTTTTGCACGGTGGCCCGAGTTTTGCCCTACGAGTACCTATACTGACGGATCTACTGTCAGTTGTTCCCCATTTTATAAGCTTTCGCTAATTTTAATACTTTATTTCTGCACTTATTGCATGGTTCTAGGTACACACCATCACTGTATTTAGTTGTGAGCTTTGTTTTCAAATGAGAAAATTCTTCTTAAAAATTCAGTTTAAATCACAAAGCTAAATATTTTCAATGGTTAAGTTTTTTTCTTCACATTCTTTTTAATATTGTAATACGTGATTGGAATTGTATACTTTCTGTAACGTAGATTCACCTACACATTTTAAAAGATATCTTCTTAAGAACCATTTTTGCACATATGCTCTTTTCAGAAATTAGTGTTTTTTTTTTTAATTTAATTTAATTGAAAACTGCTTATTCTATTTTTATAAATTTTGCTCTTCTTTCTACTAGGTCTACATGTATGAAATATGTGACGGTGGAACTGTTTGCTGTAAGTTAATATTTGAAAGTATTTACTTATATTTGTAAACATTTCAATGAAAAACTGATATTTTTTTTAAACAAAGATTCTAAACAGCTTTGTGTGTGTGTGTGTGTGTGTGAGAAAGAGACACAGAGAGAGAGAGAAAGAGAGAGTGAAAGAGAGCAAACGCTGATTTCTTTTCTTACTATATTGGTTGAGTTGTGCACAAGAATGAATTTGATCTGTACTGATTTTTTTTTTCTTCAAGATGGAGACCGGTACTGTTGTGGAAATGACCTGTGTTGCGACAAAAATTCTCACTCAGTGTTACACCCCTCTATTAGTGATAAAACTCAAAGGTCGAACAAGTCAAGAAATCACAATACTGAATAAAATGGATCAACATTTAATACACAACTAAAAACAAGAGCGTCCGTAAAACTGTCAATCAAACATTCGAGTTTCAACAGAGGCCAAGACGTGCCTGTCTCAGATATATTCTTTAAGAAAGAATTAAAGATTAACATATTAAAGAATTAATCTATGTACTTGTATTGTATGCAACTGGGAGTGTAACAAATATACATTAACAGATAAAGTTTTAATTCTCCAACAGGCAATTTATATTGTTGTTCTCGAAATAACTGTTACTGTCTTCAGTTTTATAACAAATACATATAATCCTGTCCTTTCATCGGATTTATGTTGGTTATCCTTTCCCCTTGTTTAGCCTGTGGAATGAAATCGTCTTTAATTTGCTTGGATAATTATAGTCTAATGTCTCTGTGCAAGAATGATAATGTGTGCCATGGCACTGGTGGTACATGTTTCTTGCTGGGTTTCACTGCATGATTCTTCTATGGAATCTTGGGTAACAACTCTGCATTCACAGCATTAGTCAAAATAAAGAAATTTTGCTAAGTACCAAGATCACCTCTGATCACTTCACTTTAATTCATGTTTTTGTTTTAAAGAAGTTTTTTCATTTAAACTTCTTGCAGTATTTGTCAAAATATAAAATTTTCTTTCATTTGAAGTTTCCCACCCTCCAATACAAAGAAAATATGGAAATTTTGCCAAGTACCAAGATGACCTCTGATCACTTCACTGTAATTATTTTTCAAGAAAACACTACATGCACATAACTAACCAATTTATTCCTATGTGTTAACATATTTGTTCGTACACGTATAACCCAATGATACCTAATAATATATGTACTACAAATTCCTTGGAAAAGTATAGTTTATAAATATTTAAGAAAGTTTGTCGATTTTTCCAGTCAAATTCTCACCAAGCAATCATATAATTATCTGAATGTGAGGTTACACAGGTGTCCATTTCCTGTGCGAGCCATTTGGTACGGCAAGAGGAGAAATGTATTTTATGTCACAGTTCTATATTCCCTAGATTGCCAAAAAGATTCATCACCATGTGAAGTATTTAATTTTGTTAGCCATTCATTCCATTCCATAATGTATATAAATTACAGCTCTTACTAAACTTACTTTGGCAATCTTATTAAAACTTTTTCAACTTTCTCTATGAAATATCCACAACTGCTCTCATATCTTTGAGCACATTATCAAAGTCTCTTTCCAGTGCTAGAAGCATACCTGAAAAACAGAAAATGAAAAAAGCTAGAAAGCAAAAGAAAAAAAACTGCAACCAAAATTAATAAATAGCTTCTGTAAAAATAAATCCAGTCATGCCAATTTCCAAAAGGTACTTGCCTTACTATCAAACAAGGTCACACAGCAAATTTAAAATAAAACAAAAATATTTTTGGCACTTATGGGGCAAACTTCACCTTAATACATGAAAAAACAAAAACACAACATCTTCTGTAAAAATAACTCAATCATGCTGTTTTTCGTAATGAGCCCCTTTTTGCCATTATCAGGGCTTTTCCCAGTATTGGGGGGTACAGGCTGTCCCAAATAACCACCTATAATTTCCTACAAAATTCAGGGAGTCCAAGTATGACTAAAGCCATCATACTTCAAAAAAATCCATAAGTCGTCCAGCCATCTTTGAAAACATAGATCATCTGGTGATGCTGGCAGCCGTCCAAAAGATGGCTGGATGGTTTGCTGGGAAAACCCTTGGCCATTATACAACGCCATTTAACAGTAAATTTAAAATAAAACAAAAATACAGTTTTGCAGTTATAGGGACTGATGTTTTGGACAGTCATGGCACAGGGAACAGCCATAACACAGACACAGCGATTAATCAGAAGGGAAGTAGTTTTCTCTCATAAACAACANGTGTGTGTGTGTGTGTGAGAAAGAGAGAGACAGAGAGAGAGAGAAAGAGAGAGTGAAAGAGAGCAAACGCTGATTTCTTTTCTTACTAACTTGGTTGAGTTGTGCACAAGAATGAATTTGATCTGTACTGATTTTTTTTTCTTCAAGATGGAGACCGGTACTGTTGTGGAAATGACCTGTGTTGCGACAAAAATTCTCACTCAGTGTTACACCCCTCTATTAGTGATAAAACTCAAGGGTCGAACAAGTCAAGAAATCACAATACTGAATAAAATGGATCAACATTTAATACACAACTAAAAACAAGAGCGTCCGTAAAACTGTCAATCAAACATTCGAGTTTCAACAGAGGCCAAGACGTGCCTGTCTCAGATATATTCTTTAAGAAAGAATTTAAGATTAACGTATTAAAGAATTAATCTATGCACTTGTATTGTATGCAACTGGGAGTGTAACAAATATACATTAACAGATAAAGTTTTAATTCTCCAACAGGCAATTTATATTGTTGTTCTCGAAATAACTGTTACTGTCTTCAGTTTTATAACAAATACATATAAGCCTGTCCTTTCATCGGATTTATGTTGGTTATCCTTTCCCCTTGTTTAGCCTGTGGAATGAAATCGTCTTTAATATGCTTGGATAATTATAGTGTAATGTCTCTGTGCAAGAATGATAATGTGTGCCATGGCACTGGTGGTACATGTTTCTTGCTGGGTTTCACTGCATGATTCTTCTATGGAATCTTGGGTAACAACTCCAGGGGCGGATCCAGAGATATTTTCTGACAGTCTTCCATATAATATTTGATGATCCATCCTCCATTTTTTGACCGTCTTCCGACAGAAAAAATTAGATACCCTCCAATGTAAACTTGAAAATCTGACCGTCTTCCAGAAGACTCAGAAGACGGCCTAAATCCGCCCCTGAACTCTGCATTCACAGCATTAGTCAAAATAAAGAAATTTTGCTAAGTACTAAGATGACCTCTGATCACTTCACTGTAATTATTTTCAATTTGTGTTCTTGTTTTAAAGAAGTTTTTTCATTTAAACTTCTTGCAGTATTTGTCAAAATATAAAATTTTCTTTCATTTGAAGTTTCCCACCCTCCAATACTAAGAAAATATGGAAATTTTGTCAAGTACCAAGATGACCTCTGATCACTTCACTGTAATTATTTTTCAAGAAAAACACTACATGCACATAACTAACCAATTTATTCCTATGTGTTAACATATTTGTTCGTACATGTATAACCCAATGATACCTAATAATATATGTACTACAAATTCCTTGGAATAGTATAGTTTATAAATATTTAAGAAAGTTTGTCGATTTTTCCAGTCAAATTCTCACCAAGCAATCATATAATTATCTGAATGTGAGGTTACACAGGTGTCCATTTCCTGTGCGAGCCATTTGGTACGGCAAGAGGAGAAATGTATTTTATGTCACAGTTCTATATTCCCTAGATTGCCAAAAAGATTCATCACCATGTGAAGTATTTAATTTTGTTAGCCATTCATTCCATTCCATAATGTATATAAATTACAGCTCTTACTAAACTTACTTCGGCAATCTTATTAAAACTTTTTCAACTTTCTCTATGAAATATCCACAACTGCTCTCATATCTTTAAGCACATTATCAAAGTCTCTTTCCAGCGCTAGAAGCATACCTGAAAAACAGAAAATGAAAAAAGCTAGAAAGCAAAAGAAAAAAAAAACTGTAACCAAATGTAATAAATAGCTTCTGTAAAAATAAAGCCAGTCATGCCCATTTCCAAAAGGTACTTGCCTTACTATCAAACAAAGTCACACAGCAAATTTGAAATAAAACAAAAAATTTTGGCACCTATGGGGCAAACTTCACCTTAATACATGAAAAAACAAAAACACAACATCTTCTGTAAAAATATTCAGTCATGATGTTTTTCATAAGGAGCGCCTTTTTGCCATTATCAGGGCTATTCCAAGGATTGGGGGTACAGGCTGTCCCAAATTACCACCTATAATTTCCTACAAAATTCAGGGAGTCCAAAGCCACCATAAAGCCACCATACTTCCAAAAAATCCATAAGCTGTCCAGCCATCTTTGAAAATATAGTTCATCCGGTGATGCTGGCAGCCGTCCAAAAGACGGCTGGATGGTTCGTTGGGAAAACCCTTGGCCATTATACAATGCCATTAAACAGTAAATTTAAAATAAAACACAAATACAGTTTTGCAGTTATAGGGACTGATGTTTTGGACAGTCATGGCACAGGGAACAGCCATAACACAGACACAGCGATTAATCAGAAGGGAAGTTGTTTTCACTCATAAACAACAAAATTGATCATCAAAAAATGATAAAACACTAATACTGAGAAAGGGCGATTATACTCATTTAAATTCTAAAAAATTATTAGGCATTGCAGATCAAATGGTACCAAATAATACACATAACTAAAATTATTTTCAAACTTGTGCATTACTGAATCAATATTCTGAATACATATACAGTCATTACAAATACATCTAATGTTGAATTTTTACCAGTTATGACAATAACTGAGAAGAATTAAAACAATTTTCATACACATAACTTCAAAACAAGTGATTTTAAAACCAATAATTGGACACTCACCAGTATTTGTTTTACTTGAAGCAACCATTGTGACAATAAGAGGAAGTTTATTTAAATGTACCACCTAGAATTAAAAGCAAAGTTATCACTTTTCTTTTTTTTACATGTAAAAATGCATTTCAAAGATTAATACATACATACAGGCATCACATAAGAATATGTAAGAAATAATAATAATTATAATAAAATATCAGACATTTTAATTTTGTCTTAATTTATTGATATAAAGCATAAAATGAAAACTTTTTTGAAGGCCCAATATATGAAACTTTAGTTGGACAGAATACAAAAAATTAAATTTTCCTGGTGTTATCAACAATCTTAAAATACTTATCAACACTATTAAGTCACAATCTCAAAAATACATTTAAATTTTTTAAAACCTTTTTTCTCTTCACTTAAAAGCCAAAATGGAACTCTTGAGCTTAGGAAACATTTAACACACTTCTTTAACTTTTGCAATGCATAACAGGGGCATTTATTTTGTTATATGAAAAGAACATAACAAGTCACAGAGAAGCAATCTCAAAAGCATTGGGAGCATTTCGTGATGCAACAACAACAACAAAAAGAAAAAAAATCCCATGTACTAGGACCGTCAATTTCAGGCAAAAATGCACTGCATATTCAGTAATTCCATTTTTCCAACAGCTGAGTAGAGTTATAAAATAATGATTACATTACCTGAAAGGCAGAATATGTGGAAATCATGCTTTTGTTTTTCGACAGTCCTAGCTTGCTGGCCTGGTCTGTGGCCATTCCAAATGTGGACAGGAATGTGGGGCGTAAAGCCAGCTCTGGGGCATTCTCTGTGCTCACTGCAATATTGCACAGAACATTTTACCAATGGAGATTCCTCTTTTATTTGGTAATGACTCTATCTTTTCAATGGGAAAAATTTGTGAATTTTTCAGATACTGTACTTCATTATATCATGAAATCTTTAAATTAAAACACTCCCATTGAGTGGTAGTAACAAAACTGAAATGAAGGCAACTATATAATGGTAGTTATATTTTATTCAGGAGAGGCACCACAGATGCTACAAAAAATATATTTTTAATGATTTTAAATAATGTATCTGAAAAATTGGTAACTTTTCCCTATTGAATACAGTATTTCATGGTTCAATTTTGGACCTACACTGTTGAAAAAGTCATCTGCATCATGAATAAATTCAAGAAGTGTTATAATATTTCCAGGTAATTTGATATGAGGATGTAAGGATAAAAAACATCTGGGACATAAAAATATACAACTTTTTCATATTAAACACACCACTAGTCATATTATCTACATTATATCTAACATTGAAATAAAATCCCCAAGTACATTATTTTTTTGGGTAACTTTTCAGAAATAATGGTAGAAAACCTGGTCACAACAGATCCACAAAATGCAATTTGAATTCATGAATGAAAGGCATTTTTTTTAGTAATTTAACAAATCAAACTTCAGAAAAAGAAATATCATTCTTTTTTTCCTTTAGCAATCAGTGTTATGTTATAATGTTGAATGACATGATAAATTTTGGCCAAAAAAGGGCTTGTTTATCAATAATGATGTGAATGTAATGCAATACGAATTAAAAAAAAAACAACAAATTATTTAGATTAATTCTATCTGAGAATTATAGAAAAAAATATATAGGGAAGAGGAAAGTAAAACCATTTTCATGATTTTTTACAGCACATTGTTCTTGCACATGTATGTCAACTAACCACATGATATTTTTGTGTAAGAATATTTATATAAATCATATCACAAATAAAACCTTTAAACACTGGAACACCATCTCTGTCTGTAATGATTATTGCATAAAGGCCTTCAACCCTGAAATGAAAAGCAAGGGTCTGCAATGAAAAAGTTTGATTGATATGAGGACTTAGCCAAAATATCAACCATGCTCTAAAATACACCGTTTTCCTTATTTAAATGTAACCAAAGCATCCATTTCAGATATCAAAGTGACAAATACTGAAACATAGATCAATACTAATACTTACAATGACATCAAATGGTTGAAGTATTTCTTTAGTTCCTATAAAAAATAAACTTGATTTTATACATACAACATTGGACTTTGAAGAGATGTGCTCCAGACTCATTTGTCTTTATTTTGCCCACTTATTTATGGGACGATTATAGAATAAATGGGACACAAAAATACTAGTAATTACAATGACCATGGATCAAGCAAGAAAACTTTGCCTTTCATAACTGTGCATCTGGTTTAAGTTAAAGAAGTTTATTTATTTATTATAGATTAAGACATCACACAAGAATGAAGTACATCTTGAGCTCCCCAGTGTCAACAGAATATGCCAGGCTCTTAATGCTGTCAGGGTTTCAATCTAAAACATTTACAATGTGCAGTATACATGTGGATGCTTATTCTCGAGGTAAAAAAAGAACTAACATTAAACATTAAATACAGGTACTGTACCGATACTGGTAAGATCATCTTACTATTAGAAAAGCTGTAGGTGGGTTGTGTAAGATGTTTTGTTCAGTTGGCCAAGTATCAAATATAAGCAAATGTCTTGAAATTTAGCTTAGTAAATGGGTTGAATAAAACAAAATTGATTTGAAAAAAAAAATGTTAACTAAATGTGTGTCAGTAGAAAACAACAGCTAAGAAATAGGTTTTATAAAAGCAGAACATCACAAAATTGGGAGGACTTCAGACAAATGCGAAACAAATGTGCAAAACTCCAGAGGAACAGTATTAAAAACTATTTTATGGAGCGATGTACAGGAGGTGCAAAAAACCCAAATTTCTGGAAAACAATTAAACCGTTTGTGAGCAAAAAATCAAACTGGCTGCAATGACATTGTTCTCATAGAAAATGACACAGTAGTAAATTCAAGGACAGAGATTGCCAGCATATTCAATAATCACTTTACTAATGTAGCCTCCCACATTGGTAGAAACAGCTCCTCGGATCCCGTAGAAATCAGCCATTATAAGAATCACTCCAGTATTCACCACATAAAAGAAAATCAGGCTGAAGAAAAAGGTTTTCATTTCATGCCCGTGTCGGAACAAAATGTTTACAATCGATTGACTAAAATTGACACAAAGAAAAGCACAGGACACGACAACATTTCTCCAAAAATTGTGAAAATAGCAGCTGCCTCGATTGCGGGTCCCCTTACCAAATGTATCAATAGAGGCATGACAGAAAACTGCTTCTTTTCTGACCTGAAAAAGGCTGATGTTACACCCATCCATAAGAAAAAGAACACTTTTGACAAGGAAAATTATAGGCCAGTAAGTGTGCTCCCAGTATTTTCAAAAATATATGAAGGGATTATGGCAGAACAACTGAACTCTTTTTTTCTCAGACATTTACCTTTCGGCATTCAGGCATGGACATAGCTGCCAGACACTCTTGATAAAGATGGTAGAGGACTGGAAACAAAGTTTAGACAATAACGAATATGTTGGCGCAGTTCTAATGGACCTATCGAAGGCATTCGACAGTATACGACACACTTTACTACTTGCCAAATTAGAGGCATATGGTCTCGACAAAAATGCCTTAGACTTAATGCACAGCTACTTGAGTAAAAGAAAACAGCGAGTGAAAGTCGGCGATACTCTAAGCTGTTGGGAAAATCTACATAAAGGTGTTCCTCAAGGTTCCATCATTGGTCCCCTGCTGTTCAACATTTTCATAAATGACATCTTTCATTCTATTGAAAATTGTAACCTGTACAACTACACAGATGATAACACATTAAGTGCTGCACACCCAGACTTCGATACCTTAAAAAGGGAGCTCGAATACGATGCACAAAATGCTATAAACTGGTTCTCCTCAAACGAGATGGAAGCAAACCCTGAAAAATTCCAAGCTATTTTTATTGGCAAAACAGGAGTCAACCATAGTGATGAGCAATTATCTTTCAATGGAAAATTGGTGAAAGCAGAACCTTGGGTCAAGCTCCTTGGGGTTTACTTTGACTCAAGACTGACTTTAAATAAACACATCTCAGAATTATGTTCAAAAACAGCATGTCAATTTAAACACTCTGAAAAGGCTTTCAGCTCATCTAGATGTCCCAAGTCAGCTTGCCATTTTCAGGCACTTTACATTATCAAACTTTAATTATTGTCCGTTAGTATGGCACTTTTGTGGTGAGGGAAATATGAAAAAATTAGAAAAGATACAGGAAAAGGGTCTAAGATTTGTCTACGACAACCACACAAGCAGTTACGACGAGCTTTTAAATATGTCAGGCCTCAGCACTCTGCACTTGAACAGCCTATGTATGCTTGCACTTGAGGTTTACAAAGCTATACATGGACTTGCACCTTCCTACATCTCCGACCTTTTCCAGGAAAGAACAACAAGTTACAACCTTACAGGAGAAAAGACTCTAAGTATTCCCAGATTTAACACAGTGACATACGGCAAAAAATCCTTATCATATCTTGGGCCAAAAACATGGAATGATCTCTCGAATGACTTAAAGCAAAGCATCAACTCAAATGAGTTTAAATCACTTTTAAGGCTCTGGGAAGGACCCAAATGCAGATGTAGCCTGTGTAACCTATATGCTTTTAGTGAAACTGTAATAATACGTCATGTTTACAGTATTTTATATAACTGTATCAGTGAGCATTGTATGTAGAATTGTCTGTTTTTCACAGTTGATTTAGGTATAGCATTCTTCACATTTCCCATAAGAAACTTTTTTTTCCTAATTTGTTATATTAATAGATTTTGTGTTTTTGTATAGCCTTTGTAGAAAGATTTTCTTTTTACTCTCTTACTAGATTTCGTGTGTAATATTGCATTATTGTAGATATGTTTTTGTCCTTACCCAGTCAGAGAATAGCTGTAAAGCTAATGTTTCCATTCAATTTATAACCGACATGAAATAAAATTTATTGTATTGTATTGTAAATCTAAATGGAAGTTTGGCCTCTAAACAACGTACACAAAAAAATCACCTTTTAAGTGCGTATTACACGTGAAAGACAAGCAAAGCCCAGGCAATGTATCTTGAATAATTTCTTTATCATATAAATTGGATATAACAATCAATTTGTGAAAATGATTATATCATATTCACACGGGTGTTGGATACACCACGTACCTTAACCTTTGGTAATGTGTAGCATCTTAAGAAATGTTTATTCTACGGCATTTTATTTATGATATTTGTCTAATTCGGAAATGAATGTGATTTAGCTTTGGTATTCACCTAGTAACTGTGAATAAGATATCTGAATAAGTATTCAGCGACAAAACAAATCCAAGTATCATGTGACATTCAGTGAACACCTACCTCCACCATGGTTTTTTTTATTACCTCCTTAAACTAAAGAGTTCTTCATCTTCGGAGAAAATATTGTAAATTTTCACATGTTGAAAGATATAATAAACTTAAATCTAACTTCATGGCTGAAATCTCATTTATTATTTTCAGTATATTATTATCGATTCATTCATAGTGCTGATTGTGAAAATATTGAAAAATGATCTTCAGGCAAGCTTATCCATTTCAAAATAAAACCCAAATGAAGGATTGCTCCCGGATCATGTGACAATGAGATCTAAAATGGCAGAAATGGTGTCCTTAATGAAGTGCGTGTCTCTTTTCTTCCTGGTTTATGTTTTAGGATTGGTGCATGTAAGTATCTTGTTTGACTTCTATGGATTTGTTGAAATAAGTATTAAAAGCAAATTTAGGCTGACGATCGTAAAGGTTAACTTTAGTCTTTACTCGTACATGTTTATAAAAAAAATTCTGCACCTCGTGCTAGCCTACTACAGTTCATGTAGTATATTGCCTGTTACTTAATTTCTTTATTTAGTTGAAGTTAAGATCTAGCCATAAACTAGTCCTATAACGTTAAATGTATGGTTTATCACGATTCGGTAAAACTTGTTAGAAATACTTTATTGTTTTATTATCATTATTATTACTGGGAAGAACAATGTATACCTTAGCACGAAAATTCGAAAAGTGCGTTAGCACTCCTATTGACGATTCTGATATGTACTGGAGTGCTAATAATAGGAGTGCTAACGCATGAATTTTCGTGCTATGTATACCTCAGACTGAGGCGTTTTTTTATTCATTTCTGTTGGCTATATTGTATATAATGATACTTGTCATGAGAGTTAATGAAAAAGATTTAAATTGAGATAATTTAGAGTATTGTAAAGGTCATTCATAATACTTTTTTTTTTCTTTTTACATCCTCTCTATTGATCTTGGTACATGTCTGCATTGCATTTAGAAAGCTTTATTTTAAAATTGAGATTTTGAGTCAGTGACCATTTAAATCCAAATATTTTCAATGGAAATTGTGTTCAATGTTTTCTTTACATTTTTCCAAATATTACGTATTATATAAATATAATTCTGTACTTAATGAAATGTAAATTCACCAATAAAGATATATTAATGACATATTTTTCAGTCTGACAGATATCCTATTTCCTGAAACTTTTTTTTTTATTAAATTGAAAAAAAATTTTTTTTTTTTTTTTTGTTATTTAATTTTATACATTTTATATTTTATGCCTTTTTTCTATTAGGCCTATGATACATGTGACAGTGGAAATATTTGCTGTAAGTCTTTAATTTATATTTGTAAGCATTTTTGATAAATAAATTGAAAATACTTTTAAAGAAAGAACCTTACAAAAATGGGATCCGTCAATTTAACAAAATGCAGTTATATTGATAAATTTTTAACTTACTACTATCATTTTTGTGTGCACTTCACTTGGGTGTGTGTGTGTGTGTGTGTGAGGGACATTGAGAGAGAGAGGGAGAAAACAAAAGCTGTTTACTTTCTTAGGAATTAAAGACATGGTTGTGTTGTTCACAAGAATAAATTTGATCTTTATTGATTTGCTTTTTCTTCCAGATGGAGACCAGTACTGTTGTGGATATGACTTTTGTTGCAACACATTTTATTTTTACTCAGCCTGGTGTAAGTGATTTTTATAAAATTTATTTGTCTTGAGTGACTGTTTTAGTTAACCTTCAACACACGATCTGAACATGTAATTTATCTGAAATATTTTAATTGAAATATTCTAAAGGACAGTCAACCAATTTAACCTCCCAAATTTGGGTCATTTCTGATAACGTAACCATAAAGAATAAAAACAAATGTCAGTTGTGGTTATACAATGAGATAATTCAGGTAGGTTTAACACATCTTTTTGTTATGCAGGGTTCTGGCTGATATGGGTTGTTGTTTTAATTCTCATTTCGTGCTGCTCCTATGGGTTGTATCGTCGCCGCAGAGCTGCCACCCTTAGGTATGTGGTTGTCCAGGGCCAGCCAAGCTATGGTGCTGCTGGAACCCCAGTATTTGCAGCACCAGCGTATCCTGGTCAACCCACTTCTCTACCGGGTCAACCACAGGGATATGGACCACAGCAGGTGGGTTTTAAAGAAAAAAGTATACATAATGAAATTGATTTTTGAAATGTATCATTTTGTTCATCAGATTTTGTTTTTATCAAAACTGGAGATCATTGAAAATGAAGATAAAGAAAAGCACTTAACAGGATAATTCAAAAATATTTTTATTATTGACATATATCTAGATTTTACATATAACAAAAGATTTTGCTTTGAAATTTTACTATCAGAGAAGTATGGCACTTGATCTTGTAGATGAAACCCCACAAAAATGATGATTTTACTCTTTTACTTGTTTTTTATTTCAGAAACCACCACCATATCCTGCATCTGCTCCACCATACCAACCATAAGGCTTTCATATATCAACTATCTCTCAACGAGATGTTAGTCATTTATTTTAAGAGAACTTTGTATATGGCATACAATATACAATAACATACTGATTTGCAGTTCATTCTATTTTTATATTTCTTAATCTCTGATCTGTTCTCAAGTGCTTTGAAAATATACTCCAATGTGATATTGAGAATTTTACAAAAAATGTGCCATATGCTATTGTATCCTAGAAACATTGTATAATAACCTATTTTTAGAAACACTGTCCAAAATGCTAAGAATTAACTGCTTAGGCAATGTAAATTACTGTGTTTATGCCAGGATATTAAAAAATTTGTTTGGCAATATATGAACCAATATGGTTTATCAATTTTAAAGGTTGATATTGTTTTGAAGATGATATTGGAATTGTGGCATACTTGATATGTATTCCATGGATATTATCAGCTTGAATTTTACAGTTATATCTCTTGAAGTAGTGCTTGTGTCTATGAAATGTTTTACTTTAATCAGGTGATCTGAATGGTGATATGTAGCCTTGCCTGCGAGAGTATCAGTAAAAGACTGATTCACTGTTTATGTCATCAAGCCTTTTTCCAGAATAATTGTGCAATACTGTGTTCGTACCAATCGTCCTTCAAAAGATGTATTCCCATGAGAATTAGAAGAAAAGACAATCCTTGTAATTTTGTATAAAAATGAAATGTATTAAATGTGTTATACTTGATATTTGGAATAGGGTAATGTACTATTCAAGAGATAATGTTTGCAGTGCTTAAGTGTGATAAATTAGAAAAAAATTGTTTATTTATATGTGTTCAAAACAAAAACTATATTTTCAGTAGAAGGTTCAGGATTTTCTTCCCATTGTATATGAACCATGTAAAAATTTCTGTATTTTAAATTTAAAGCCTAGTTCACGTAAATTTTTGTATTTTATTATATATCTATTTTGGCCTTTGTTAATCTATTATATAAAGATAAAATGATGAGAAATAAAAACCTTCACTTCATCACAAAACACTTGTTGCATTTCTTGATTTTATTTAATTCCACTAAGTCTTGTTTAACTTCTGTTATAACTCCTTGCTTGTCGTAAGTTCTTTTTTGCCACAGATAACGATAATAATGAATGCCCCCTTCGCAACCGACCCTTCGGGCAAATAACGTGTCCGGTCTCCATTTGACGTATTATTAACTTTCACATTATTACTGTAGCGTCAAACTTAAAAGTACCATCATAGGATAAATTACATGTAGTTTGCCTATATATTCACCAAGATGATCACCAAGAACAGAGATGAAACTTCCATTAAAATGAAAAAAGATATGGCGTGGGGCCCAGAGGGCCGCCTAGGCAAATGATTTTTGGGGCTCCCAAAAAGAGGGAAAGATCTCATACCGGCAAGAGAAAAAAAAGAGAGAGAAAGGAAGAAATATGTCTACAGACCTGCGGCTCGACCGGTAACTACATGTTGATCTCGTGGGCTGGTTAAAACTAATAAATCAACGGAAAGCAATCCATTATAAACACGTGGATCTACGACTGAAGCCCCCAGGGTGACAATTCATGTACCAACATGTATCCTCTTGGCGTCCTTTGGGTTTTGAGATGGTACATGTGACACACCACGTGCACGCCCAAACTAAGAGAATAGTAACCCTGTGATTTAAGCAGTGGCATCACTCTCAAAAGCGAAATTTAGATTTGTTGTTTTATAATTACGAAAATGCCCCCCCAAACGTTGCTGCTACAAGATTTGGTAGGAAAATATCTGCAGTGTTTGCTCATCGCATCTGTGTATACACACTGTGTTCAGGTAAGCTATTTCAACATTTTAAATTCAGATTTTCATGAGTTAGCTGTAGGTGTTCCAATGTCATTGTCAAAATGTTGAAAGTTATGACTTTTTTGACATATATAATAAATCTGAAAACGCCATAGTTGTCTTTTCACGGCCATCAGATGAAGAGGTGTAATGTTCGGGTATACTGCAGTTTACATTAGAAATATTACCTTCGGTCAACTAAAAGTCTCCTTACGTTCGCAATCCGTCGAATATACAAACCAAGATTAGTTAAACACAAATGACAAATTATTGCCTGGATACTTCGAGTAAAACACAGCATATTTTCATTTTGAACGTTATCAGTTTTTACAATAAGGCATTTTAAAGAAGGTAAAAGTAAAGAAAACACGCCAGGATATAGGCCCTTTTAACAAACTAAGTATCATTTTTCAGGCAAATGGTAAAGATGGCAAGGGGCACATGGCCAAAGATAATGGTATTGTGTATTTAAATCATGGTAAAAACAACGAGGAAAAATACAAGAAAAAAAGTGGGACTATTGTGCATCAAATGACATTCTTGATAATATCGAGTATTTCTGTCAATATTAAGGAGGTGATCATTAATAGTATCTTACCTCTCTTTCCACAGAAATGAGTATAAATAATATACTGACAGTTAATGAAAACGCATTAGAAAACTTTCTTGTACTTTTTTGCCGAGAATCGATTCCAACCATATAAACGAGTACAAATGCACTCGTTTGGTCATAAGAGTCACCTTGTTTGGCTTAATAATGGGTCATATTTCACACGAAAACTCTTATTTTCTTAATGTTCCAAAGGAACTTAAAATATTATTTGATAAATAAATGATGCGTTTTCATTGACTGTCAGTATACATTAATTAATAAAGGCAAAAACGGACGCATAGAAAAAATAAGAGAAGGGCGCAGCCCAACATTAGTTATCAGTAGCATGTCTTTTTTTTTAACTTTCAGCTTTTTGCTGCTCAGGAGAGGAGACGTGGTGCTGCCCGGAACATTTCTATATGCACTGGTGTATGTATATTTTGCATACGACGATATAAGATTAATAGTTAATTAAGAAGGTAAATCAGATAAGGGGAAAACATATTGACGCTCAAAACTTATTGCATTCATAATTTTCTTTAAAAACCTTTTCCACGATAATGTTTTACAGGCATAATCTGTAAATTAAGGATAGTTATTACTTCTCCAGGGTTTTGGATCCTGGCTGTGCTGGTGTCAAGCTTCATTTGTTGTGGAACTTATCTCTGTGTTGGCTTTATCCGTCGTTGTCGAGATTCTCGTAAACTTCGACGGTCGATTGGTACACAGATTCATTACGAATCATTTGGAGCAGCATCCGGAAATTGGGGATCGCAAACGGTGTTCGGGACACCGACTTATTCTGATGTTGCACGCGAGGTACGGGTAAAAGTTCCTTCTTCTACTGGTAAAGCATCTAACAGTTTTTAGCGATGACCTAACCATTTCACGCTTACTCAACGGCTGTTTACAAATACTACAATCTACTCAGAATTATCTTGATTGTAATTTGCCTTCCCAAGGCCCGACGGTATTTAATTCCCCTTTAAATTTTTTACTCCATGACGTAGAGCCATAATACGTATCGAGGCCTTTAAGAGCATTTATCTCGATTTAATTCACTGCGAGCATAACACTATTTACGCATAGTTCACTGAACTTAAAATTACGTCACCAACATTACATTACGTAATTACGTTACCAAAGTCTCAAAATCCCTTTTATTTAAAGTTACAACTTGTATCAATTTATTTTAGGCTCCCCCAGCATATTCATACACGTGGATGAGAGAGGAAACCTCAACTTGATTTCTTATTGCTTTGAAGATCAAAGTATTCTCTTCGCAATTCTTTATGTTCACCAAGTCGACGAATAAAATCATTTTCAACAAACAAAATCTCATTCAGTTCTAAGCTCCATTGTTTATTTCAAGTGGAACATTTATTTTTTTCATTATTTTTTTTAGTTTCTTTTAAACATCTTATACAGTTCATGTGTTCACCCTTAGCACTTTTTAAAAAAAAGTCACTTAAAATTGGCATCTTATCGGGTGGTAATGGAGACCTGCCAGACACGGATTAGCTTGTCGGTGTAGCCAGCAAACAGCGTCTGTCCATCGGATGACCAGGCCAAGGAGATGCACTGTGGTGGCCTGGCCTTGGAGCTGGTGGAGATAACCTCCTGACGCAGCTCATCAACAACAATCTTGCCTTCTAGATCCTAAAATGTACGGAACAATCAATTGATTCGAGGTTTTCAACACACACAATTAACAAAGATGTGTTTTTATCACATCTAGCCATTAATATGGAATTGCCTTCACAATTGTAGTACTTTGCGTCATCACTTGTTCAAAATCAATGACACGTTTTTCAGTGATCACTAGGCTTTTCACACTTCAAAACCTGTCCAGTAAAAGTGACCTAACAAAAGCAGGTATAATTTCATAACTTTTCAAAGTGCCAAAGTGTAGTTAACTTACCCAAATCTTGATGCTTGGTCCTGTAGCAGCACACAGCCAATAGCGGTTAGGACTGAAGCAGAGGGCATTGATCTCGTCCCCGCCATCCAGTGTGTAAAGATGTTTGCCCTCATTCAAATCCCATAACATGGCTTGTCCATCCTTTGGTGAGAAAGAGAGAAAGAATGTACAGAAATCTGTTTTTAAAGTAAACAATAAGCCCAGAAAACAAATTCCTTTGCAAAATTGATCTCACTTCTGATCAACAAAGTCTAAACAACATACATCATTTAAATATTCTGAAACTAAGGAAAAGTAAAGCAAGATATAATTACATTCATATACTTTTCCGAAGTTGTGTGAACTACCATGATCACCACATAACCACTTGCAAAACATACTTACCTTTCCTCCCGAAGCACACAGAGAGCCATCAGGGGAAACGGTGACACAGTTCAGGTATCCAGTATGACCATAATGGTTGGTCTTCAGCTTGCAGTTGGTCAAATTCCAGACCTAAAAAAACAGGGAAATTTGTATGCTGTAATAGTTATTCAGCCAGATTCATACTGTGTTAGCACCAATTTTTAAAATCATAAAAATTGTGTTCCTAATGCCTTCATAAAGGTATTTTCATAACAACCTTAGTTCAGATGTTCAGACATTTATATTCTTGAAATCACTAGGCATATTTACTACCTGCAGTTTTCAAAATCTCTAGTTTCCCTGTACACCAACTACTACAAATCCTGACCAATTTAAAATGTAACCACTAGAAAAAAATATTCAGATTAAGTGAAATCACTTCATCTTTTTAGTCTATCATTTACAATGCTAACTTAAATCTAGTCTAAAAGTGGAAAATAACAAAGAAAATTTTAGCAAGGTGCTCCGTACAGAGTTGGCACCCCCTACCTTGACTTGTTTGTCCCAGCCAGCTGACACAATGAGAGGATTGTGTGTGTTGGGTGAGAATCGCACACATGATACCCACTCACTGTGGCAGTCTTCCTGAAAACGACAAATAAAAGTCAACATTAAAAATACAATATACTTGAGCAAAGAACAGGTTGACAAGACTAGAAAATGACGCAGTATTCATCTATTGTAAGCTATAGTAACATTTCAGCACAAAGAGAGGGTCATGCAGCATAAAAATCAGGTGCCTCTCTAGTAGATGAAAACACAAAATACATGTGAAAAAACACACGTACACATTTTTGTTCACCTGAATTATGATGCAGTTGAAAAGAACAATCTTTTTATCAAGCAACTAACCTTACCTGGATAGTGTACTTGCACACACCCAACGTATTCCACAGTTTAATGGACTTATCTCTGGAGCCAGACACAATCTGACGATTGTCAGCAGAAAAAGCCACACTGAGGACATCCTTAGTATGGCCAACAAATGACCTGGTGGTCACACCACTAAAGAGAGGAAAGTAAGAGAATTTTTATTAGGTGCAATAACTTGTGTACGGGATAATTTATTTTCATTTTCAAAGTTTAAACACCAAAATACATGTAATAAGATCTTAACTTTCATGTATTGAAAATATTCAAGTTACATCTATATCTTCTTTCTATGTTGCCCTCATAATTGCAGGACTTTTATTTCAAAACCCTATAAGGTTCAATAGCTAATACGTGTCTTTTTATTAATCACAGGGCAAATGAAAGATGCTTATCTGTTATTTCAAATAAAAAACTAAGCGTACACATTTCTCCATATCTATATCGATCACACACACCGAATACACACACATTCAATTCAATCTTGTACCTGAGGGTTTGTGTTGCAATGTTCAAGTGCCTATCAACAAAAACTCCTTTGACCTATGAATTATTGCCTGAATACCACTATGTAACTTGTAAAACTACCAGTATTAAATTTATTACGTGTTCAGATCCCACAAACGCAGGGTACCGTCCCAGGAGCCAGAGAGGGCAAACTGTCCATCTGACGACATCACCACATCTGAAATGAACTGGTTGTGTCCACGCAATGACTTTTGGGTCGTTCCATAGTTTTGTTCATCACGTTCCAGACGCCAAATGATCAAGGACTTATCTGTAAAATAAAATGGTAAACACTGGATATTCCTTCCTGAATTTGGCTTTACAGGGTGTAGACAAAGCACTGGTCACTATAAATGTATCTCCTAGTAGGCGATTGCTGACCCTTGGCTTCATATGACCAAGCTATAGTATGATGAGACAGAAGCTGGGAGAGGAGAGGGGGTGGAAAGGAAAGGCCAAGGAAGCATTAGAAAGTACATTTCACTACGTTCACTTTATTATCATATATCAATAATGAATTTCTTAATCACACATTAAAATGTTGAGCTAAAATTAACTTGCAAGTTTCATTAGAGTAGTACCATGTAGACAATATAATATTATACACCACATTATTACAATATGACATTTGGTATGCAGAAAAAAGACAACAGTGTCATAATTAATATATGCTACCTCATGATACAGGCGCAGTCATGAAGAAAGAAGAGCATTTCATTTATTTTTCCACCGAAATACTGTATTACCTCGAGAGGCCGACAGAACCACGTCGGGAAATAGCGGTGTTGTGGCAATCTGAGTAACCCAGTTATTGTGTCCACCCAGGGTACCCCTAAGGGTCATCTGTTCAGTCGAATTCATTTTGAAATCAACGTCTGATACAGGCTGATTATGGTGGATTTCTTCACCACCCTAGGTCCAGACCGCCGTGTCAATATGGCGGCATATAGGAAAAGGACTATGCTTCGCGGATGTTCCGTGAAGTTCATCAAGGTCATTAAATTCAATAAAAATTGTAAAAAAAGAAAGTAAGTTAAAACTTTTGTATCCGGCAAATCTTTCAAAATAACTTAAGAATATCCAACATCGATATTTGCTATGAAAATTAAATGGTAGTTTAATCATTTTTTTTGTTCGGATATTTCCGCTGGTGACGTCAGTTCACTCACTTAGAAGCGGCCATTTTCCCAAAACAATTTGAAAAACCGGGTGTAGTACTACTTCGCTTGAATTTATAGTTAATATTTGTTTAAGTATCACTGCATTTCAGCATATTTTAATACAATACAGAACAATTTTATCTGCTGTTATCATTAAGTATATTTGAAATGAGCGTGGATGACAGGGCGGCCGCCAAGGAATTGGACCAATGGATCGAACAGTTGATGGAATGCAAGCAATTGACAGAAAATCAAGTAAAAACCCTGTGTGAAAAGGTGAGGTGTTAATGATGTATTCATTTTTAATTGTTGGAAAATGCTATTCTCTCACTCATAAAATATGCTTTTTTTGGCCTTGGTGGCTTATAAGTCGATTTAAAGTGTTTTCATTTTGACACAGGTTCGTTCAACGAGTAGTGCAACGAAGGTGGTAACCAATGAATGACACGGTGCTTCATGAATGAACAACAACGATGAGATATAATTTTGAGATGCTCATGTAATAATTACAGCTGTGAGATCAGTTTAAATATGCATATATACATTAAAATTGAAGTTTTAGCTGGAGCAACTTTGTTATCAGAGATGACTAAGCTACTGAAATTGATCCAGTCCAATATTGTATGTGTTCAGGTTAATTATTGATAGGGAGCTGCGGTTGTTACAGATATATTGGAACTTATTCAAAATTGATAATTATGTTTGTGTCACAATATAGTGTATCATTCATTTTCATCACTCTCTCTCATGAAGTTTGTATTTCTGTTTTGTTTTAGGCAAAGGAGATTTTAACCAAGGAATCAAATGTGCAAGATGTCAAATGTCCAGTCACTGTCTGTGGAGATGTCCATGGACAATTTCATGACCTTATGGAATTATTCCGCATCGGTGGGAAATCACCAGATACAAATTACCTGTTCATGGGTGACTATGTAGACAGAGGGTATTATTCTGTAGAAACAGTCACACTCTTAGTTTCATTAAAAGTAAGTAGCAGATTTTTTTTTTTTTTTTTTTTTGGGGGGGGGGGGGGGGGAAATACAATCAAAATCATATTTTCCACCTGGGTCACCCCATTTAACATTTTATTTTCATTATGTGAGTATCAATGACCAGCAGGTGTTTCCTGCCAGTTGTATGTTACACCATTCCATTCTGTAAGATGCTAATACAGTGTGTTTTAAACCAAATGTTACCTTTGGTGTAATAAATTGTTTTTAGTGGGGTTGCTAATTTGATTGGATATACATCATTTCAGGTGTTCAGTTTCATGAATAAAAGAATATTTTTAGTAAGGATATTCTTTCAAATATGTGCCTTGTCATTAGATCGATCTATGAGCATGTTTACTCTTCTGACTGCATGGGGCCTAAATTGGGAATTGCTAGTCATTTTGTGCTCATTTTGGTCACTTCATAACAAGAGAACCATTGGTTATCAACTATATTGTCATCACTGGTATTTAGCGCACTTTACTATAATGCCCATTACAATGGGCCACAAGCTACACTTGCAAAGAATAAATGGCCAAAGTTCACCCCTTTTCTTTCATTCAAATGATAGTGAGAAGCACTTTCTGGAATTTGACTATGTACACATTTGATTAGTTGTAATCTTTATTTTTTGTCCTTCATGTAGTATATAATTTGTTGGCTTCAGGTAAAATACTATTGTAAAATTGATTTTTTCCCTGAATAACCTATAAATCCTGAACAGAAAATGTCTGCAATAGCATTGTAGGATTTAATGCTTGGCTTTTTATTTTTAGGTACGTTATAAAGAAAGAATAACAATTCTACGAGGCAATCATGAGAGTAGGCAAATTACACAAGTATATGGCTTCTATGATGAATGCCTTAGGAAATATGGAAATGCCAATGTATGGAAATATTTCACAGACCTGTTTGACTACTTACCATTGACGGCCCTTGTAGACAGTCAGGTAGGAGGATGGAATAATGCCCCATTTTCTTCTCTAACAGCCATTTTATGGTGTTTTAGCTGACAATTAAGATGACACAGATATTGAACTACATCAAGTATTATGTATTTGAGCTCTTGTAAAATATAACTCATGTGGTGGAGATGAAAAGCTGAAGATTTGTCTGCTAAGTAAACCTGTTAATTTTGAAAGTTTTTCTCCATTTTAGATCTTCTGTTTACATGGTGGACTGTCCCCATCCATAGACACACTAGACCATATTAAAGCGTTAGATAGAATTCAGGAAGTTCCGCATGAGGTAAATATCTAAGTGTTTATAAAGTTGCATTAAATATTTGATGCATTGTAACTTGCTGTTAAGTTAGTTGGCAGTTAACAGGCTAGTATATCAGGGCTGTTTTAATACAACCCAAGCCCCAAGACTACTAAGATGGGGTGTAGTATCTTGGGGAATAAAACATCATGTGTCGGTGTACATTTACACAGTCAAGGAAGTAACATTCAGATTTTAATGATGACCATTGTAAGTGCACTTTCATTGACTTTCAGGGTCCAATGTGCGACTTGTTGTGGTCAGATCCTGATGATCGTGGTGGCTGGGGTATTTCTCCACGTGGAGCAGGATACACATTTGGCCAAGACATCTCAGAAACTTTTAATCATAGCAATGGACTGACATTGATTGCTAGGGCACATCAGTTAGTGATGGAGGTGAGGATATTAGAAGGATTTTGGAAAGTGTGTTATCTTATATGTTAAATAGATCTGCTCTGAAACTTCACACTTTTCCAAACAGTTAACACAGTGATAGTGCTATAGCAAGTGGTTTCTTTCCTGGTCAGGTTATTGCTGTTTGTAGATGAAAACAGATTATCCTTGTCCATCTGTTATTACCTGATATTTATGTTTCAGTAGTACTGAGAAATATTTGCGGTTGATGGCAATTAAAAATGTTATTATTTCATTTGTACTGAAAAAAAGTTGGTGTTATTCAATGGCTTACACTTTTACTCACGTAGGTCAGTATTCTTTAGAAGTACATTATATTCTCTTGCACACATTGTCTCCTTAATTACCTCTTTGGTTTAGGAGACGGGCGTGTTAAAAATTTTTAATGATGTGGTTAATTTTTTCAGGGTTACAACTGGTGTCATGACCGTAATGTAGTAACAATCTTCAGTGCCCCTAACTACTGCTACAGATGTGGAAATCAGGCTGCCATCATGGAACTGGATGATGCTCTGAAATACTCTTTGTAAGTAAAATCTACATTTCTGATTTCATAAAAGTTAGTTTTTAAATGTTAGTTTCTTTTGTTCTTAAATATTTCTGTACTTGTTTCTGCATCAGCCATACTCTCCATTCAAAATACTGTATTATAACCAGGTTTTGAAATGCTGACATCCAATTTGTTTTTGTTTTATTCCCTTGTTTTCAACTTCTGCTTTAGAGGGACGATAGTATTGTAGACGTTTTGAATAGACTGTTTCTTGGCATTAGTGTTTGGAATTGTTGACTACTTCGTAAACAAACAATCTTGCATTCTTGTTTAGAGAAACAACGGGTAAATGTCATAAAGCAAACTAACTCTAGCAAGTTTTTTAGTCTCCTGAATTTATCATTGTTCATCTTTTCCAGCTTGCAGTTTGATCCAGCTCCAAGGCGTGGAGAACCCCACGTGACCCGACGCACGCCAGACTACTTCTTGTAGACTGCACTGATACAGTTCACATCAAATCTTGACCATCTGTTTGATGTTTAGACTAACTTATATAAGTACAAGTGACCTACTTCAGTATGTGCATACACAGTATGACAACACAGGAAGCACATGGACAGCATAAACAAACTCAATCGGTCCAAGAACTACTACTATTGTAATTCATGTGTACGGCAAAACTTGCCTTCCTGTGGGGAGAAACAAAAAAAAAGGCCCATATACTTCAACAGAGTTGACAATAACACTATACTCTTTCCTATAATTACTGAAATGCCTCATAGTATTGTGAGTAACAAAAAATGATTTGCTGCTTTCTTGTGTCAGTGCGAAACTGGACTTTGCCCTATGCTTTAATTCCACAAGACTACAGTATGAGAGCATTATTATAACTACAACAGGCATTTGATGGTCTATTATTTTCTTTAATTTTGGATTACAATTTTGAACAGGAAATTAATGTATGCATCAACGAACAAAAGGAAATTATAAATGTGATGTCTGTTTGTAAACAATTAGCCTGGTAATTGATATTTAATTTAATTGTTATTAAAACTCCAGGATTCAAACATTTGGTATACGCACATATACTTATCACCAATGAGACTTTAAACTGTCTCCAATGAATTTGGTGCAGGTTTTCATGGTTTTCTCTAAAAGTCCTTTCTTTGTATACTTTAAAGAATGGAGTTAAAGAAATCCATAAGACTATTGGAAGTTTCACATCTTGCGTGGTGTGATGTATTTATATTTCATTGGTGTTCAGTTTATGTATGGTGATATCAGTTTGGATGCATCTACTGGAAGTCGTTAGCGTCCTGAATTAACTCTGTAGATAAAGTTGTGAAAGAATTGAAACTTGTTTTTGTTTCTTGTTTTACAGAACCTGTACAACAGATATGCAAATGTCATGGCTTGAAATTAAACTTTGAGATGAAATAATTTTTTGACGGGCGTTCCAAGTGAGCCTTCTTGCAAACTTAGTTACTTTTGGAATAAATACCTTATTTCATAAATTTGAGAAGATTTTTTTATGAAAATTTGGTGACTTTTTAAAATCACAAAAGACAAAGTACGGCTTCGTTCTTCCCAATTTGATTTTTAGGGCTGTTACATATGCTTTCATAAAAACCGTTTGACTCAATTATTTCTTAATATTATGTAAAACCAAATGGTCCACTCACTGTTAAAAGAAATGATCTAGTGCTAATATCCAAAGGCGCCTTTGCAGGCTTGTACCCTGCCTATGGACACACTGTCTGCAGTGTCGGATTTAGAGGGGGGTCAGGGGGGTCCTAACCCACCCTTCGATTTCTGGTCCCCTCTTGAAATTAGAATTTTGACTAGCTGAATCATAATTCTAAACCGCACCAAATTTCACCGTTCGCCCTCTAAAATGCCAAAAATTTTCGGGGTCCTTCAGCGGGCCCCTAACCCCACGCCAAGTGGGTGGGTGGGTGGTGGTCGGCTTTGCATCTGAGGACCCCCCTCCCCTTCAAATAATCCTGGATCCGCCCCTGGTCTGGACGTACGAGCATCACTCCCGTTGCCGACTGGATATAGTCAGCATCATCCGGGAGACATCAAACCGCTTCATCCAGGTGTGACGTGACAGAGTTCCCCATGATAGAGTCCGGTTTCCATTGATTTGCACAGGTGAGCCTGGCCCGACATTTTGACCCACTTACGTCAGGCTAACACTGACATGTATTATTAAATGGAGAGTGGACTCCGTGTTACACGGACCCTCAGTTTCGTCGCACCGGTGTGACAGGAATGGTTGTCCCCTAAGAACCGTAGTCTGTTCTTCATTTGACGGGTCCCATATTTCTAACCCCAATACTTCGACTGACCCTTACCTGCACTGCACATGTGGGACCTCTATTCCTAGGACTACCTTACCTGTCAAACCGCACTGCATATTTGTAGATGCATTTTTGCATTTAATGTTACGTGACAGTAGTGCCATTTAGCTAAATTTATATGCACCAGAGAATGCATGAAATAGTATTAAGTCAAATTTTGTAAAAAATATAATGGCTAGTTTCTAAGAAATAAAAATTGGCACCCAGGACTTTTTTTTCTGTCTACACGATATAAGGGCAAGTTGAGGGTGATTTTTGGCTAATAAGAACTCAAACATAACCTGGTTGCAACATTCAAAAATGTAAAATTAGAAATTCTACTGAAATATGCTGAAGGTGCAACATGGGCCTCATTTTTAGACAGTTTGAATGTCACTGTTTCTATCAGTTTTGACATATATCTGTCCCTTTGGCAGCTTTTATTTTATGCCCTTTTTTACCACTGGTTACAACGCAAGGAATGCAAGTTGCCGTTTTTCACCCCACGTCAAAAAAGTTAACATAAACCTTAACAAATATATCAAGTGGCATTAACCTGCATGCAATAGATATTCAAAAAGTGAATCTTAGATTTTCAAATATCTTTATTCACTTCAATTTACAATATTTTCACCTGACACCTAAAAACATCATTTTTCTTGCTTTACCCATACATGACATATTTACAATTTCATAGACTGTACCCAAGCTAGACACATTGTTATCTATAGCAAGTGGTTTCATAAGACAAAGCAGGCGAATTACAGACGGGGACGGTACCTTAAAGAATATTCTAGGACGCTTCCTTTTAGTATTACACTAAAGCATCAATAGTGTCAGCCTAATATTTCTCATCCATTCGAGGCACTGTTTGACAACACGCCCCCAAATTAATCTTTCTGAAATTTAAGCTTTCCCGATGGAAATAATCCCTCGTCCTTAAAAAACTCCGTGCGTGATATCGTGATATTGTTGAAGTATTTCAAACATAATTTGTTTCATTATCAATGCTTTACAAAACTTGCTGTATCTTGCCGCAAATAACTCGCCCACTTTATCTTCGATTTTTTTTTTTATTCGATTGTGTACTTTAAAAGTTTTGGACCTAAGAATGGAATCAATACCGCCATAAGGTAATGTGAAATTGTATGCCTGTATGATTTTCATTTCTTAATAAGAAAACAGAAAACGAGGACCAGCCTCAGCGCTGTACATATAACAAACACACAAAAGTCAGAAGCGTGGCCTAAATGTCAATACATGTGTCAATACTTGAATCACACCAAAAAAGAAAAAAAAAAGACAGGCCTCAAAAAATATATCCAGTATAACATGAAATATTTTAATACACTTTTATAATACATATACTTGCTCTGTACCCGCCATGCTTTACCGCTGTGTTTATGATGCACCTTATGTTTAACATAAAATGCCATTATAATGCCTAATATTTGATGTAAAATTTAACTAGACACTCCCCTTTCCATATCAATGCACATTGAAATGAATTAATGCAATAATGGAAATAAATTAGCTAAAAATGAAGTAAAGCTCTTGTAAATCCATTTGTCAGATCTCCCACCGAACTTAAATTATTTTAATTTCTCGATGAGCAACAATTAAAATGAAATAAGTATCTTTTAACGATCTCAAAAAATCAATGATCAATGGAGCTACAGTTATTTGTCTATTCCTATAAACGCAACCTCTCTGAAGGGAGTGCAAAGGAGTCCCGTATTTTAAAGATCTTTTTCCACACAATAGACTCCACAAAAATGTCACCAACGATAACATGACGTTGAAACTAAGTTTACAGGAGGAGGAGGTGATCCGTTTCTTTTTCCAAATCAGATCTGCCTTGGTTAATTCGTAAATACATGTAGCAATCCAATACTTCGGCGTGTGTTGGCCGTGGTTTTTATATTAGTACCTCTCGATGTAACATTTCATTTTTACTATTGATGCATGTGGCTTAATTGCTCATTTCCTGTTAGGAATGCTTTGCCAATATAATATCAATTTCAATTTAATTTACATAATGCTAGCCCAGTGCGGCATATTTGCCTTAATTCCTTCGACAGCTGTGGTTTTCTCTACTGGCAAAATTGAGATATACATTCTACCGGTTTCTCAAAAAAGTCTCTCATTACACCTGTGATTATAGTAAAGAACTTAAAATTGCGACAAACAGTGTGAACATTTAAACTGGCTAATAGTGTCATTTAAACGAAACAAATTAATATATATATACAAAAACGGAATTACAATACCTCAGATAGGCATAGAAGAAAAACAGTTCTTTCTTTGATAAATCGATCATTCTTATATAGAACATGTAAATTCCCCAGTGCTTCAACTGATCCATACGGAGTTAATGTACCTTTAGAGACAGTTAAAAAATAAAAAAAAAAAACAATTTTTTTTTATTTAAGGGTATACATTGTGCAATCGCTGTTTTGCCTCAAATCAATTACTTAACATGGATCTCGTTCTGTTTGAGAGAAAAGAATTCACACCACATTTGGGGACATGTTACACTACAGTTGGTGAAGATCAATTACAATAGATAAGTCAGTGTGACATATAATATCTACGATGTATTGTACCTGATGGAATGCCTTCTCGTGTCGGATGGCAAGACAAACAATATTTCACTATCATCCCCTTGAATAGTGAAATGGTAAAATAGAAGTTGTGAAAGAGCTAGTTTTTTCATTAATGAAATATTTCGGAGAAAACTCTTTTCCTTTGAATACAAGTCTGGATACATTTTGTAGGTCTACCCAGAAAGCCAGTGGCGGGCAGTAGTTTTGGTTTTATACGGAGGATTCCAGTTGTTGTATTTTCTTCTTTATTGGCCGTTTGCCTGATACTTGTTGCAACTGTTTCAGTGGGACTATCTCCTGGAGTCTATCTTCAGCCACTGAAGGGGCCGACCGAGAGAGGGTCTTGCTTGGAGGCCTGGGCTGGTCGACTGGAGGGCTGAGGAAAGAAGTTGCCCCAACCGAGCGCCTCTGGTGGAGCAGAAGACTAGTGGAGGGATGAGACCCGGGGATATCTAGGAAATTCTGTTTGTCTGGCAACCCGACAAGCTCCAGTCAGACTCGAGTCATGGTGGTTAGGCACGCCTCTCGCTCTCTCTGCTGCTGTTGGTCTAGATGCCGTGTCGAATTGGAATTGCTGCTACTCTGAAAGAGCGTGCTCTGCGTAGTACTTGTGCGGTACGAAAACTGGCGAGAGTAAGGGTAACGCCTGATTCGAGTGGCGTCAGTGCCACACGACAGCAACTCTTTGAAACCTGTAAAAAGTAAGGCGCTTTATTAATGCATTTTATTACATTTGATATATATGAGAGAGGATAGAGAGAGAGAGAGAGAGAGAGAGAGAGAGAGAGAGAGAGAAATGCTTACATACGGTACCAGTATATCTCGTATGAAATAATACTTAAATTCACAAGTTTGTGATTACTTTTTGTTTTTGATTGAAACTCCAAGAGTGCAAGTGAGTGCATTACAATGCTTGGGATCAGCAGGTTACTTTAATCTGACAAACGATCCCAATTCTTAAAAATATTTGACGTGCTATATTGCACGTTACTTTTTGTTTTTCCCTATTTTTCCCACATCGTCTTTGTTATTTTGAGTAATGAGTATTGGCATCGGTGACAAAACGCAATGAAAACGATTGAGAGGGTCATATTTGAAAGACTACAAGAAAGCGGCAGCAAAGAAATTATACAAAGATTACCTTTTCGAAAGTTTTCGTTAAATCCTGCATAAATGAACGGATTAAAGGCACTGTTTGAGTACGAAATAAACTGGGCGAAAAACTCAAACTTGGGGTACCATGGCGGATTCTGAAAAAGAAAGCATTTGCCAATTTATAATCATAAATAGAATGTGCCATAACTTCCTGTCATTGAACAGGCACCGCATCCTTATCAAATATCTTTTGTGTGTGTGTGTGTGTGTGTGTGTGTGTGTGTGTGAGAGAGAGAGAGAGAGAGAGGAAGAGAGAGGGAGGGGGAGGCTTGTAGACAGATAGAGAAAGGTCGTTTCTTGTTTTGCACCTCCAGATCATCTGTCAAATATGACAATCTAAAAGGTCAGTTTATTTTTACCTGGAGATGTTTGTGTTTTCCGTATTCGTACCACAGCACCAGGATTTGGAAAGGTGTCCAACATATCACGTACACAAGCAATATCACACACAGCATGATGACTACCTGAGGATTAAAAACATTTCATATATTTACCTGGCAGAGTGAAAATAATCAGTTTCATTCTTGCTCTTGAGCACTTTCTGGTGAAAGTATTATTGCTATAGTTGTTCGCTATATCAGAGTATCAGGTTATCGCGCAATACGAATAACAATGAATCACGGCCGCGCTGTAAAAAAGTGGTTGGTACAAGAATTATGGTCCAGGCAATGATTGAACAATACAGTTTCAGAAAATATGCCTTATCTTCATGGTACATTTCAGAAAATATAGTGACGGATATATTGTGTATGCATTTAACACTCCCATTACTTGTTATGGGACACAGGGTATATTGGAAATCAAACACGAGACAAATTCCATTCAATTTTCAATCATCAACAATGACATAGGTATGAACAATCCTCTGTCTTGTAGTAGTGAGATGCAGATTTATAATTATAAACACGTGGTTTAAAATGAAGAACTGTAAATTGATAGAGAATTGACAAGAGGCCAAAAAGAATTGGAAATGTCAAGAGAGAATGGACTAATGGAAGGGATTCGAATACTTGGTAAGAGAGTGAGATAAAGAGTTCCATATTGTACTTCCCTCTAAAAAATGAAGAAATAAAAATATGCATATACAGTTAAAACAGAAATTTCCTTCGCACTAGGATCCAAGATATCCGAGTATTATCCTCCAAGCTTCGCTCCTGAATGTTTGCCATCCTCCCCCTTCTGTTCTTCAAATAAAAAAGGGGGTGGATGGCGAAGCTACCGCGAGGAGGCTTCGCGCAGCCTAGGCAACGGCTGTGCGACTGTGAAGGTACTTTCTGTTTCATCTGTACGCAATGTCATTGCAAGGCCCCTGCGAAAATATGTCTCATTTAACGCTCACTCACGGTTCTCAATCTGTCCTAGAACATAAAGTTTTTTCTCTTTAAATGATAAGTATTTCGAAGCAATCAAAACTACACTTCAAGTTCTAAACTTACCTTTTTCTTGATTTTATTCTGGGCGTCAATTTCATATTCGATCTGTTCCCCAGGAAGTTCACTAGACCACAATTTCCAAATAATCATGGCATAAGCGACTATCATGATACCTATTGGGATAAAGTAGAGCACCACAGAAACAAAGGTGTAGTAGAAAGTGCGGGATGGCTGTGTCCACCTAGTTGTGTTGGCGCTCATGTCCATCTCCACTTTCGGCCAGTTATCATCGCACCATATCTCGAGATGATCTTTCCATTGCCTCTCGAATTGTTTCCGGTAGACAAGAAGAGGAGACGAAACCCCTGCCGCTATCACCCATATCATAATAATGAACGGGAGCGCCTTACGATCCATTAAGTGGGCTTTCATTGCAAACACGATGCCGAAGAAACGGTCGCAGGCAATCAGGGTCAATGTTAGGACGCTGGATACCAGTGACAGTTCTGAAACAACGTGCGATTTTTAAAAAAAAATATATACATTTACTAACTCCCAACGGAAAGAGATTGCCAACGATGATTGAATTACAACTGAAATGCAATGTGTGTGGAAAACGGAAAATTGTCTCTCCTTTTCAAGTGCCATTTTCGCTAAATACACATCAAACTTTTTTTACATTTTGTTCTTAGAAAATGTCAGACCGAAAATTTGAATTCTCTTCAGTAACAAAGATTAGTGGCCTTTTGAAATGTAATAAATGTATATAGTATGAAACATACCAAACATACGTTTTAGTGTTACATGTACATGTATCGCATCACAATCATTGTTCAAATGCTCCAGCTGGAGCTAGTAAAATCAAAGGCCAAAGGAAAGAGGTGAAACAGCAGGTTAAAATGGTACCGCTAGATTAGTAGATTAGTAGAAAAATTAGTAGAAAAAACATAGATAGAGTAGACTATAATGAAAAACGAAAGAAAACTCCTATAATAAATCGGTTTTGGGGGAAGTAAAGATGGACCCAGCCTCTATTAACTAGAGAGCTATTGGCGTAGCTTTAAACCTCAATAATCGTTCCCAGTTTCCTGCGATGATGTCCCTAATAAGATAAATTATTTTATTTAAATGTAGAAAGCTGCTTCATTGTCTCATATTGTCCAGGATTGGAAGTGATGCGCACCATGGTTGAAAATACATGTACCTGCTGGAAATATGTCATGTCATCCCATTTAAGGAAAGAAAGGGTTTGCTGTGAAGGAAATTCAAGCGAAGTCATGCAGAAAATCTGCCTAGACGTTCCTCTGACGTACAAACTGTTTCTGGGGATGTCTTCGGACCATTCACTAGCATTCACTTGTAGCTTGACTAGTAGATGAGGCCAGCACTGTTAACAGAGGTTCACTGCCACAAGATAACGCCTTTCCTCATAACTCTGAACTGTCTGTTATCAGACCAACTGAGGCTTGGTCATTAACTTGGCTGCTATGGCGTCGCCTCCGGACAAATTCTTGGGGCACAATTAGAGTTGGACAACCTCATGTTGGAGGATTCTCCTTCGCAGAGCTGCCTGGCTACATGTACGTCGATGACATAAGCTGCTGTACATCAGTATCCTGTGTAGGCGGTTAATGACCATATACATCCTATAAAGCCACACATCTTTTTTTATAGTCGAGAAAGGATAGGATGCTTGCCTATTTTTTTAAGTAGATACGTCCGTGAGGACTTACGGTATAGAAAACACGCGCGCGAATCGACCAGTGTTATAACTGGGGCTGCTCCAATCATTACCATAAGGTGCCTGGGCCGCACCCAACACTGTATGGATGAAGGAATCTTGTCAAGGAGATAATGAAGGAATCTGACCAGATGAAAAAAAAAACAGCATATTAAAAATAAACGGTTAGACCCAATGGTCTCTACAAACGTCTTAGAAGGAGAAAAGGACCAGTGTTTTTAAAAAAAATCCTTGTTCGTAGAGATTTTCGGGGTCGGTCTCTTCACAAATTTAAAACGTGTTTTCAAAATCCGCCATGTCCCTTTCAAGCACAAACCTTTTCAACACTTTACTCCTCCTGCAAGACCCATTGATGCAACGAAAATCTGGAAACGATATATGGTGTCAATGTAAAATGTGGGTGAGACTGCAGTAGAAGCACATTGTGTGAACGTGCAGATGGCAAACATGTGAACTTTTAATCCCGAAAGACCGGGGAAACAGTTTGGCGGTTTCACAGTTACCTGTTAAGTTTTCCTGTCTAGTGGCACTGTAATACACGCAGACCCGCTTCCATGAAGACTGCAGCACGGGTGTCCTTCATTATAGTTCGGATGTGTGTTATGGCCATGTATTGCGGCTAGTTGGGACAGAGTTAAAATCTAAGGAAACGAGTGGATGTCTTAAGGAGAAAACAAACTTAAAGCTCACGTTTTTTTTTTTTTTTTTCTTTTTTTTTTTTTTACAAGATAAGATAAGGTCAGAGTTTATTCAGCCATTGATATGTGAATTAAAATTCATATATTACGAAAATTGGATTGCTATTCGGGTAAAGTGTATAAAGGATAAGATAACAATTTAGTTTTTAAAATATAGTTGCTAAGAATCCTATTTTTGTTATCAAAATTAGAGACAGCAGTGAGGTAAAAACTGTTTAAAAACTTTTACATCCTTTAAAACTTAAAAGTCTACAGCTACTCGATAAGAAATAAAAAAAGTCTTACTGTATAAATGGCACGTAAGGAGGGGAGATCAAAACCAATGATTTTGCTACATGTGCATGTCACCACATCTAAACGATTACCTTGACTGAAACTATACTAGTCTGATGGAACTGTTTTAACTATACATTTGAAATAATTATCAACCATTCGGATATTAAAGACGTCTAGGATCGTCCCGGCATGATTTTACAGAATAAAAAACGAGGGAATTAAAACAAAATAGATAAAGACTTTGGGAATTGAGGCAACCAACTGTTCGGAATGAGCTGATAATCAACTATTTATTGGAACCCCAGAGACCCACGCGGTCGCTCGCGCGAAAGTGATATTAGTGCACCATACAGCGTAATGTCACTGAGTGACGCTGTTGCGCTGCCATAGTGATAGGACACGCAGCAGTGCGATTTTTCATTAACTTTTGGCGAGTTTAACAAAGATATGATTAACTAGCATAACAATTTTTGTCTTATTGCTTGGACAAGTGTGCTTTCCATAACTTAATCTGTCGGCACTGCGTCTCCCCGTCTACTTTCTGTTATTTCTTAACTGAATGGCAATGTTTTTCGATATTCATGGTTAGAAGCATGCATACTGTTCCTTGAGGGACTGATCTCTGGGATTATGACCATGATAGAATTTTAATGTCTCCTTCAGGAGAGACAATTAGGCCTTTACCTCGAAGCGCTCTTTTCACTTTATTGAAACAAAGCAAGTATATTAGCAAGTTAACGCGCCATTAGCTGCCCTTTATCACATTGTGAATGAAGGTTTCTAGGTAATTGGGGGAATAAATGATCAATATCACGCCGACTTCAGTCAATACCATGATCTTGAAATTGATTGTTTTTTGATGTCGATCGATAATCTAAAGTCAGCGGCTCACCCGACCCTGTATAGGCTCACAGTCCAAAATCTCTTGTCGAAACTTGCAATTTAAAAAATTATTGTTTCAGCGTCGCTTAACATTTTGTGTTAGCGGTGCTTGTAATCTATAGATTTAAGTCGCGTTGAGATCGATTTTAACAAAAAAAGTATATAAATCGTTTCAGGCAATGAGTCCACGAAATATGCTTTCTCTTAGAAAACCTTGACAAGAACACAGGTCGATATCCTACCGACAATTATTCATAACAATTAGTTACGTAAGTTTTTTATCTTACGATGAAATATTGTTTCATATCAAACCGAGATAGATATGGAGAATTCCACTAAAATAAAGTAACTATCAACATAAAAAATTGTAATTTCTGTAAGACATGTTCAATATTCTCATTTAGGAGGATTACTGGTTACCTATTTTGTGTCAAAGTAGAGTAAAATGTTCAATTCTACGGTACGTGGACTGTTTCAAAAAGATCGACTCAAATGTAAGTCAACTTAGAGCCATTGCTCTCAGTACTTGTTAAAGACGATATTGGTTTGTTTAAGGCTGAAGATCTTCTCTTCACCATCAGCCCGTAAATAAAAGCTATTATTGTCTTAATGTAGCGTCAAGTAAAAATATACTTCCGAGTGTCTTTTGCAAGTAATCAGCCCCTTTCCAATGATAGATATAAAACATGCAAATGTAAAATTTTCCTTCTGTAATGTGTTTAAAATTCTATATTTGTTTTCTCATTCGGTGAAATAAAAACCCAAAATAGCCATCCTGTTCTCAGACTAATGGCAATAAAGGGATACTAGAATAGTTCTATGCATCATCATGTGTATATAAGTTTAACCAGAAATCTACTATCGTCCCCCGGGTGGTTATTCGAAATGCCAAGAAATTATCTTTTTGCACGAAAGAGGTGTGTGGAAAGTTCATTTTAGATGACTCTCTCTTTTACAATTCGATAGGTCTCCGGTTTAACTTTGGATAGAGGATTATATTATAAACGGTCGGTGGCCAGCAATGGTAGGTTAGGTTATTGATGTCGGTATGATTGTACATTAAACCCTACGAAAGAATGGCGTCGATAAGCCTGACCTTTAATTGGAAAATCTGGACTGTTGTGAGTGTAATAAGGCCCATGACAAGGGGAACTGCGGAACTGGTACACGCCTTTTTGTTTTGTAATCACTTCCGTGAATTAAATACAAGATTAAAAAACCAATCTTGATTTTTAAAAAATTGCTGCCGAAAACCCAATCTTTTTTTTTTTTTTTCGTTAACGCTTTCAATTCGATCCAGACTTTGTTATTTGTGAAAATAAAACAATCTATGAGTTTGTATATCTCGATCTTTTTCGATTCCTTCAAAACAAAGTCTTCTCAAATTTTTTTCAAATATTCATATGTCTGTCACAGCGTGTCAGCGTGCGAGATACCGGTGGAAGACAAGGGAAGATATCATCCTTTAACTCAGTGTTTCCAGAGCTTTCCTGTTATTTGAGTCAGATATCGGGTCAGGGTATTTTCAAAGTGAATTCTAAGGGGAAAAATGGTTGAAGGTTTATTCACCCTGAGTCGTCTTTTAGAAACCGTTACCATTAGAAATACCTTATGGTGTCCTGCTAATCTACATTATGCATTGTTTGCTCCGAGGAAAAAATCATCTGCTTGATAAGTATAGGTCAAACCAGATGTGCTTGTCTGTGTCAAATTGCATAGTATTCTATCACCAATCCAGGGCCTTTTTCTGTAAGGAGATAGAGGAGCTGTAAGCTTTATATATCAGGCTGACGAAATGATTTGTGACATTTAGAAATGCCTGCCTAGACACCCGCAAATGTTAAAAGGGAATAATCAAAATACAATTACAAACTGTCAAACTAATGAGTGGGCAGTTGTGTGTCACGTC